CAAAAGGTGATTGATCTTTTTAAGAGAACATTTTGAGTTACTATATATAAACTAGTATGAGACATTTTATTGTTGAATCATTCAGATCCTCCGTGTGAGAGCAGAGGAAAGGAGAAGGAAGAATTTTATGTTCCAAGAGATGAAGTTTTCGAGGAAATCAAGAGAGATACCTTCAGAGCTGGGAGATTTAAGGCTCTCTTTCACAATCTTGTGCCATCTATTTCAGCAGCATTGTCAAACTTAGACATTCCCTTCACATGCTTCTCGGATATCGACAATTTATATAAATCTAACATTGTCTTGGGACATACCGAGCCAAAGGACACTGGCCTAGGCGGCTTTATTGGCGGTTTCATGAATGGGATCCTCAATGTTACTGAAACACTGCTAAAATATGACACTCCAGCCGTTATAAAATGTAACTTTGTCTATGATATTGTCTCATTCAGAGTACTATTATTTTCTTGAAATGTTAACATATTTGATTCCTCTGTTATGTGTTGTTTTCAGGGGACAGGTTTGCGTGGCTGCGAGATAATGAATTCGGACGTCAAGCTCTTGCTGGTGTCAATCCTGTGAACATTGAGCTGCTAAAGGTGTGTTTCATTGTACCATTTGAATCAAGAATCTTCTAGGAAGAGTATCTGAAACTTTTGGAATGTTATGACAGGAGCTGCCGATTCGAAGCAAGCTTGACCCTGCTCTATATGGACCTCAAGAATCTGCTCTCACAGAAGAAGTGATAGCTCGAGAAGTTGAACACTATGGAACGACTATAGAAAAGGTTGATTAGCTAGTGTGACAAGTTTACATTTTTCTGATTGAGATCAAATCTTCTCATCTTGTTGATCGCGACTAATGCAGGCGCTTGAGGAGAAGAGATTGTTTCTTGTGGATTACCATGACATGCTCTTGCCATTTGTAGAGAAGATAAACTCTATCAAAGAAGATCCAAGAAAGACATATGCTTCAAGAACAATCTTTTATTATTCAAAGAACGGAGCCCTGCGGCCGTTGGCTATAGAGCTCTCGCTGCCTCCTACACCCGAATCCGAGAACAAGTTTGTCTATACTCACGGACATGACGCTACTACTCACTGGATTTGGAAACTAGCCAAAGCTCATGTCTGTTCAAATGATGCTGGTGTTCACCAACTTGTGAACCACTGGTAAATTAAGTTACTTTCTTGATTTGTTGTCTCCAATGGTATTTTCAAGAGACATAATTTTGTGTTTTTGCAACTTTCTCAGGCTAAGGACTCACGCTGCCATGGAGCCTTACATCATTGCTACTAACAGACAATTGAGTACAATGCATCCGGTTTACAAGCTGCTTCATCCTCATATGCGCTACACGCTTGAAATCAATGCTCGTGCGCGTAAAAGCTTAATCAACGGAGGAGGAATCATCGAAAGTTGCTTCACTCCCGGAAAATACGCAATGGAACTTAGCTCTGCAGCGTACAAGAGCATGTGGCGGTTTGACATGGAAGGACTTCCTGCTGATCTTATTCGGAGGTTAAACCTCTTTGCTTTGTTTATAACAAACTACTCTGTTTTTGTCTCTCGCTAATGCGGTCTGGCATCATTTACAGGGGAATGGCAGAGGAGGATTCATCAGCCGAATGTGGCGTGAAGCTTGTGATCGATGATTATCCATATGCAGCAGACGGTCTTTTGATCTGGAAAGCCATCAAGAGCCTAGTCGAATCCTATGTCAAACACTTCTACTCTGATCCCAAATCCATAACCTCTGACCTTGAGCTCCAAGCTTGGTGGGATGAGATCAAGAACAAAGGTCACTACGACAAAAAAGACGAAACTTGGTGGCCTAAACTCAACACAACACAAGACTTATCCCAAATCCTAACCAACATGATATGGATCGCCTCGGGTCAACACGCAGCCATAAACTTCGGACAGTACCCGTTCGGAGGGTATGTCCCAAACCGACCCACGCTGTTGAGGAAACTTATACCGCAAGAAACCGACCCGGACTACGAAATGTTCATGCGAAACCCTCAATACAGCTTCCTAAGCTCTCTACCAACACAGCTCCAAGCAACTAAAGTGATGGCGGTCCAAGAAACGCTCTCGACACATTCCCCTGATGAAGAATACTTGATCGAGCTGAGAGAAGTGCAAAGACATTGGTTCCAAGATGAAGAAGTGGTTAAGTATTTTAACAAGTTCTCGGAAGAACTTGTGAAGATAGAGAAGACGATCAACGAGAGAAACAAGGACAAGAAACTCAAGAACAGAACAGGTGCTGGGATGCCTCCTTATGAACTACTTCTCCCTACTTCACCACATGGAGTCACTGGCCGTGGTATTCCCAACAGCATTTCTATTTAGATGTATGCACAACTGATTTGTATCGTATTATGTCTTATATGAGGAATATTACTTCTTTTTTTGTTTCCAACGTATCATGTAATATACACAAGAAGTCAAGAAGGTTTAATCATCCCTCACTGGCTTCTTCTTTGAAACATGCGACATAAAAATCTCAAGAAGAACTAATGTTGCCCTGCACGAGGTCATGCTTCTCTAGGACAAAAAAAAATCGAAAACTGTCTTGTGAATCATATAGTGGTTAAAGGTGCTTTTGGTTGGGTTTCTAGTTGTTGGATTGTATTATTAATCTTTTTGTGATTTAAAAGTAACAATTATATAGAAGTGGGTCAAAAAGCAGAATTTCATATATATAGAACTGATCGTGAGTTTATACCAACTACTATATTTCTTGTTATCTTGTGCGGTCTTTCTAATCGTAGTATCTCTTCACACTTGTTGAATGTGTAATTCCAACCACTATTAATAAAAATGAACATGTAATCTCTAACCCATATGTTTCTAGAATAATGGCGTCTAAGCCATATATATATATATTAAGAGTATAATATGCTAAGATCGATATCTTAAACAAATACAGTTTATTAGAAAAATATTTGTCAATTTTATGGACTAAGATCTATCGCATGGCTATACATCTCAATTAAAATAATAAATATATGTTTACTACTATAACATAATTAAATTTACGGTGAAATAACCAGCAAAAAAAAATATGTTGCAAACTACATTTTGCTCGAACTTCATTTCATGAAATCCATCTAACCACAACATAAACCAAAGCTTTTCATAAATGAAAAAAAAAATAATAAATATAAAAAGATTGAGGGAAAGAAAATCGGTATTGAAAAAAGAGTAATAAAAAAATGATAGTATTACAAGTATGGATCTCAATCTCATGAAATAATGGAACCGTTATGATAACGAGGAATTCATATCGAACAAAATTTCACTGGTTTTTTCATGTCAGATCAATGAGTTTACATGACAATAACACTTACATTCATCTGTAGAAGAAAAAATATATTAAGGCACAACATATCGTTTATGATCGATCGAGAACGCAAAATACCGGCGTGGAGAAAAGAAAGATGTCCGACGCCGAGGAAAGAATTATATTATAAGCATATATGTTATTAATGAGGTCAAGGGTGGAGCCATAATAATGTTTAGGATGTCAAACTTGTAAATTCTTTTCTGAAGGATAAGAAAAACTCATTGCTTATGCATTTGTTTAGTTGTATTTAGTCAATTGGGTTTAAGTCGGATTTTATATACAGATTAATGGAGTTTTTGTCGTCATTAAATGTATGTACAAAAATTGTCACGAAATTAATGAAGATATAGTTTATGACATATTTTGCTTTATTTGTGTAAAGATCATTATACATTTGTAAGTGACCAGTTCTCTATCGCGGTTTAGCTGAAACCATATCAAAATTATGGTAAATGTAATTTGTAACATATATACAGTATATATATATTCCACTTGATGGCATATCACCATGTATTAAATTCTTGGTTATGTGTAAGTAAATATTCATTATTTTAGGCTGGATGTGTAAATGGATCTTAGTTTATGTAACTGACAAAATCATATTTAATTAATTGGACAGAAAATTGTTACTAGCCGATCAACAATGAGATTGTGTAGATGGTTTCTTTATTATATGCGCTTCATGTTTATATAACTCACACGTTTGAATAATTCACATAAACACTATTTTTAAATTCTAAATGTTTTATTATTTGTATGATGAAAGAAAATAGTTTATAATTTTTCAGATCTGAGGAAATTAGTTTTTTTTTTTCTTTTTCTTTTCACGACCAAAAAGAAAAAAAAAATTATCATTGATCCCTATCACACGAATTATGACGATGTCCACAAAAATATATATATATTTTTTTTTTTTTTAGCTGAGACTCCCCCGAAGAGGAGAGCCTTCCAAAAATTGTGGGTATTGGACTTTAATCAGATTTCACTTGCTTATCTCTCCACATAAACCCGAAGGTTTGAGAAGGATGACACAGCTTTAAAACACTCTTTAAAGAAAGAGTGATCCTCATTTGGTTTAAAACCCAAACCCCAGGATTAGTTGACCCTCTGCCGTCTCATAATCTATTTGGTATATGGTCATTTCGTCTTTACTAATGTTTGTAATTGTACATATTGCTGCTTAGTGTAGGATCTTCTTATTTTGTTTGTTTATTTGAAAATGCTTTAAACAAAACAAACTTTGAATGAATTTCTCACAAAAGATTTAAAAATTTGTATATATATATATATATATCAATTTATATGGTCATTAATTTATGATACTAATGAAACTATATATATATATATATATATATATTTATATACAGTATGAGTTAAAAAAAAAAATTATCTTATCAGCTTATTAAAATTTGTTAATCTTTCTTTACATTGGTTATCCGACTTGAGATCAAATAGTTTTATTAGGCGGCTTTTCCACGTCTACAATAATCAGGGGAAACTGGTCACACTCTATCAAATGTGTTCCGCATCCATCATCGACCGTTAAACTCAAACCTAACCCCACTTTGAGTTTTTAATCTAACGGCTTAAAACATCCTAAACCAGAAATTAATTTTATAAATTTCCCCTCCCAAATCACACCGCTAACTAAATGCCAAATCCCTCGATTCTTGGATTTATATTCCCAATTTCTTCAAAAAAAAAATTCAATTTTCAGATCAATCGGAGAAATGAATCACAACCGTCGATATCACGAGAGTCTTCTGATTCGGTAGATGGCGATTTCAAATGAGATCGAAACCGCCATTAACGAGCTTCCATATTGTTGAAATCTCTCAACGTATCTGATGGAGAGTCAACAACAACAACAATCACCGGACGTTGAAACGCCGTTGTTGATCAATTCAAATCAGGATCATCAAGAACGACCTTCGCCGGAAACCGACGGCGGAGGAGGAGGAGAGGGTGTTAATGATGACCTAGACCGAACGCTGGAATGGTTAGAGACGTTTCTGACGCTCCTTGGGTTTAATCAATCGTCTACACGAAGCCTTGTTTTGTCTTGGATTGTGTTTTTAGCGATTGGTTTGGTGCTTCCGGTTACAGTGTTGGAGCTAGGGCATTGTTTAGGGTGTGAGAGATATCAATACAAGAGTTTTGAGCTCAATATCGTTGTTTCACAGGCGTTGTTGGCTGGTGTTTCTTTGCTTTGTGTTTCTCATAATTTGAGAAAACATGGAATTAGAAAGTTTTTGTTCGTTGATCAACTTAGTGGTCGAATGGATCGTCTCAAGGCTCAATACATTCAACAAATCTTGGTATGCTCGGTAGCTTTCTCTGTTATGGTTAATTGAGTAGTTCTGGGCCGAAGCCGTATATCTCTCTCGCTATTGGGGCTGCAATAGCCCATCCTAAGCGAGAGTCGAACTTACTTGGTGTATAACATCTAGATCAAGAGAATTCTAATATGCAAAATGTTTCTTTTTAGTGAGAATTTTCAAGATTTCTAATCAAGTAAGCTTTTTTATTTGTGATGCAGAACTCTGTGAGGTTGCTTGCAGTTTGGTCGCTGCCATGTTTTGCGTTGAAAGCTGTTCGTGAGATCATCCGAATGTATTATGTGCCTCATGACCAGCCGTGGCTATCTGTTGCAATTCTCTTGTCTATGATCTTGTCATGGACTTACTTAAGCACTGTATTTCTAGCTGCAAGTGCCATGTTTCATTTAGTATGTAACTTGCAAGTTATTCACTTTGAAGATTATGCAAAGCTCTTAGAAGGGGAGTCTGAAATCTCCCTTTTCATCTACGAGCATATGCGTTTGCGTCATTATCTTTCCAAAATAAGCCATAGGTTCCGCATCTTTCTACTTTTACAGTTTCTGGTTGTCACAGCTAGCCAGTTTACTACGCTTTTCCAGACCACTGCGTATAGCGGGCGTATCACTTATGTAAATGGTGGTGATTTTGCGGTAAGTCAACCTCTGGTGCTTCTTCTTCTTATTCACTGGTGTTATGTTCTTATGTGGTGAGGTTAAGCTTGGAGCATGATATGTTTTCAGGTCTCGGCTGTGGTCCAAGTTGTTGGAATCATTCTGTGTCTGCATGCAGCAACAAAAATATCTCATAGAGCTCAAGCAATAGCATCAGTTGCAAGTAGATGGCATGCGATGATGTCTTGCTCGTCTACAGATTCAACTCAGATAAGGACATCTCCTAGTGGAGTTCACTTGGAGGCCACCACGAATCCACCCATCTCCTTTCCGATTTCCCGTTCAGATAGTGATGTGGAATCAATGGATCACTACATGAGAATGCCTTCTACTAACCACTTTCCTTCATACATGTCCATGTCCTCATATCACAAAAGACAAGCTTTCGGTGAGGATTGTTTCGCCCTTTTTTACTTGTAACTTTTCCGCCAAATTCAGAGATGATGATGGCTAATGAGGTGATATGTTGCAGTGTTGTATTTGCAGATGAATCCAGGCGGGATAACGATATTCGGGTGGACAGTAGACAGGCATTTGATAAACACAATATTCTTCATTGAGCTCTCTCTAGTTACTTTTGTACTTGGCAAGACTGTGGTTTTCGGTTCTGAATGACCAAAAAAGAGAGAAGGATTTGGTGTATCATGCATAGCTTTTTTACCTTTTGCCATATAGTGAGATTTTTCAATTTATAGGAGAAGATACTTGACATGAGCGTCTCTTAACTTGCTTACGTGAAGAGTGTACAAAGCTATAGTGACGAGGCTTAATTTGTACCTCTTACACTCTTTTTTCATCTTTCTTTCATGTGAATGGCGATTAGTACATCATTAGTTTATGTTCAAGTTCATGTTTATCTATCCTGCCACTAAATACTTAAATGTTTTTGGGGCATTTCCAATATGGAATCCGCACAAGTCAAGCCTTTGGACCTCGTTAAAAGCAATCTGACTCCGGTCCAGACTTTGGACCAATTCTTTAAGAGCGATTGGAGACTGACCACTTCGGGAGTGTTCTTTATGAAAACAATTGGCTAGGCATTGATGTCAAGGTTCAAATATCATATTCATGGGGTCCTCAATGAAAAGGCCGTAAGCGTCATGTCCAACACCACCAAAACACTACAGCAAGATGCATGCTCAACTATATTGATACATGCCCACTACGAATCCGGTACTTTATGATAGATTTGTCATCCATTTCTTGACCTGTAACTCTGTAAATGACCTGGACCTTGACTCAAGGCTTCCTTGCATCACCATTTTTAGTGTCATGACGTGTCTCTGGGAAAGAGTTACAGCTTGAATACAGCTATTCCAGGCTAGAATCACGATAAAATGTCAAAATCAACGGATGTATGCCCATGCAAAAATGAAAGATAAAACTTTCAAGGATCCAAGAAGAAACTGGCTGGTTTAAAGAATGTTCTACACAAGTCACTTGTTAACATTTCCCTGCAAATTCTTCTTTACAGGTTGAGAGTCTTAAGACGAAAAATGTCAATTTTAGTACACTTTGTTACTGAAAACCTAAGTCCGAGTATAACCATGAAATCAACAAACTGCAAAGAAAATGGGGCTATAGCTTATTTAAGAGACATTGGCATGGTTATCCCTGCCCAGAGTACCCATGATTTACTTTATATGCTGTCACGAGCTCCTGAGCAATCAAAGTAGAAAGCGGAATCCACATAAAATTGTTCACCCTACAGACTAGAAACTATAATATTTGTATGCTTATAGAGCAACCATCTGATCTCAGAGAACGCACACCAAAAAAAAAAAAGTTACAACCCTACAAGCAGCAGGACTATACATTACCTTGCGGAGATTCTTCAGCAACCGCATAAGATCTTCTTCAAGACAAGAAGAGTGTCACCTCCACTTCAACACCAGTGTTTCTTGCAAACACAATGTCAATATTATATATAAAAAGCAGGGTAGATAAAGAGAATTGTCGGGGAAAAGAATAGGTTCTCCCTCATAGTAGTTAAAAAAAAGGGTCACTATTCAATAACACTATGCTACATACATAAATTTTAATAAGAAATGAGTTTTTATTATCTAGCCACACCTTACAGAACAAGCACTGTCAAAAAGCCGTAGCACTAACTGACCAGCCTAGCTTGTGAACACATTAAACCTGCAAGGATTCTCAGTGGCGAAAGGAGGAAAATCATCTTCACAAATCACCATGGACCCTCAAAGTGAGTAAAGAAAGCATGAATGATATTCTGAGATACAAATGTTCCAACCTCCACTTAAGCAGCAGCCCTCGCCTACAATGTGGTAATTCCAAGGTATTTGAGAGTAACAAGGTTGTATTCCAACTGCTACCTCCGACCGGCGTGCTGCACTTCAGCCAAACAGACCGCCAGACCCAAGTTCGGTTTGTGTTAATTCCTTCCTGCGTTGCTCTTCCAGAGGATCAGGGCTCTTTACCATTCTCCTCCCACGCCTTCACATAGAAGAAAAGGTTAAAGACAGAATTAAAGTCAACCAGTGAGTTTCAGTTTAGATAGATCTCAGTACCTGTCTTGGGCATGTTGAGCAGGGAAAGTAGGCATGAAATCTTTGGATTTTGGCAGAGGAACTTCACGGAACCAATCATGCTTTAGAGCTTCATCAACAGTTATTCTCTACAAAAGAAGCCCCACAGATCCAAAAGTCAAGGAACAATTAAGGTGCATACTGGATTAATGGATGCAACAGATATATATTTTCTATTACCCTCTCAGGATCGTACGTTAGGAGCTTGTTCAGCAAGTCAAACCCAGCATCGGACAGAACTGGTGCACCAGTGAATGAAGTGGCTGGGAATTTCTTACGTAATAGGTTATACCTAAAAGAACAGGCCAGCGGTGAGAAGAACGGCATAACAACTATGAAAACAATAAAAATCCACTAACGAGCCAGAGAGCCACACCACATCACCTAAAGCTATAAAGCCTGGGAACAACATTGGAGATTTTAAGCAAATTTATACTAGGTTATCCTTGCATAAAAACTGAAAACTACAAGGAACTATAAATACTTACTGATGCTTGACAAAGTTGACCTTGACTCCAGGCAGCTTGGAGAACCCAGGCCAAATGGATTCATTGGGAGTACCAAGGATTCTGAAAATCTGTGAATTAAAAGAAGCAATCATTTATACGCTGTATGTGGTCCTAGGCTGGCTGGAGATCCAAATCAAAACCGATGTTTAAAATACCTTGTCAAGTTGATCAAACTCCGTTTTCCCATTGAACAATGGCGCCTTCATTAATAGTTCTGCCATGATACAGCCCAGTGACCACATGTCAATGGCTGTAGAATATTGTTTTGCTCCCAAGAGAAGTTCAGGTGCCCTGGAAAAACAAATGCAGTCGTTGGGCTTGGTCTTGGAGGAAGTGATTATTGCTAAAACAAGAAGGGAGAGTCAACACAAGGAACAAAATAAATCAAGAAAGTAGAAGACATATATTTCCTAATGTGCCCAGTTTATAATGGGTCATTCTAAGTGGAGTCCAAGCAAATACCGCAAAAGCGTTAAGTATTCAATGGCTAAGCTGGCATCTTATGAAGACTATTCTCAAAGAGGAAAGATAAGGATCCAAGTCAGCCACAATATTCAAATTTGTGGTGTCATTGGGAAAAATATCAGAAACCATGGAACGTCATTTAGAAACAGGACTTTTAGAATCATTGATCCTAATGTGCAGGAATAGAAAAGGGAGTAAGGTGTAGTACAGCTATACCGGAAAGGAGATGTGGCACCTAAGGTTATACTAACAATGGCCAAAAATACAAGAAAGTCCACCCGACATCAAATTACAATCGTAAATGTAGAAACCAACAATTTTCAATAAACTAGAATAGGGTAAAAACGCATTTACCTGTACCAAAGCGTAACAACCAGATGAGTATAAGGCTTCAGCGGGCTGCCATATTGCCGAGCCAAACCAAAGTCACATATCTTCAACTCACCCCGATTGTTTAAAAGCAGGTTAGATGTTTTCAAATCTCGATGAAGCACCCAGTTGTCATGAAGATACTTGACGCCCTCTAAAAGTTGAAGCATTAAGCATTTAACTTCACTTTGACTGAAACGCTGCTTCATTGTCTCCATCAATGCTTTAAGATCATGTTCCATGTATTCCATCACCATAAAAATGCTATCAAGGCTACTACCCACGACCACCTCTTTAACATCCACTATTGATGGATGATGAAAAGAAAGAAGTATGTTAATTTCCCTAAGAGAAGTCAATGGAAAACCTTCTCTTTCTTTTTCCATCTTCACCTTCTTCAATGCCACAATTTCTCCTGTCTTCTTATCCTTTGCTCTATAAACCACACCATAAGTACCTTCATCTATCTTATTTAATCTCTCAAATTCATCAACACTTCTACAACCCTGGAGCATGTTTATACTTCTCAGTGGAGTACTGGCAGGTTCAGGTGTCTCATGCCGAACATATTCGTCATCCGAATCTGTTTCACTAAGGCTGTCACTAGTGTTTCCTCTTCTGTGTTCCTCCTCATCTATTTCCATCTTGTCACCCTTAACAGCATCCTTCTCCTCAAAATCATCTCTACTTCCTGGCAAAGAATGGTGCCCCCTTTCGTCGGAATCAGATGATCTATAACCTTCCCTCACTAACTCCCCGACCTCAGGGGTTTGAGACTTATTGCGCAATCTCCCCTGCACGGGAAATGGTTTCTTCCTCCTTTTACTTGCTCCCACTTCTTCTACTATTTCACCTTCATCATTTGGAGAACTGTTGCCAGCAGCCCACCTAGAGGATGATATATGCCTTGTTGGCATGTTTTCCTCCTCTTCCAGGTGTGTTGCATCCTCTTGTTTGCCATCCTGCCCAGCATTTGATGATTGTTCTACCACACACAAAGAAGACATCTCTACCGAAGGTGACAAAGCAGGCACAGAAACACCAACTTCCACGGGATCTTGACGCATGTTACTCTTTGCAGGTGAAAAATGAGAATTACCCCCACAACTGACACTAGGTGACTGGCTTGACCTCTTAATTAGTGGTGGTGGGGGAGGAAGAGGAGTAACCTCGACAGGTTTTTCATTTCTGCTCGAATTACTTCTTTCATGGTCATCTCTGTCCCATACTATCGGTGAAAACTTTCTCTTCTTTTCTACAGGACTTTGAGCTCTATTCTCTACCTCCTTCACAACTCCATTAACTTTCGCCAGTGATTCCGACTCAATCAAATCGTCCGACCCACTCTCACTAGAGAGCTCACCTGGTTCCCTATCCACACACCGAGCTGAAAACACGCATCTTTTAGGACCACGATCAAGTAAGACTTCCCTACTACCTGGATTGCTCTTCGATAACCGAAACCCACTATTAACCATTTCCTTCTCTTGCTGTCTAGTTCCGGACCTAAATCTATCTCTATCTTTACCGCTATCCCCGTGTCTTAGATTACTAACCCGTCCCTTTTCATTATCAAGAGCACCGTTCCTAACATGGTCATAATCCTCGTTCGAATAAGCACTATCACGCCTAGAAAATCTAGAATTCGATTCCTGGTCTCTCAGTTCATGGTCAGGATATCTTAAATTCCTCCCAGCAGCCATACAATCAGTTCCAATCTTAACTTCAGTGGTAAACGAAAACCCCAAATCCTAATTTGACGAACTCTTAAATCTGCTTCTAGCCGTGTTCAAAATCAGAATCGCAGAGACTATACCTCGCGATGTCAAAATTAGAATTACGTACCGAACAAACAGCTACTTGTGATCAAATCGCTTAAAAATTGAAGCAGAACTTGTGATCAGAACCGTGAAACCCTAGAAATCGAAAGCGAGACCCGCGGATACCGAGGAAGAGACGACGAAACGAGAAGAGAACTCAGATTTGGAAAGTGAAAATTCGATTGATAAAGAATTCGCAGAGTTCCGATTGACGACGGGTGGATATAGCTTACCGTCGAGAGGGAACGAACAATGGCGGAGAGAGAGAGAAGGAAGTTTCTCGTCGAAAGCTAAAAGCTAAAAGCTAGTTTCCGATTTTGAGGTCTCTTAAATCGTTTTTTTGTATTTCTCCCCTCCATTTTATTTGTTTTACTAAAAAGAAACCCCTAAATTTTCTAATTAATAAATGTGTTTCTTTTTATTTTTAAACTATTTTTAAACGTCTATAACAATATTATTGGAACCACAACATATTTATATAAACGTTAATTAATATTTATTAAATTTACAATATGTATCAGAACTTATGAATTTTTATCGTGAGATTTTACCATCAAATTGACCAAAAAAAAAATCAATTTCGTGAGATAACCACACCCAAAATCAAACGAATCGTCGTCACCTTGACTACAAACACTATAATAGATTATAGGTGTAATGAAAGTCGATGTCGGAGCACTACTGAAAACATCTAGCTACGATGTGGGATTTGTACATAGCAATACTATGTTGGGTAATCGATTTATCATAAATACCCACTTACATCCAACAATACTCAGAGCACAAGACATAGAAACCAGATCTCAAGTTATGTTATGAACAAGGGAGCTTGTGTAATCGAGGTTGGTTCCATTGCAGTCATTGAAGCTGCAAGATTGAGCTTTGTAACATGTTTATGAATATGATGTGTGACCATATTGTGAGTTGGTGCATGAGAGATTATGAAGGAGACAACGGAACAACTGGAGCAGTGAGAGGGATGACATATGTAGTCGCTGAAGCTAACGGAGATGAGAAAGGAGTACATATGCTCATTTTAAAGAGCGAGTGATGGCCACTACAAACTATGAAAAAGTTAGATAGGCAGAAACCGGAAGACTCATGTTGGAGAAGGTAAAGAGAAGGATACGATGAGGAGACGAGAATCAAGAAGAGAGAAATGGATTCGATTTTTTCAGCTCCACATGAAGTAGTTTTGTTGGTGAACTTTATCAAGTATGTCAAATTGGATGTGCAGGGTGCTTTGCGAGTGAAGTAAAGGTAAAAGAGGGAAATCATCTAGGTTATGCTCTTTGCTTTGATACCATTTATTTTATTACACATGATGAACCCTATAAAAAGGAAATGAGCAATTTGTACAATATAAAAAATATACAGTATATGAGAATCTTGTGTTTATATCAATATTAAATACTAAACACCTAATTTAACGATCATTCATGAATATTTAGTGTTTTAAAAAGTGTTTGACACTAAATGATGGCGATCCACTACAGTTTTAAAGGTAAACGAGAATTCATTCGGGGAGCGACCGACTCTCTCTTCTCTAACTAAAATCTTTTAGAGAGAAGATCGGATTTGCTTCGCCGACCGGATCTTTTCCGGTGTTTGCCAACCCGTTTCTTCGGGCTTCTGTCTGGCATCCTCCGGCTTCCGTAGCGGAGATGGCTAGCTACCGTCTGGTAGCGTCCGGCTCCTATTGGCGACGTTGGCCGGCTTCTGGTTCCTGATTCTGGTGGCTTTCATAGCACCAGAGTTAGCTTTTGTTTTTAATGGCCATAGTTTCTTTCGGTACCGACGGATCTTCTTTCCGTTTGGTTTTAGGTTTTAATTATCATGAACTCTTCAATTTCTCTTTTGTTTCTTCTTCTTACAATCGTCGGAGATCTCGATGCTCTTATCGTATCGTCCCTTAGCTATCATATCTGTTGTTGTGGTAGATGAAGCGGTTTTGGGCAGCCTATTTTTAGGTTTCCTCCACTCGATCCAACTCTCAGATCTGGGCGAGATCTGCTCAGTTCTTGGCTCCTCCCACCGGATCTAAGTCGATTAATTCGACAACTCCGACCCAGGTTTCAATCGACGGTTTCATAAAGCCTCTAGTGAGGTTCAACCGTTTTGCCGACATAAGGATGCTCAAGATTTTAATTTTCCAAGTCTTTAAATCACCAAGCGAGGAAAGAAGACCAGAAGATCTATAATGAAGTTGTCAGAAGATCCTCCGATGAATTATGAACTTCTGTTCTCAGATTTCATCGGCGCAAAGTAGAAGTTTGAAACAAGTAGTGATTTTGTAAGTCTTCATGTTTAATTTGGTTTTCGTTTCCGGGGGTTTCATTCCCGCCGGCTTAGTTTCCGGGGAATTTGTTTCCGCCGGCTCAGTTCCGAGGATCCATTCCCGTCGGCTTATGTTTGTAATATTTTGTGTAAATTCAATAAAAGTTCTTCAGCGCTCAAAAAAAATGATGGCGATCCAACGTTAATGCTTAATAGAAACCTAACCGATTTTAGATAGGTTTATAATATGAGTCATCTCTCATCTTAGACTTTTGTTTTTTTGGCTCTTTACGAAATTTAACAATCAAAATCATACCACTTTTCAAAAAAAAAAAAAAAATTATCAAACTCACTATCAAGTAGTATTAACTAAATTACTTAAACATTGATATTAAAAAAAAGTAGTACAGTACTATCAATTTTACTTTTCCATCATATACACCTATAATTGGTTTGTTAAAAAGCCCAACACCGGTCACATCAAAGATTATGAGTTTCCCCAATGTGTTTATGTATATATAAAAAAGTTAGCGACATAGTTTTTAGTACTTAGTAATCAAAAGTACACATAGTTGACATAGTCAAACCACTCGTGGGACCTTGATTAACATTGAGAGTCCCTGGCTCAATTTCTTTTATCTACTTCCCCAAACAAAACCATTGAATCTTTTGTTTTGCGTTAGTTATTGAATATCACTAAATCCATACGATTACATTCTAAAGAAAATAATGAGAATAAACGATTATTGACACCAACAGCGAGAGGGAAGCTTAAATGAGAAAGAAAAAGAAGAAGGCAAGTGACCACTTCTCCTTATATAATCGGCTTTCTCCGATGTCTTCACCGCCTTTTCGTTTAGCTTCGCCTCCGCGTTTGCCCTCCTCTCTTCCGCTATCCTTTTCGTCGCCGCTAGCTTGTTGGCCAGCTTCTCCTCTGCCCTTGCTTTCATCCTCTCCGCCTTCACCTAAACACACATTCACACATTTTTCTCAAGCCTCTTTGAATCCAAAACCGAATCCAAAAAAATACGAATCCAATCCAAATCAAACTTATCTACACTACTTAATTTTTTTTTCTTAAAAAAACGAAAAAAACCGAACCGAAATTCGGATTGAAACACGTGTTGATAAGTCTCTTTCCTCAATTAGACAGAACAACTTACCTCCATTTTCTTCATCTCCATCTCTGCCTTTCTCTTCTCATGATTCTCCCACGCTTGTATCTTCACTTCCTCTCTCTTATACCTAATTCCACAACAAAAATAAACAACAACTCAATCTCAAACACTAATCACATTAACCATATTAAAACCAACCATCAATTAACGTTAATGACCTAGCCATGAATTTAGCACGTTCTGCTTCATCCCAAGCCATAGCTCGAGCTTCCATCGCACTCATCGCCTTCTTACTCTCCCCAAAACCATTAACATTCTCATTATTATTACTCTCTACCCTCCTAACCTCCATCACAGTCTCCGTCACAATCCCCACCGCCTCACCGCGTTGCGAAGCCCTCACCGGTGAAGTCACAGGACTTCTCCCAACCGGTGTAGTAGCTCGCACCGGTGTAGCTGTTCTAGAAGGCTCTTGACTACCAATAGGAGTCATCTCAGTCCCCATATCTCTCACACAAACCGATCTAATCACAGCCGTTGGATTAATACTACTATCTTTCCTCCAAACCGATTCACCACAATCAACATTCTTCGTCTCAACCTCCGGCCTTCCCGCAGCCATCTCTTCATCATCATACTCAACATACTGATCTTCTCCTTCACGTTCTCTTTGTGAAGCTGAAGCTATAAGTCTAAGATCATCCGCGTTAGAGTTTCTCGGCTTATTACTTCTAGAGTGATGACTACTCTTCTCACCACCTCCACCACCTCCACGAGCAAACCCTACACCAGAAAGCCATTTCTGAGCATCGTCCCATTTTGACGGTGCAGGCTTCCCCATAGTAGACCGGTGATGGTTTGGTGTCCGGTTAGAACCTTTCTGAAACTCAAAACCGTTCGATATCTCCGGTGTTGCTGGTCCTATCCATCCTTTGTTATCTTCAACACTAGATCTCATTCTTTAAAAATAAATAACACAAAGATCTTCGAAGCTTTTTTATCTATATGGATGGATAGAGAAATGACTTAGAAGGATAATAATAATCAAAGTGAGGGAAAATAAAAGATGTGGCGAAGCAATCAAAGAGTCGTCACTCTCATAGGAACCCACTTGATGATGAAGTTGAGAGATTTCAGAAATGTGACATTAATGTCCAGATGGGTTGTTGTATAGACGAGAATGATAGTGTCTTTATAACTCTCTAATTATCACTCTGTTTTTTTCCATATAAATAGCAGAAATTGATATAGACCCACTATTTTTTGTTTTTACTTTAAATTTAATGGGTTTTTATAATAATGCTCAGATCTGGTTTGTGATAATAATACTGTAAAAAAGTTTATTAATTATGTGTACATGGGGAGGAAGTGACTAAGTAATCAACATTAGAATAATTAAGTGATGATAGTACTAATGCAAATGCAATGGGAACAATCACAAAACAATTAGGAGGAATCTTGGAAGAAGTAAAAGAGTTTGGGAAAAGGTTAATAATGTAGTTCCCGAGATTGGTATTTTTTTTAAGATACGACTACTACAGTTGTACTTTTTAACGGTAACTTTAGATTAGATTTTTTTTTTATAGATGAAGGTGGTTTTGTTGTAGAGATGATGACACGTGTACGGTTCAAGATCTTGGAATGAGTGGCGAGAGATGGGTTTTGTCGGTCCGGGTTAGGGTAAAAGCGGGTCCGGGTTTGACTGACAAAGTCACGTGGTCTTTGACAGGTCCCTCTATTGCTTTTGGTTTCTTATGGATTCATTATTATGTACTTCCTTTAACTCGCATTTTCTATTTTTGATAAGCTTTCTAAAATGTGACAAAAAAATAATTAAAAAATATTAGTGAACTTTTTAAAATTTTACAAGCTAAATGAAAATTATTAATGTGGTTCCAATCTTAGGCATCGTTGTTTCTTCCTAGTCTTTTTGTTACTTATCTTCATATGTGGCGATGGCTAAGGGGCCGATTGGTAACGACTTTAAATTATCGCTGTAGAAACTTTGACTGTAAAAACTTTCGCTGTAGAAACTTTTGCTTTAAAGACTTTGACTGTATAAATTTTATAACTGATTGGTAAAGAATGTGACTGTAAAAATTACAATTTTAAATAACTACCAAATATATAGGAAAGTGGATCTTAATAGAACAATAAAAAAAAATTAATTGTAAATAAACTGAATTTTTTCAAAAATTAATTTATTTGTGAATGTTATGAGAGTTTACATGTATATATGAAAAGAAAAAGAAGAAAAACTATAAGCTTTTAATTTATTTATTTATAAAGCCTCATTTACGTGACTTTAAAAAAAAATTGAAAACAAAGAGTAAAAAATAAAAAAGAGACTTTAAAGGCTTTACAATTTTTTAAAGCCAAAAAAGCTTGATTGGGTAAAATAGACTTTGAAAACTTTTAATTTATTTCTAAAGCCTTAAAAGTCTAATCCAATCACCCCCTAAATTAGATTTTGGTAATTAAACAACCTTACCACTTGAATAGAAAACAAGAAGTAAAATTGTCCAACAATGTAAGAAGAGTAAATCAGACCAGATGGTTGTTTATGGAGGGGGTCGTAGTCCTCCACACTCAGCTCATTGTTTGGCACAAGATGTGGTTGTGGTTAAGGCTATGTTTGATGTTGCCGTTGGGGCTGAGTCTAAGTTTGAGGTCTCGTCGAAACTTCACCACTGACAATTCTCCATGACACGTCCACAAGTAGTATCAATGTATCATGACGCTTTATGTTCTTACATTGAACACACGGAAACAACATATTTCCCCTCTCGGTGTAAGAATGTTGACTTTGTACTAAATTTAGAATTGTGATCAACCCATCCACATACTCATCAGAAATACTGTTTTTCTCGGAATCTAATCTTCTGTACATCCACTCTCTCTCTCTCGGACAATACATTTCGGGTAAAAGACATTATGCTAAAAAAGAATTTGAGATGTGTTGTGATGATTTTTGGATAGGAATTGAGAAATGTAGTTCTTTCATAAATGATAGCTGGCCACTGATGACTATATGAAATCTATTCGTTAGAAAAGTAAAACCAACTATTGAATTGGACACCGATGTGTTGTGGCCACCGAAATTCAAAATGACAACCGATTTTGCCACCGATATTCGTTGGCCACAGATTTGGTCATAACCATTTTGGTGGCCAATCTGTGGCTAATCAATGGTGATGCATGATTGTATATATGACTATGAGTAATCATGTATAGAATGTTTAAGAATGATTAAATGATAACAAGAAGATGATAGAATGTGAATATATGCAGGATTTCTCCATCAAAGGTACTTAATCAGCTCACCTGTTAGTTTAAATAAACTATATGTTTCATTTCAGGAGGTCTTATCAACGTAAAAAGCTATTCCTCATTATACAATCACTATTAGAGGAATCATATCAGCTAGCTCGTGCCATCTTCAAAGTGGCAGAGGAAACAGTAGTTAATGCTAAGAAATGTGTCGATATTAGCATTAGCTCTATAGCAATGTCGATAGCTGCAAGATTTTGTAAAGAGGATCCATTGCTTGGCGTTTTTTTGGATTATACCTTACTCTACTTTATAAGAATGATCCACGATAGAGATAGAGCATTTTAATAAAAATGAGTTTCAAAGTATATTGATCCTGCTGAATCTAAACAGATGATGTTCACTATATTTCAAGGCACAAACTCCACTTTTTTACCACTTCATAATTCTGTATAATGACGTTTCATGTTTCCTAACAAGAACAAACCTATAATATGTTGTCAATGATTAGAAGCTGAGCAGCACAAAAAAAGGAAAGAAACTAACATCGATGAAACCCAGTTTCCAGATTACATTTGCATATCATGGCTACTTCAACTACCTACCAGTGACTTTGACACACGATAGAGCAGAAAAGGCGAGCTTTCGCTACACCTTAAGCTACTTTGCTATCAAGATGACCAAGTACCCAACAACTGCTGTGGATATTCCAAGCATTCCACCAGCAATGACCTGATCACACCAAAATATAGATAGTCTCAGATACTAATAACCACAATCATTCTCTGACTCAATTAGTACTACATACTTACCTGTGGAGGAGTATGACCTAGAAGTTCACGCAACGGTCTGCTTTCAGCCAGAGGATGTTCTGCAGGAAGTTCATACACAATCTGATTAAGAACCTGCAAACAAATCAAACCCGAATCAGTAAACCAAAACACGCTTCCGACACCGAAAAAAAAAGAAAAGAAACATAATCAAACCTCAGCTTGGCGTCCAGCATGTAACCTTACACCAGTTGCATCATACATAACCTACCACACAAACAAACAAATCCTAACAACTTAATCATCCCCTGAAGTGATAATCAAGAAAGGTAATTAATTAACTGAGCTAAAAACATACAATGGTAGTGAGAACCAAAGCGATAGCGAAATGTGATCCACCAAAACCTTCTTGTAAACCAACAGCTAAAGCTAAAGCTGTAACTGTTGCTGAATGCGACGAAGGCATACCTCCAGACCCAACAAGCCGTTTCAAATCCCATCTTCTTTCTTTATACCTACACAAAAAAACTTACACCAAATTAAGCTTCATAATCTTCCAAATCAAAATTCTACAAATACTCTCTGTTTCTTTAACCTAGAGAGATATGAATAACGTACCAGGAGGTGAAGAATTTGATGAATTGTGCGATGGTGAAAGCTAGAAGGGATGAAATCAGTGGGAAATTTGTGAAGATTGAGATATAGTGTGACGAAGATGAAGCCACCGATTGATCCATTGTGACGATGATCGATTGATCTTTCTTGATCGTAGGGTTTCAATCGCGTGATAGGTCTTCTACAGGGTAAAGAAAATACAGAGATGACATGAAATCATAAAGCAAAACCTGTCGTTGCGTGAGTCTCTCTAATGGCTTCTTCTTCTTCTTCTTCTTGCTGAGTTTTATTTTCTCGCTTTTTCTTCGGCAACAAACAACGGCTTTTATTTAATGTTTTTTTTTTTTTTTACTAAGTATATTAATGACAAAACAGCTGTTATCAAACTTTTTTTCAAACATCTGAAATTGCATTTATCCGATCTTATATAATATAAATATTATCTTATAAATTCTGTTGGTTTTTTTTTTTGGTTAATAATGTTAAATATTTCTGTTGATAATATCCAAGGACATCTAATATTTGTTTAGACTGATAATGTGTATAGAGCTTTTATTTTGTATAAAGTTTTTATCCAGGAAAAAAGTTTAAAATCGGCTAGTTGGTGTTATGAGTGAAATGGACACAAATTATATCATGATAAATTAGAATACTGGATATACACGTTAAATTGATTTCGTTCGATCTTATGTATTGGTAGGTGATTGAGCAGATTAGCAGAATATGCTTCTCTGTTTGCAAGTTTGCTAGAGAATATGCTTTTTAGGCCACGTTGTTCTTTTAAGCCGGCGTGGATGTAAAATTTGAAGAAGTTATACAAAATTATGCACTAGAATTTAAGATGGAAAATAAATAAAATTCTAGTGTTTTTTTTGGAACTACAAAATTATAGTTTTAACGTAAAATAATTGAAGTTGCAGAATACAGATACAGTAAAACCTCTATAAATTAATAATGTTGGGACCAGAAAATTTTATTAATTTAGAGAGGTATTAATTTATCGATAAATTAATAATTATTAATTTATAGAGAGATTTTCCTAATTTGGTAATTTCTTAAAAAATTTCTTTCTAAAATAAAAATTTTCTTTATAAGCAATATCTTTTTAAAACCAATTGCAAGTAGAGAAGCAATTATTAAGTTTAAAAAACAACACAAACTTTTTTCGAATAATAGAGTCATATTTTATTAAAAATTTTACATATAATATTTTTAATATATATCATAGTAATTCATATATGACATATATAAATTTATATCATATATATATATATTAGGTTAAATATACATATATATATAGATAATTTTATATAATTATTAATTTATAGTATAGATGGGACCATATGTTTACATAGGATTTTCAAAAAAATTATTATCTTATTAATTTATCGATTTATGTCATATTTTACACTGGTCCCAACTCGGGACCGGAAGAATTTATTAATTTAGAGAGGTTATTAATTTATAGAGTATTAATTTATAGAGGTTTTACTGTAGTTCGTTATATTTATCTCAAAAACTACTTAATTATTTGGAAAATAGAGTTTGATAGAAAGAAATTGTGTAATTTATGTAGTTTTGGCTATGTCTGGGTATAAAATCGAAACCGATCAAAATTCGAACTTGGAAATTTATTCTATTAGATCCTAAACTTTTCTATTCAAAAATCTGAACCCGAACCCAACCCGAACTCGAAAATATCCAAAATTTTACTCAAAATCCAAATTTTTACCCGAAAACCTGAGGATTTTAAAATTTTACTCTTATTTTTAGAGTATAACTTCATTTTTGTTAATTTAATTTTAAAATTATTGTTTTTATTTCTAATTTCGTATAAGAAAATAATTAAAGAAAAAAAGAAGAAGGAAAAATCGCACCAGACCACCACCGTTCCGGTCAATCGAACTCGGTATTTAGGGTTTAACCCAATCGTACCCTTTTCGCCACCGCGTTAGCTAATGTTGACAGCTCTCCGATCTCGTTGTTCGTCTCGTCTTCTAGATCAATCATGGAAGCTAGGTTTAACAACTCCCAATCGCATCTTCGCTTCCTCTCCCTCTTTTTCTTCAACCTCTGATGTCTCAGATGTTCTTACACTTCCCGAAGTGGAGAAGATACTCGCCGACGTTAAAGCTGATAACGTGACTGTGATTCCTACACATAATCACTGTTTCTGGGCTGATTTTACGGTCATCGCCACCGGAAGATCCGATTGGCACTTAAGAAACATCGCTCAAGCATTAGTCTATAGGGTACAAATTTCACCTTCCACTTTTTCAATTCACGAGTTCGAGTTGTTGATTCAATCCTCTATCAAACATTTGTATTTAGCCATTTTTGTGATTTGATATGAGAATTGACTCTTATGGATAATGAGTAGCTGTTTTGTGATCTCGTTTTTGAGTAATTGTTGCTTTGTCACAGTGAATTTGAACACTAAGATGATAGAGTGATCTCATTGGTTTCTTATATTGTCTGTGCTTTGTTTCAATCACAGGCCAAGCAAAAGCAGAAAGGAGCTAAACATGTAATGCTACCTTCTGTGCAAGGCTACAATAGCAAGTGGATTGTCATTGACTACGGTTCGTGTTTCATGCCGCTATGTTTCGTATCTACAAGTCTTGGTTTTCATTTTCGAATTGTGGTGGCTATAATTAGCCTTTTCTGGATTTGTGTAGGAAAGTTTGTAGTCCATGCACTTGATGAGAAAGCCAGGGGTTATTTCAATTTGGAAAGCCTTTGGTCTGCTGAATCATCTGGTACTGATACTTCAGATCAGGTAAACGATTGAACGCCTTACATATAGGTTTTGTATGGCTGATTAGTGGTTACTGCTATTTCGTGTGATCGTGAATAAAAGCTGATACTTTTTAGCTTGGGTTTGTGTATTTACATCATCTGAAGTCTGCACACGGATTTGGAGATGGTATTAGGAAGTATGTCTATTATGGAGATAAGGGATTTAATTATGTTATGTCTTCTTGATAGTTGATACACCTAGCCAGTTATTAGATATCATCTCCGCGATATGTGATTACATGCTTCTCTTGCTACTATAGAATCTCTTTTAGGATTGATTTACATTTATCTCCTGATCTCTAGAAGATCTTTACAATGGGGGTATTCTTCTTTTTTTTTTTTACCTTCTCATCGATTCATTGATAAAACAATTCAGTAGTGTACAAAACCTAATGTCTTTATTGATTCCAATGAAACCTTTTTGTTGTTGCAGGATCTCCAAAACGCTTTTGTAAAGGTCCGACCGAAGAACAATTCGAAAAGGAAACCGGCTAAAGTGAGTTCTTGATCATGTACGATGAATATACAATTTGTCATAAACTTCTCGAGTCTCTCGGGTATAAATCCTAGACCGGTTAAGAATAGGATTTTAAAGCCATTAATGTATTTGTTTCCTTTAATTTTTTAGTCATCTACCTATTTTTTTCCTTTTTAAATATGGAAGAGGATTTATTTTTCTCTCCTAAAAAAAAGGAAACGAATTTAGCCCTCTATATAAATAATAAAATTGGCAAATTGGAAACATACACTTGATTCTCGACACACTTGAATCTCAACCATGGTATCCTCCTTTTTGCCTTCGTCGTCTTCTATTAGGAAGAAGTCTAAAAAAACAAGAATTTGTCTCGATTCTTTACCAGAAGATCTTCTTGTGGAGATTTCTTCATGCACCGGAGCTTCTTCCTTGTCAGCGGTTCGTAATCTCAGAGTAGTTTCAAAATCGTTTCGACGTATCTGTGATGAACGATACGTTTTCTACCGACTTTCCCTCAAAGAAATCGATTATCCCCCATGGCATCAGAACAGTGAAATATTCTTCGAGAGATGTCGCAAGAGTGGAAACCCCGAAGCGTTGTATCAGAAAGGATTCATCAACTACTTTCGAGATGACCTTAAACACGAAGGACTCGAATATTTAGCTGAAGCTGCGGAAAAAGGAAACAGAGAAGCAAAATATGTCTACGGGTTGATTCTAATCTGTCTTGGCGACAAAACAAAACAAAAGGGTTATAAGATCTTGTCTTCTGTTATAAAACCGTTGATGTCAACTACAATGGAGGAGATGGTGGAACTTCGATACAAGATTAAAAAGATTAGAGACAGCGTTTTGTGGCCTGACAACCCGGTGATGGAACGACTCAAAACAGTGTACGTTCGAGAGAAGTGCCAGTGCGATTGTAAAACCAGGATGTTATTAGTAAGGAATCATGGTTGGTATCGATACGGTGATGACACCGACATGAATATTTCTTCTGCTTGTGAGTTTTGTCTGTTGCATCACGAAGTTGAACTTTTCTTAAGATGATTTAGTGATCAATGGATGTATTTGTTGAGATAAGCTTGAAAGATACTTGAGTAATAAGTCATTAAAATGTTTAAGAGATAATGTTTAGTATTTTAGGAGTTATCTAAAATACAAACTCTCTACATGTTTACATATATCTTTTCATAATTTTTTATTTATAAATTAATTATTATCATTTTTCTATCTTTCTTTTAAGATCAATTTTACTAATAATCATTTTATTTTCATCATCATCATTCATGTTGGTTTAAAAGAGTATATAGAATTAGTATTTTTTTCAAAAGCCATGTAAGTTTTTTAAGTTTATCCCACTTCTTACTAATGTGTTGGGTATTAAATTTCCGCATGAAATAATAAATATAAATAAAATGTGTGCATTTAGAATATTTATTTCTAAACTTTTATCATTTCTTTTAAATAAATATTTTATTATTAATAATGGATTATAAGTTCCTACCAAAAAAATAATGGATTTTTAGTTTTTTTTTTCTTATTGTAATGTTTGGTTATTAAAAATGAATGAATAATATATATTATTTTATTTCTAGAGAATATTTATCTATTTATTTATTCATTTATTTATCAATTTATGGTTTCTTTTCTAAATTCTTATCATTAATAAAACTATATTTGCATATAAATTCATTTCTAACATAATTTTTATTTATTATTAATATATAATAATAATAATAAATAACAGTCACCGTTTTTACACTTTTGTACTATCAATCAGGCTTTAACAACCAAAGTTTTTACAGTCAAAGTCTTTCAGCCAAATTATCTGCAGCTCAAATTTTTAAAGTCAAATCTTCTAAAGCCAAAACTTACAGTCGTTACCAATCGGTCCCTAGGAATAGGTCCATAAGTTTTCTTATATAAGAGGTACCAAGGTTGTGGTATTCCTTATGAGTTGTATGAGAGATTGAGAGTTTGTGAGGCTTTAGTTTTGAGTTAGTTTCTAAAGCTAATAAAGAAAGTCGTCTTTAATCACAAGTCTTGATCTAAAGTGTGTTCTTAAGGTTCTTAATTCAATAGTATTAAACATACCTAATAAAGTGTAAATTTGTGTTTTACTTTATATACGTCTTAAGGCATCATGAACCTAATACTAATTATAAATCGTAAAACAGAGCTTCTTTCGAATTAAAAATCTCAATCACTAAAAATAATTCTGAAATAGTACAAAAGTAAATAAGTCTTTTATTACCACCGAAACTTTCCTTTTGGCTAACTTGAGAAATCTAATTTAAAAATCTTGATGGGGGAGATTTACTATACATCTAAAGATTACATTTGCATATAACCGTAGCATGAAAAGTGAGAGGAACCAAAAGGCTTCTCTTCTATATGAAATTAGCGGGTTCTGATTTTAAATAGAGATGATGGAAGCGTGCATCGATTCTGGACCGCCTTTGTAGGTAAGCTCAACAAAAGTACCTGCACCTTCTCCTTTCGCAAGTCTTCCCGGGTTTACACATACACACTTGGCTGCATTTTCCTCTTCACCAAGGGATAAAATCTTCACAACATTCAGGAAAATATTCAGTGATTCTTCTTTTAGAATCTAGCTTCTGAATTTTATACCACTATTAACATACTGACTCACCTTCACAAAGTACCTCATGTCTGATGGAAGTAGAAGAATATCCGGGATTGATGAAATCTGTAGCGCCTTAGGAGCGAGTGAGGAATCATAAGGGAGGCTCTCGGGCGGTGGATACAGAGGATAGAAGCTGTTTCATAAGAATCCAATTTTTGAGTATTTGGTAGCTGAGAGTATAGTTGGATCTAGTAAACGCAAAAGTTACCTTCGCTGACGGAGGAGATGGCTAGCAAGTCTGGACATGCGATCAGTGGGGACTCCACTTGGATTTTTTGACATCTCCTCCCCACTCAGCTGTTTTAGTACATCCACCGTGCAGCAACCAACCTTCACCTGAGAATACCAGGTTAATATTTTATGTTGCAAGGACTTGGGAGAATATGGCTTCTCAGAAGAGAATTTTTACAGAGATTTTATTTGTTACCTGGTTTGCCTCAAAGGTCCCCGGGTTTGACAGACTGGTCATCTGTAATGTATGAGGAGAAAGAGAAGAATACAGTAAATAGATATATCCACCTGTGCACAGAGAGTTGAGTGATGAAATGGAGACTTGTTAATGAGAAGAATCAAATACCTGGTGTTCGAGATCAGGTATGTGAATGTCGAAAGGAGGCTGCAAACACAAGGGGAAACTTATCGCATCAAAATAGAGAAGAGGAATGCTTAAAAGCTAGAAGAAAGATTTTAAGAGAAAAAAAGAAAAGAGCACCTGTGGGAATATGAAATCATGGTTAGCATCACGGATGGAAGGCACCAGAACCACTCTTACTTCTGAACCCATGAATTCCACGTAATCTCGCAACTGAGAAACCCAAAAAACATCAACATCTTGTTTATTCCAAAATCAGTCAGTATTTAATATATCTATTTGTCATATTTTCAGTACCTTCCTGAGGACTTCCACTTGGAATATCTCACTAAAGGTGGCATCAACAGCTCCTTTCTTAATCTCTGGATGCTCAGAATCCACAAATGGTCCAAGCTGAGTTTGGAAATAAAACGTAAGTGACCCCAAGACACAATCACACAAGAGACAATATCTACAGAATGTGTGAATGCATTCTAGTTACTCACCAGCACGAGTAACTGTGGTGGCTTTCGTTTTGCATAGGCTAGTAGCTCATTCAGTGGCTCAAACAGCAAGTTGTCTGATGTGGTGAATGGTCCGGATGCAATTATCTGTCAACATAAAGACCTTTAAACATCATTTTGAGTCCCAAACTAGAAAATTATGATGCTACCTGATTCTAAACAAACCACCTTTGTGCTTGGTAATGACAACTTAATAGCTATGCAAAAAAAAAAACAGAACAGATACATATACATTCATTTCAAATATCATCCGTCATAAAAGAAAAGGGGAACACAACATACAAATTTTGTCTGGCAATATCGAAGTCAGTAACTGAAGGAGCTCCAGTCTAAGTTACCAGACCTAGCTAAGCAAAGCAGTTTTGTAATCTCTAAAATTCTCAACATTCTGCAGTTGTCTCATCTCAACATAATGATTATTATGTGCGTTAGTGTGCATATATGTACTAGAAAGAAATGTGACAGAATCATAAAAATAATCAATGGGTTCCTTGACGATATATAAAATAAAGAATACTAGTACAGCCCCCTTGACATGAAGGAGTGCATACTTACAAATGAAACCTCTGATCTTTCACAGGATTCTTCTGTAGGAACTAAGACCTCCTGATCCAAGTTTTGCCTCTTAGCAGGAGGTAGATCCACGTCAACAGCATGTGTTAAAGGAACTGAATCTAGCAGCTTAGATGCAGTGAGATAATGTCCACTAGGATTTTGTCCCTCAATGCCAACTATCTGCATCAAATTCAGACCACTTCCACATGAATATTATGAGTCTCTTCTGTGGAAAAAAACACAAAATCTACTGTTGTTAGCTTTAAGCTATCACCTGGCCAGGAAAAATGGAGAACTGATCTAGTCTGTTTAAATCCAGTGGAACGCGCTGTCCTGAAGTACGCTCGGCACTGCGATCATCGAATTTGTTGGCATTAGGATAGGGAAACTCTGGATATTCTGGTATCCAAATTTTCAAAAGGCTTAAGCATCTGAATATGCAACTTTATATAACACAGGATTCATAATCATTCACGATAATTTACAAAGACAAGTGAAGTCATGATGGACTTACCTGCTCTGCAATAGAATGGATTTGTCATTCAAATGCCCCTCTCCATCACAGCAAATCATTCCCACAGCAAATATACTTCTCTGAAGCAATCAGTAGCACATTGTAAGCAATTCTATACCCCAATTTTAACTTATTTGACACCAAAGTAATATAGAAGACCAAGGCTACCTGTGAAGCAACAGCCGGATCCACCTGTTCCTCATATAATCCCGAGGCAGCATATGCATCTGCGTGCCGTACAATCCGATTCTCAAGTGCATTAAACCTATCCTCAGTTCTGTCATACATGAACCTGCAACCTGGTTCAGGGCCTGAGCCATTCACTTTTAGAGAGCACCGCTGGCTGGTTTGAACTCTCTTAATAATATCATCCTCACTGTTTTCTATATCATTGTTGTTTCCGTTCTCTGCATGAGCCACCTCATTACCAACATTAAACTTCACCACAAACTTTTCGATTCGTTGCCCAAAAGGTGTCACATGTCCAACTGACTTCCCAGTAGAGTAACCGTAATCTCTTGATCTACTTATCGAATCAAACGGATCCGGATGTAACCGTTGAGACTTGTTTGTAGGAGTAGTAACAATCTCTTCCGTATCTTCTTGCACACCATCCAAAAGCCTGGTTAAAAAAAAAACAAATCACTACATCTTCAAACCCAAACCTGGTTAAAGTTGATGCAAAGTAAGAAGAAACATGGTATAAAAACACTTACATATCTACATCTCTATTTGAGTAAAGATGCAAACCAGCTTCTTCCGCTCTCATAATAGATTCTTTCTGTTCATTCTGAAGATGCAATACAAACCCATCCATCTCATCTTTCTTAACAGTTTGATCAAGAAGTTGTCTGTTGCATCAAACCAAACACAATGGAAAAAAAACAAACTCAATTCTCTTCTCCACTCTAAACATGAAATTGGCCACTATTCAAACCTCAATACAATCTCAATAGGCAACAAAAGAACTGAATTTTACTATTGGGCAGTGAAAATAAAAATGAGATTTTTACCGATTGAGATGATAAAGTTCCCAACTTGAAACGAGATCAGAAGGATTGAGACTGTAGTTAATGCAGAGAGTAACACCTAAGAAACCAAATACCGTCAGACATAAGAAAAAAGTTACAAGATTTGGGCAGAGAGATATTAGATTAGGGGATAGAGTTTCGCTTACATCTCTTAAGAATATCGTCTTCTTCGACAAGAGTAAAGCCGCTTCTTTTGAATTCATTCTTTATCTCCTCATCTGTAGCCATCGCTCTTTCGAATTCACTCTCGCTCTTTCTCTGCGTTTTCTAGAGAGAGAGAAGTTTTGTTATGGCGACTGGAGAAGACGAAGGGAAGTGGTGGCGGGAAAATGTCTGATTTAGGGCGGGAATGTTGGCTAATGCCTTTTTCTAACCTTCTTATTCAATGGACCCGAATTTTAAATGGGCCTTGAATTTTGAACCAAAAATAAAGAAACGGGCCTTGAATATGTTAAAACATTAAAGGAGTGAATATCTGACTCAACAGAAACTAAAACGGTTGTCTAATTCCGTTGATTATCAAATTTTGAGTATTGAAAAAATAACATTCTAACTAGTATATATTAACATAAGCCGTTTTCTCAAATTTCTTATATAATGTTATGCTGGATTTATGAGAAAAAAAAACACCATCTTTTCGCAACTTTTGCACTTAGGACTTGAACTCGGATGCGGTAGCACTACCTTTGAATTGGCCGAGCCACTACGTTTGGATATTTAACAAGATTTTCAGTACACAATTATACATATTTAAGACTAAAGAAACCCTTATAATTATGAACATAACTACATAAGGATGAGGTGAGAGTAGGCCTGATCCAATAAAAATTAAGAACCCTAATAATATTATTTGACTCCTTAGAATATAGTTTACGTAGCTGTATGAGATTTTTTTAATATGTTTACTTGACATAATTAGTGGATACTCGAACTGATTTCAAAATCATATATATATATATATTTTTTTGCATAATACATTATATCATATTTAATAAAAATTTACAAACCCTTAGAATTTACATCATTACCGGCCACTGAACAAATGGCTAAATGAAAGTATATATGAGACACATTTGACCAGTTTTTGTTTCTAAAATGAATTGGTCAAAACAAGCTTGGTTTGATGGATCCAAAGGGTTTGGAAAATAAAATGGTCTTATCAAGAGAAGAATTTGTAGTTTTTGGCTGAGATAATAATGGTTCTGAGGCCACCAATGGGAGCTACGATCGTCAATATAACACCAACTACTATGCAAAACTGCAATTGCAGAACCAAACAACAAGTTAGTTATAAATTTAAGGTAAGAAAATAAAAATAAAATATAGTAGAAGATGATGAGTAAAAGAAATTTACCCAATTAATACACCAAGACAATCCATACTTCTTTGGTTTCTTGATACAAAGCCACATGATGCATGGTAGCTAATCACATCGTAAAAATATCAAGTGAGTTATTAGAATTTATTTTAAACAAATGAATAGGCTTAATTAGTGTATTGAATTACTTACATAGTAAGTTGTTGGGGCAAAGGCGAATCCTCCGAAAAAGCCGAGTAATCCACCAAAAAATGGGATGCATATAGCAACAAACATCGTGAAAGCTGTTCCATTGATCCAATTAATGTTATAAACCATATATCATTATGTAGGATAATTGATTCAATATGAATAAAAACTTACCAACATATAGAGTACGAGTGATGAAGCGGAGTTTGAAGGAAGGAGCGAACATCATCTTTTTTACCAAAAAGGTTTCGAGCATGTCAAAGACCGGCATTGCGTATATTTGATAGCTTCCAATGACATGGACAACCACGAATGCGTTAGCAATGGCGATAAGCCAGATGGGTTTCTCCAACGTCATGAGAATATTGTCGTCCACACTATTCCCAAAGATATAGTAACAAACGAATGCAACGGGAAAGTAGCATATGGCGACCACGATGTAGGCAACTACTACTCCTTTCCACATTGCAATCTTTGATGGTTTCTCGGGAGTTGAAGGAATAGTAGCTTGAATCTCCAACACAACGTTGTGGCCTGCATACGCAAATGCCACATCTCCTAGTGCATTCAAGAAGTTGAATACATTTCCTGAGGTTGTAGATGCTCTAGACGAGTAGTCTACATTTGGATGAACTCCTTTCTTCACCGAGGTTGCCCAAGCGATTGTCGAGTAGCTGCATATATTAGAATCACAATAAATCTCATTTAGACCATTTTCAAAAAAGGAAGAACAATAAGCTATATAAAGTTAAAATCCACTCATTAACAATTGATTTTGAGTTGTACTTACCTCAAAGACATAACGGCAGCAGCGAGGGAGACGATAGACATAGAGTTAAAATTAGGGAGATGAGCAAGAACAAAGTGTATGGAAGCGAAGATCATGATCCAATATGAAGTTCTTATATTTTTGCAATCGGTGCAAAGAAGGTCATGGATTTTTTTCAATGACTTCCCTCCCGTAACCATGTACACAATATCCACACCTACTTCAACGATTAGTTGTTGTGGCACCACGATCCAGAGTCCGAGCTTCTCCCCAAATGCGTGTTGACCTAATTCATGGTACCTGTCGAACCTCTTCCCTGGAACCATCTCATGCATTTGCACCATCTGCCATATTGTGTAAAATGTTATCAGCCATGACATTATCATTATTGTCACTCCAGGTCCCCTGCCAGCAAAATTCAGTGTTATATTAATATTGAATGTGTATATAAAGATTTTCTAATGAGTTCTTTATATAGATTGACAAGAGATTGGATATATACCATCCAAGGTTGGACATGGCGTAGGGTAAGCTGAGCACACCAGCTCCGACCATGGCGGTGACATTGTGAAACGCAGAGTACCACCATTTGGCATTTCTAGAGGACGTTATCGGCAACCAATCGTCTACATTCTTCTGCTTTGTGGACGCGTCTTTGGTTGGAGACAACTGACTTTTCTCCATCTTATATTGGCTTTGCGGAAGAAACAAATGTGGGACACAAAAAGACTATGAGAATGATTAGAACCAAAAGGATTCAAGAGAAAGGCAATTTCTTTCCTTGGTGTTGAAGGAGATACAACACCAATGAGGATAGAAATGTGCCTTGTGACAATGATTGTTACTAAGAGTTCTCAATTTATATATACAATTTCATTTCACTATTTTCTTCTGAAAAAAAAAAGAATGTATTGGTTGTTGCCTTATGACAGATTGGTTTTGTTCTCTGTTTCACAATATAGCTATCATCGTTCTTGGTATTGTTGTGGTGTATGATCTCTAATTACTTATACCACATGGCTTTTTTGATCTTTTTGGCTGATGATTTTCGTAAAGTCAATGCTCTTTTGCGTAACGTGAAAAGTGTTTTGCTATTAATGACCAAAACTAATCTGTTATTGATTTTATTTAGTTTTATCTATTGGCTTTTTTTAACTGTTATATCAAAGTTACTAATTTAGGAGAGGATTTTACAAGTTATACAACCCACACCTTCCTCTTTTCTCAATTTTTGTTTTTTAAATTGTCTTACACTAGTCACAATTAGTTGTTTTTAGGTGGAAATTTTTTCTTTTTTAATGATAAAAGTAAGAAAAAGATCATTCCACAAGTCTTGTGCACAATTATATGTAAAATACCCGCTCGAATGATATATATCATGCATATTTAACCATATAATATTTATTGATTTTTGGTTAAATATGCATTGAATTCGATCATAATTTTAAATCTTAACCAAATCTTCTTACTATAGAATATTAAATGTATTTTTTTAATTAATGTTAAAATATTTTAATTGTGTTTGGCTATATGTATAGTAGATAATTAATACTAAATATTTTAACATTAATTATATAAAAAAAATATCTATTCCACAATTAATAATAAAAATATTTAGAAGATTTGATTGCTTATATATAGAAGATGTACATAATTAATAGTAAAGTTGTTTGGATTTGAGTGCATGGATATAAGTAAGAACAATATAACATCCTTTGTAAAATACTTATCAAAACAAAGGTGACGCCTCCCTCAAACTCAAACGCTAGAACCTTGCTCGTGACAATGAATGTATCTTCTTCACCCAGGAGCTCGTCGGATCTTCAAGGTTTTAATGACGAACGTTCGAGGTTTAAGGAAACGTTACCCCAGAAAAGCGGATCTCCATGGCTGATGCTTTTTCCGAAAGACGGTGGTTGTGTGCTATACGACCCGAAAGAAGGAAAGAAGATCCATAGGAACCTGCGAGACTTTCCAGGGTCTCGAATCCTAGCAAACTCGGGTAACTGGTTACTGTTGTTAGATTCTGGATCCAATTTAGTTATCATACATGTGTTAAGCGAGAAAACGATCCCTCTTCCGTCTCTAGAGTCAACTGGGTCAAAGACTAGTAAGATCAAGCGTGTGGGAGATAGAGTATTTGAAAGGGAATTTGATGATGGCTGTATTTTTAGGGAGCTGAGTTCTGATGTTGTGAGAGGCCTTTTGTGGGTAGACGAGAGTGGAACAGAGTACGTTGTGGTGTGGTTATTCGACCTCGATCCACACCCTTATATAAGCTTTTGCAAGAAAGGGGATACTCAATACACTGACATTCCTCTGTATTACCCAGACGACCACTGGTTGCACGGCTTATCTTATATGGTACTAAAGCGTGACCGTCTTTATATCTCGACAAGTCGTCGTTATGTTAAAGTCCTAGATCTGTCTGGACCGCAAGGTTTCTTCAAGGACATCACCGAGGGGGGTAAACCATTCACAATGCTTTCTTATCATTATTGGGATTCTAGCCTTGCGGTTACAACCTCAGGAGAGGTTTTGTTGGTTGACAGTAATCCATGCCAGAGGAGCTGCTTTCACGTCTACAAGTATAATCCTGATGTAGAAGACCCATATTACGCCAGCAACACCGTTCTTGAGGTAGATTCTCTTGGTGGTGAGGCCCTGCTTCTTGACTTGGGTTTCACTGTGCCTGCTAATGATACCCTTGGTATAGAACCAGACTCCATCTATTTCACCCGTCACTACCGTCCATGCGAATGCTCACCTCGTGACCTTGATATCTGTGTGTTCAATCTTGTAACCAAGACCATCAAACGCTTTCCTGGTCTTGACGACATGAATCTCATGGATGCTCGATGGTTTCTCCCTGGGAATTAATTCTTGCTTTTTCGGTTTCATTTATGCTTCTGAATTAAAAAATTATGATGTTGACTAGTTTCTCATTATTGAGTTAACGTAACATCAACGTATATCTTGCTTGCTGGACATTTAAATTTTTTTCTATTATAAGTATAACATTTTGTTACATTAAAACGTATAGTGAGTGGTAGAGAGCTATGATATTATTTATTTTTGTAACGCCCTGATCCCCCTACCAGTAATAAGCCAAGTACTATCAACATGATCCAAGAAGGTTTCAACACAATGCCCCTCAGTCAACTCTTCAATCTCAAATCTTCTGAGATTTATCACCTTTTTATTGTAATACAACACAATATAGGGTGATTCATTTTCAAAATAGAAGTATTCTGCGAAAACAAGTTCTCCTGTTCCGATGGAACCTCTGAAATAAAACTTGAGATTCTCAAGAGTTTCTTTCCCACTAGGAATATTAATGCTTTTGATTAACCATACACCCATTTTTTAACCCATATTTGCAAAACTCTATTTTCGTAGTCATCACAAGGCAATATTCCCTTTGAAATTCACCAAGTTCAATGTTTTTAAATCCAATTCGGACGATGAACCAGACTATATTCTGGGCCACCGAGTCATTGAGTCAATCGGGTTCGACCACGAATCAATTGATTCAAATTTATTTAATGTACTTAATACTATCTCCAAGATTGTTTCACCAATTGTGCAAACCTCATATTTTGTAATTGTGTTTTCATCTTGCTACATTAGAGAATTATTTAATGGAGAAACAAGTGATCGAAAGTGGCTAGTTTATTCTAAAGAATTAGATAAATAAAATTTGTTTGTTGTAAGATTTTTAGGAAAGGTATTAGGAAAAGTCAATTAGCAAAGAGAGGCCTTTCGAATTGGAGTCATATACTTGTTAGATTAAATGAGCCTGAAAAAGGAACATATGCTTAATATGAAAGCTTGGATTGAATTACGACATAGATAATATACAATGAAACAATTCATAAAGTTTCTCAAGAACAGTTTAAGAAAGAAAAAGATTATTGGAAAAATATATTAATAAGAATTATTGAAATTTGAAATTGTGAAATATCTTTCAAAGCATAATTTGACATTTCGTGGAACCAATGAAAAAATATATCAAAATAGTAATGGCAATTTTTTAGGATTAGTAGAGACGTTAGCGATTTGTGATTGATAGAGCATGTTTATCAGATTACTAGTGGAACCATTCATCATCATTATCTTGGTAATAATATTCAAATGAATTAATTCATTTGATTGCTTCAAAAAATAAATCAAAAATCATTACAAGAGTAAAAGAAGCACAATATTTTTCTGTAATTTTGGATTGCACGCCCGATGCTAGCCATCATGAACAAATGTCATTAATTCTAAGGTGCGTTCCTTTTTTCTCAAACTCTTTTAAAGTAAAAGAGTTTTTTTGTTGAATTCTTGAAAGTAGATGATATAAATGGTCTTATGAAGTGTTAAAAGATGTGTTTAAATTTCTAGATCTTGACTTAGATAATGTTAGAGGTCAAGATTATGATAATGGATCTAATATGAAAGGACATAAAGAAGATGTACAAAATAGATTTTTGGATATTAATCTTAGAGCTTCTTTATACTCCATGTGTTGCCATAGTCTTAATTTGGGTTTGTATGATATTGAAAATAATTCAATGAAAGTCAAGGATTTTTTTAGAGTAGTACAACGTTTATAATCTTTGTTTGCTATTTCTATAAAGAGGTGGGATATTTTTAAACAAAATGTGAAAAGTTTTACTCTTAAGCAATTGCCATCGACACAGTGGGAAAGTCGGGTTGAAAGTATCAAAGCTAGTAGATTTCAAATTTTTGATATACGAGAAGCTTTGTTTGAAGTAGCGGAAAGTGATAATGATTCGATGATTCAAAGTGAAGCTAAATCTTTAGCAATGAACAAGCTTAGTAGTTTTGAATTTTTATTATCTACTATAATTTGGTTTGACATATTGCATGTGGTGAATATGGTTAGTAAAAAATTATAGTCAAAAGATATGCAAATTGATGTTGCAATGACTGAGGTAAGTTGTTTAATTTCTTATTTAAAAACTATAGAAAAATTGGTTTTGTTGATGCTATGACGAAAGCTAAGGAAATTGCTATTGAAATTGGTATTGAACCTATATTTATTCAAAAACAAGTTATTCGTAGAAAAAAACAATATGATGAAACTAGTGGTAATGAAACTATATTACCCGATAAGAGGTTTGAGCAATACCGCTTATATGAAAAATATATTTGTTTTTTTATTCTACTAAATTGCAAAATATGTGATGATGTGAGTTTAAAGTCTCACTGTCGTTGTTTAGAAAATAGTTTGAAAATTGGAGATTTGCTAGATATAAACGGAGATGAACTTTTTCTTGAGTTAAAGTTTCTTGTAGAAGTTTTATCAAATGAAAAGATGGGAACATGTGAAATATTAAATTTTCTTGTACAATTTGATAGTTTTCCATATACTAAAATTGCATTTAGAATTTTGCTAACTATTCCGATTATAGTTGCTTTTGCAAAACAAAGTTTCTCAAAATTAAGTTGTTGAAGTCATATTTAAGAGCATCTATGTCACAAGAGAGATTGAATGGAGTAGTCTTAGTGGCGATTGAGAACAACTTCTAAGAAGAACTAGATTGTGAAACTTTGATCGATGATTTTGGTACAGATCATGTACAAAGAAATACCTTATTTACTTGAACGATTATGCAATGAGTGTTTTGAAGGATGAAAGATTCTTGTTGTCCTCAGCTTTTCTTAGTTGTCGATGTTCTGCTTTTTATCAGGTTGTAAATTAGGAATTTTTTTTTATCACAACTAAGAAATGTAATTTTCTTAAGTTACGATTTTTTTTAGGGTCATATTCTCATGATTGCACCGGGTCCAGCCGATGTTTGAGCCGGGGACACAAACATACCCTAGCAATTACACCAAAAAAAAAGAAATCGAAACTTACCAATAGTGAACTTAAGCTATTGAACTAGGTCATATAGCACATTTTCATACCGATCAAAAAAACAAGAAAAAAGGATCAAATTGTTCGAAGCTGGGTGTAGGTGAAGGTAGAATGAGTCACCTATTTGGGATTATATCAACAAGTAAACAATTTAAACAGTTGGTGTAGCACCACCAAAACCAATGCAATCCGAAAAGTATAACGATGTGAGAAAAGAGGGTGGTCCAGCAAATAGACAGCTGCTTCTTTTTTTGCGTCTTTGTAATGCTTAAAAATAAAGACAAGCTTGCCTTTATGATCAAAGAGTTTTCAGAAGTGTTTAAGAACTCCCAGTGATTTCAATATAGGAGACGTCTTTTTAGTTTGTAGATAGCAATGAATCATATCTCGAAACTTAGTTGCAATGGCCTTTGGAACCGCTTCAAGTCTAGGGAAAGTCTCCAAGTTTTTAGACGCCATCAATTGTTCCTGGAAAAGAACAAACACGGACAAGCAAGACTCAAACCCTTTGAGTTAAAAACCTCTGAAATAACACAATCCCAAATCATTTTCTCGCAGAAAGTCAGAGGGAAATAAGCATTTCTTACCAAATCAATGGCTTCTTTCGAAACAGTCTCGCGATTCTCCTCCATAGTTGACTATTCCTTGGAAATAACAAACGCAAACAAGCAAGACTCAAACCCTTTGAGTTCAAAACCTCTGAAATAACACAATGCCAAACAATTTTCGCGCAGAAAGTCAGAGGGAAAGAAGCATTTCTTACCAAATCAATGGCTTCTTTCGAAATTATCTCGCGATTCTCCTCCATAGTCAACTGTTTCTGGGAAAGAACAAACACAAACAAGCAAAACTCCCTTTGAGTTCAAAACCTCTGAAATAACACAATACCAAAGCATTTTTTCACGAAAGTCAGAGGGAAATTAGAAGCATTTCTTTCCAAATAAATGGCGTATTTCAAAACAACCTCACGACACTCCTCTATAGTCAAGAATCTAGCCAGGGCCAGCCCAAGGCTAAAGCCCGTAAAGACTGGGCTTTAGGCATCAAATGTCTATAAAAAGATTTAAGGGCATCATTTTACAGATATTTATTGTGGTAGAGTGCTTATGACCTTCACTCTCTTCTTAGAGCTGCCGAGTGCAAACCTGCTCAGTGTACTTTTTATATAAATTTTTTTAAAATGTATTTAATGATGGGCCAACATTATTTTTTGCTTTAGGCATCATTTTACCTTGGGCCGGCCCTGAATCTAGCCATTAAGCAGCCTAAAATCACAAATAACACGGGAGACGGGACAATAATTTTCAAGTGAAGATCGTCATTTAACTGACTAATTCTGTCCACAGAAGCCACACCTTGGAAATCCGCAGAGGAAGCGTCAGATAGTGTTTTAAAAAGCTATTATGAATGGCTTAATTAACTAAACTGGCGTACTATATGACCATTCCAAATGAGAGAGTTGAGATTTGAGAGAAGGTTCTGATTTCAAAATCAAACACTGATAACGAAAAGAGACTAGTATATATAATGGATCTTATCTGAGGAAGTGAGGAGATAATTAATGGGCCTAGACCTAATAGGTTGATAATAATAAAAAAATTAAACACTAATTTACATAAATATTCCATGCGAATTGAGCGGTTACTGTAGAGTGTTATATGGCTTTTAATTATAGTTAGGGATCGATTTAATTTTTATGTTTATATAAAATTGGTGATCTCTTTGGTTTGTGTGGTTTTGGAATATGACCCAAGACAAGAATTAGGGTTTTTGCGGTCGGTCGTTTATAGCCATTCTATAAGGAAAAACTGAAATCATTGGTCTCTTGAAGTCTAGTTTGATAGTTTTGTTATTTAGCATAAATAAAGATTGAGAACAAAAATGACAAGGAACAATCCCAATAAGATAGACAACATTATTATTATTATTATTTAGCATAAAAAAAGATTAACGACAACAGAAATGAAAACAAACAATCCCAAATAAGACCAGTAGTGCTTGAAAGAAAGATAACATTATTATTTAGCATAAATAAAGATCAGAAATGAAAACAAACAATCCCAATAAAGACCTGAGAGCCAGAACAACCAATAAGTTTCTATTATTCTTCATCACATATAAGCCAAGTACTATCAACATGATCCAAGAAGGTTTCAACACAATGCCCCTCAGTCAACTCTTCAATCTCAAATCTTCTGAGATTTTTCGCCTTTTTATCGTAATACAACACAATATAGGGTGATTCATTTTCAAAATAGAAGTACTCTGTGAAAACAAGTTCTCCTGTTCCGATAGTACCTCTGAAATAAAACTTGAGACCTTCAACATTTTCTTTCCAACTAGGAATCTTAATGCTTTTGCTTAACCATACTCCCATTTTTCTAACCCATATTTGCAAATCTCCATTGTCGTAGTCATCACAACTAGATAAGGCAATATTCCCTTTGTAATTCACCAAGTTCCAACCAAGACTAGAAAAATCAACTCCCTTTGGTAATTCAATGACACTAAAATCTTCAGACCCAACATTGAAGCTCATTATTACCCGAGTACTGTCACTATAGAGATCAGCTGCATAGTACAAAACCCCTCCTTTAAATAGTCCTTCAGATTCTGGTGAGTGACCATCCTTACATGTGATCGGTCTCCAAGATTTTTCACCCATCGTGCAAAACCTCATATTTCGTAATTGTGTTTTCATCAAAACGTCTTAGCTCCCGAGTTCCAAACCTTGTTATACGTAACACCTTGAATACATTCTTAGTTTCATCGTATCCGAAAAAAGTATATATGTGAGCTGGTTCAGGCGCTTGGATCTCGGGTAAAGTCCGAATTTTCTTCGTACCCGGATTGCATATCGCAACCTTAGTTCTTAACTGAAGACAGATCAAACCTAGGACGGGTCGAGAAATATAAGAGCCTTTAGGCTCAAGAGGAATACGCAACTGTTGTTGACCAGACGACAACAATGTGTTCTCCTCTTGAATCTTGATAAACAGAGTGAAACAACGCCTCAATGTCATTTGAGCTGCCGGGATCACGTCTTTGCTCTTGATAAACAGAGTGAAACCACCACATCTCAGGTTCCGGTGGCTCGGATGTATATCGTCTGGCCATGAACATCACTCGGGGCCTTTTCATCGATCGGCTCAAGTAAAATCTTTTGAAGTCTTCCCCACGGATAAGAGATGCCCATTTCTTTGAGACGCAGATGCATTTCCCCAAGATTTTCAGAGGCAACCGTGACAGAATCTCCATTTGTAGATCTTGAGGAAGTGTTTCGAAGCTTGAGTTCTCCATTTTTGTTCTTATCTAATGTATTATGTGTTTAAGACAAAAGCACAGATGTGATGTATTTATAGAAAACCTCAAGAGTTACCAACGTTGTCAGTAGGATACTTTAGTTTAACTTGTTGCGTCGTAAAACCGCGTACAAGCATCTCTAGTACTTTCATGCTTACATAGTTAATTAAATCTAAAAACAAAACAAGAAATGTTAGTTCCACACGTTAAAATCTTACTAAAATTACTGGCCAATTAGCATAGAGATCACTGGATACCAAGTATATATGAAAGTAACACGTCAACACGTCAAAATATCTTATCATAAGTTTAACATTTATTTCTTTTCATAACAAAAAAAAACGAAAACAGGGTATTCCCTTTAATTTATTTTGTAAACAATTTCAAGGAAAAAACAAAGGTGTCACACGTCAAAACTTACTAATGTAATTTTTATGACTAATTAACATAGAGATTTAGTGTCATGCATGACTTGAAAGGTTTGTTTTCATCGTACACATCTACTACTCTACTAGTCGATCCACAAAACCAATTCAAATATAGAAACACGTTTTAACTTTTCAAAGAACGTAACAAGGTTTTTTTCTAGGGCACCTTGAACGTTATCATTAAGCAAAGTAATGTATAAGTTGCATGTTACACATAATCAATGATGCTAATCATCAACAAACTAATATAAACCCGGGCGTCAACGTTTGGATAGTGTAACAGTTGAATAGTATTCACTAAATTAAGACAATCTACTTAACATTTTTGAAGTACAAATTTGCTCAAAGCCAATCGGGTCGGGTAATTAGTGAGATTTTGACCCGGATTTTTTTTTGACCCGACTCATTGGCCAATCACAGCTCTCGGATCCTTTTAAATAAGACTTGCCAAAAAAAAAATCAAGTAATTAGACTCAATATTCGCTTAGTTACTTTCCTAATCTACCAAATCCTAACAATATTCGTTAATATTGATTTCGGATCCAAATTTAGAGACTTTCCAAAACAAATTGCAAGGAATTCGGATCAATAATATCGTATCCTACTATTGCAACTTCCCAAAACAACAAAATCCTAACAATGTCTCTGATTCATTGTGTATATATAAACAATTTTTTTTTTTTTTGAGCAAAAGTGTATATAGAAACAGTTATTACTAAGAATATTTGATATCTAACATATATGTCAACTACTTCTAACCAAAAAGATATTATCCTTATTTGTTCACAGTATATGTCAATCTCAATATTTTCTGTGATATCCAAACCGTGCTAATCAATATTTGAGTAAAATCTATCCCAAAACCCTAATACCTATCAAACCACTATATATACTGAATCATTTCTTATGGTTCTCTCCACGCTTTACACCAACAATTAGAGTCAACTTCCACTTTCAAAACAGAAACACTTACCAGAGAAGAAATGGCTGCATCCTCCTTATAAGACCTCTTGGCGTGTGCAAGTGAATGTGCTTCACTCATGGCGCCAGTATAGTAACACAACAGGTGAAACACTGGAGTTAGTAGTGGTTGATGCATAGCTAATTATTTATGTACATTTATCAAAATCTTCAACTAAATGAATATCATATCTGTAATTATAATGATCTTTAATCAGAAGTCTTTTCTTTTATTCACAGGATGTCAAGATTCATGCATTAATTAAGAAGTACTTGGTTAGCAAGTATGTCAACCATTTGGCCGTGAATGAGTGGAGGTTTATTGAGACCTTTGCTCATATCAAAAAAGGTATGTTTAGTCATCTTTTGTTTCATTAGATAATGGTCAGACATCTCTACTTAACGTCTAACAAACAATTTTTTTTTCCAGATTCAATGCTAGAGAAACACAAAAGAAAGAGACAAGCAATATTTGCAGTTGCGGCATCATTGGTAATATTTACTTTACTTTTTGAAACAATCATACTTTCACCAACTTTCACCATACTTGGTATATTTCATTCCTTTTTTTTCTTATAACTTAAATGTGGGAACAATCAAGCATGAAACCACTCATTGAACCATTTTATTTTCAAACAATGAAACATTTCATGCACTTCTGTACTATTGCTTTGCTTAATATTAATTTCAGCTACTAGAAAATTTAAACTAACCTTCAATTGCTGTGAAGAAATGATGCAACAGTCTCTTCTCGATGTGTTCGCCTTATATTGAACAAGACAAGAATCATCTGCAATAGAAAAACTTTTAAGTTTCATATTTAGAAATTAACGTAAGTTATCAGCTGTATAGTAAATTAGATAGTCTGAGTCTATGACTTTCTCTTTTTTGTTGATAGGAGTACTTCAGTTATTGATTTCCCAAACCGTGAATATATTGTATCTTTTATGTCCAATCCTCTACAAATCAGATACATTGGTTACCAATACATTAATTTTGTTGTATAGTCTTAAAGTTTATACAATCAGAACATTGGAAATAACTTCAATGTTCTCATCTGTTCTATAAATTTGTTTCAGAATGAGATAGAACATTTTTCACGGGGTTACGATTCTGTCTTTAAATGAAACTCAATTTACAGAGATCAATCCGTCGATTGTAGCTTAAGACATCGAATTTTAAAAGAGTTAGATGCGAAAGAAAAGAACTTACCTATCGATTGACCCGAAAGGAGCTAGAAGTTTAAACGTTTGAAGCAGATGGTAATGAAGATCAATCGATACTAACCTTCACAATCTTCAAACTGAAAGAGATTAAGTTACCAACTTCATGGTTCAGGAGCTATTGAATCGATAAAGAAATGACAATGGATGAGTGAAAATTACTTACAAATGGTTTGATCCGAAATTAAATTCAAGTACGAGCAATTGGCGAAGCTATGAACATGTATAACCGTTTCTAATCGGATCATGTTGTTCAAACAGAAAAATATTTGCGTTATGAACTTCAATCGGGGAGAGGTTGAAGATGAAACAAGTTCTTCATTCTCAGGTTCTGAAATTATTTTTTTTTTTCCTCTTCGGTTTTTTGTTTTTTTTTTCACGATAAATGTATAATTTTTTTAGATCCATAATTTTGTTTTTTTGTTTTACAAAACAAAAATGCTTCTGTTGGGCTTCTACTGTTTGGGCTTCGATTTTATTTATTGGGCTTTGTAGATTAACTTTATCTTAACTAGATTACAATTTCGTAATACAAATCATTACCATATCTAAGTTATGTTACTCTTAACATAAATACAACTAATTATACTGTTAACATAAACCAAAATGATTATTATGAAAACCATATAAATAAAAGAGAAAATAGTATTAAACTTAATAATATCGTAAACTTAAAGAATTACCAAAAAAAAAATATCGTAAACTTAAAGCGATTTTAAAACACACAATAAATTCTCTAAATAATTATCTATCAACACAAACAACAACCAAAAATATACACAACTAATTCTTCCTTTATTAAAAAACATAAATAACAAAAATATTTAACCCGCGGTGTACCGCGGGTCATATCCTAGTTTGCTAATACAATGAAGGACAAAATTATACACCAAGTGTATCGTAGCCATAAGACACGTTCAATCTCATTGACCTCGTTAGTCGTCATTATCAAAAACAGTTCAACACGAGTAGTTGTCTCACATCAATAAATACATTGATAAAGACAATCTAACAAAAAAAAGTAGGAAGAAAACTCCACACTTTATGATTTCCACTCAAGATTCAATCACAATAAGCGTGACTTGTAAGGTTTTCTTTCATCGTATACATCTAGTCGTCAGTCCACAACGGTCAATTTCAAATATAGAAACACGTTTTAACTTTTTTAAAGGTTTTTAGTTTTCACTTTAGTGTCTTATACACAATTGTTGAAAGGGAGGTTTCACGTATACACATAAAAACTTGCCGAGTTACAATGTTTATAACTTATAAAGTATTTTATTAAAAAAAGTATATCAAAGGAACAAAAGTTCACTTGCAAACTTTAATAAAAAAAAAAATAGAGAACTAACATAGTTACAAAGTTCAGCCAAGCAATCCAAAAAAACAAAAAAACAAAAGCAGAGAATAAAAAATTGATCGCAACAGAAAGCAATGTAGCAATTGAAAATCCAAATCTTTTAGCTGCACTCTGTTTTCTGTTACCGACCATTTTAGGTTCTCCAAAATTTTGTTTAAACGTAACTCTTATGACCGTCCGGTTTGATATTGAGGCTGAGGTCCTGAGTCATAGTCTTGATAGTGCGACTTTAGATGGCTCGGTCTGAAAACATTACGAGAGAAAGCAATTTTAGAGTATTAGGTTGGTGGTTCCTACTCTCTTGGCGACGTTGGCGTTTAGAACGTAGAATTATAGTTCTTGCAACCAATCGGATAATCAAACACAAGTGGTGTGCTTCGTTTTTTTTTTTTACAACATGTTTCCTCTGTTGTTTGGTTTGTATGAAACCATTAGAAACATCTTTGAAATGATTACGATGTTGACGATTATTAATTAACTCTTGTCCTGGTCATGTATGAATTTGGGAATAAGACATTAGTGGGAATCCTTTGCTTTTGCACCTTCTTTCTTATGTTTCCCATGTTGCTTGGTTTGTATAAAATCATCACTTAAACCATCTTTGAAAACGGTATATTTGGCAATAGACCTTTTTCTAAATGTCTTTTGAGTTCTGAAGTGAAACAACTTGAATCATCTAAAGATGTTAAATGGAGTTAAGTGTTTCATTGTTTTGTTTATCCCACCATTTTACTCATTATACTAGCTAGTCATATGAAACAATCTTAAAGGGTTGTTTCGCTCATCTTCTAGACTTCTTTTTCGAGGCCTTAGAGGAAGAAGGCGCAGCTGCATTCGCTTTAAAACTGGCTGGTTGGTTTGACTTTGATGTTGATGCTTCTTGTTTATCCTTGTTCACTGCACCCTGCGAACCACGGATTTGAGCTGCTCGCTTGTCCTTTCTCTTGGGTCGGTAACTTGACCTATCCCTTCTGGGAAGCCACCTCTCAGGGTCTGGAGGTGGACCTGGGTTTTCCGGATCAAATCCTTTGGGATACTTTGGCTTTCTCTTCCTCTTCGCCTTCTCTTTCTTCACTTCTTCCTGACTCGATGAAGCAGCAGTGCCTTCAATGGGTTTTGCACCAGAGGTCTTTTCCAGGTTATCCACATCAACCGCCTTCAAACCTGGTAGGGGCTTAAGCTGTTTCTCATAAGTTTCTGCTTTCTCAACATTGACTTGAGCAAGTGTAGTCACAAGACCAACCAGAGCATCTATGCTACTATGGTTTTTTACAATCTCCTCGTATAGCCGTGAAGCCTCTTCTTCTTGACCATGCCTGAGCTTGAAGGCAGCAGCCTCCGGCATCAATACACTAAGCTTATTGCTCTCAGTCATCGAATTAGACCACCATTTAATTGCTGAGTCAAGAACAGCGGAAGCACCGTCATTGTCCCCAGCACGCTCTTTGAGGGCGACAATGGTGGAAACAGTTGCAGGCAGATGCTGAATATCAGGTATTTTGGACAGGGACTCTGCTGCTATATGAGGATGACTAGCAGAAGCAGCAATTTGTGCCCTGGCCAAGAGAACAACCTTAGACTTTTCCGGGAATTTTTCGGCACACTGTCCCAGAAGTTCTTCAGCTTTGGCAGCCTTGTTTTCTCTCACCAAAACAGCAGCTTGAAGCAATGTAGGAACAACACTCTCAGGAAACATACCGGGCAGTGCAGCACAAAGTTCTCGTGCCTGAGGTAAAAAGATTTTCTTAACTGGTTAAGCAGAGTAAGCAAAGAATAAACGAAAGAGGAATAACCAAGATTTCAAGTTTAAAAGACCTGATCCATTTTATTAGCATGGAGGAGTAGAAGGACGCGATTGGCATATATAGCCTCCTTATTTTTCTGTGAAAGCTTTGCATCAAGTGCTTGAGAAAGCTGAAAAGATTGGGATTCTTTTTCTTTCAGCATATCAAACTTCCTCAAGCCATCAGCAATATCTTTGGAACCTTTGAAGGCAACAAGGTTGTTCACAGCAACAGCAAGTGTAAATTCATCACCTAGATTACGTTTAATAATGTCTACATAAGAGCTGGTGGATTCTTGAGTTTGTCCAAGAACCTTAAAAGAAAAAAAAAAAAACTATGTTACTAAGAACTGGAAGATATCTTGACACGATCTTAAAGAAAAGATAAGCAGTATAAAAAAAAGTACCTGTTGGACATATGCTAGTTGAACAGCAATTGAGGCCAGATCAGTCTCGATATAGGCCAGATCAGAAGATTTATCGTCAGTGAGAGTTTCCTGACAAATTCTGTCTCAAAGCAACAGTACATTTTTTAATCAGGTATGAGTACAAGACTTGGAAAATCAGCAGTCAAATGAGAGATTAGATACCTCCTGGCAGTGAGCAAAAGTTGTTCTGCATCAACATAGTTATTGTTTTCGATCAAAGAGCAAGCAGTATTATAAGCCAATTGATAAGTAGTCGTTGGTTTGATCTTCAGACTCTCTAATGCTTTTAGCACTTGAGAAGCTTTTCCAGCTGCTATCAACGCCGCGACTAGATTAACCTCTAACCACTCAATCTTAGACTTGCTCAGTTTCTGATACATATCCACACAAGCATCTACTTTCCCCAAACGGTTCAAAATCTGAGCCTCCAAAAGCAAAGTTTTTGAATCTCTCTTGAGACCTTTTAAACTCACAAAGGCCTCATCAAACTTCTTTAGTCGGTATAAACAATACGCCTATTAAGAGAAAAAAATCCATTAGCGCAATTTCGTCAAATCAAATGCAGTTAGATTGATGCAAAGTTAGTTTTACCTTTTGAAACCCTAGATCGATTGGAAGCTTGTGGAACAAGTTAATAACGGAGAGAGCATCATTGAACTTTTTTGCTTCGATTAGAGCCACAACTTTGCATCGGATTGCATCCTCATCGGAAGGTAAAATCGACAAAACTGAAACAGAACCACGGCTTTCAATTTCAACAAATCAAAATCAACGAGAATTGTACAAGGAAGGTAAGAATTGTGAAAACCTTGATCAGCGACCTTGACGACTTGTTCAAATTCAGATCGCTGAGTATGAGATCCCTTGATATGTTTATTGAGGGAAGAGAAGAGATCTTCGATTGCTGGATTCGAGGTTTTAGGGTTTTCTTTCGATTTGGGAACCATGGCTGCATAAAGTTTTCTCATGACACGAAACATTGGAGAAGAAAATGGGCAGATTTTTGAGTGGAATTCCTAATACAACTTATAGGCTATTTATATGGAAAAAAAAACACTAGCCAGTTTTTTCAAATTTATCCTCTACCTAAAAAAATACATTAATCATACTAAGTAATATTAACTTTATCCTCTACCTAAACAAATAATATAGAATATAATTCTTTTTCGTAACTATAAAAAATTTGGATGACTAATATGTCAAATCGAAACCCTCACGGCAAAGAATTAAACTCTATCTTTAGAGTTTTAAAAATCTAATATATTCGACCCTGAAAACGTTTACAATATATGTATTATTTTTGACTTCGTAGGATAAATTTGTATATTTTTGTAGGTGAAAGATAAATTACAAAAATAGGCGAGTTTAGGTTTAGGGTTTAGGGTTTATCTTAACTTCTTTTATTTGAAAGTCGATAAAGAGATAAAACTTTTTGAAAGCTCATGCATCTAAATTATAATTGTTAAATATCCTTAAACATGTTAAAATGTTATTCAATTCACTGTTTCATTGTTTTGTTTGCTCCACCATTCCACTCTTATACCAGCTAGCCACATTCGTGATAATATTTTTCACCGCTGTATATTTCTTTCCTTACCATTGTAACAATTTTTGAATTGGAGTTTAAGACCATCTCCATCAGCATTTCTAGAGTAGAAAGTTAATATTAAAATAATAACTAAAAAGAGAAAAAGTAGGAGAGAAGGGAAGATGCTGGATTGAGATATTATAAGAAACGTTTTTCAAACAAAATTGTCACATGTAAATTGATTATTGGTTTAGTTATTAAAAATCAACTAAAATCAATTATATAATTAAAATATTTTTTTTTTGAGATACCAACAAGAGTATCTCCCGATGGAGATGCTCTAAGATCTCATTTGAAAAAAAAAAATATACATTTTGAAGTTTTTTTTTTGACAACAATTTGAAGTCTTTTGTAATGAAATCAAAGTCCCATAAGAGACCCGACCTAAAAAAAAGTCCCATAAGAGATTGTGATTGGGCTTCACAAATCAGAATATGGGCCTTAGCACTTTATAACCCCTTTGATTGAAGAACTAAAACGACATCGTTATAACCCCTTTGAAGACGGTTTTCTTCATCTCTTATCGCTTTTAAAACCGGCCTAGAAAGAACAACAAACCAGTCTGGTCTTTTCGAATGTGATTTGTGGTTGATGATGATGAGGCTAGTTCAAGTATCGTCTACTGAATCCATTTCTTCTATTTCCGCTTCCTCGGCTCGAAATGGAGGAGTTCTCTACTTGAAGCGTGGTTCTGGTAATATCATCGAACACCTTGTGTGCTTTAGATTTTTTTTCTAATTGCCGATAAATCGATTCTTAAGGAGGGTTTAAGAACTAGTGCCTATAGAGAAATCAAATTCCCCTTTTGTAGATGAACTCATTTATGGGTTTAACGGGAAAAAACTGAAACGTTAATCACAGGCTTAACATGCATAATCAGTTCGCTGCTTGTCCCTTATCTGGGTTGAGTCGATTTCATCGGAAATTTTGTTCCTTTTGTATGTGTTGTCTTGTTTCTGAATCTTGTTGATGCTTTTGAAGTTCAAAGATTGTTTTTTTCATCTTATTTTGTGAAAAAGATTCCAGGGTAGTTCCATTATCTCTGATTATAGATTTGAAGTAGTGGAATAGGTTTGTTTGCAAGATGATTCCTCTAACTTTTGTAACAGTCTGTGGTTTATGTAGAGTCTTGAAGCCGAATAAAGTTGCTTACAACAGCATGATTCTTTCAGCTATGAGGACTTGCTCAATTTCTGGGTTCCATACTCATCTTCCGAAGTCAAGCGGTTCAATTTCTTCGAGAAAGAGGTTTTCTTCTACTGCTTTCTCACTCATCACTCAAACCACTTCACCATTTGTTCATCCCCGTTCTTCAGTAATTGTGTCAAGCCTTCTCTCCCCATCTGATATCCCTCAGAAATCAGAAGAATGGTTTGCTCTAAGGAAAGACAAGTTAACCACAAGTACATTCAGTACAGCGCTTGGTTTTTGGAAAGGAAACCGGCGTGCCGAGCTCTGGCAGGAAAAGGTTTATGATTCAGATTCACGAGTCGTGGAGGAGTCTGCACAGTTTGCTATGAACTGGGGTGTACAGATGGAATCAGCTGCGATAGAAAGGTACAAACGAATAATGGGTTGTGAGGTCGGGACAATGGGATTTGCTATTCACTCCAACGAGCAGTTTCACTGGCTTGGCGCTTCCCCGGATGGAATTCTTGATTGCTTTGGTATTCTAGAAGTGAAATGTCCATATAACAAAGGGAAAACCGAAACTGTATTGCCTTGGAAAAAAGTGCCCTACTATTACATGCCTCAGCTACAAGGTCAAATGGAGATAATGGACCGGGAATGGGTCAACTTATACTGCTGGACACGAAACGGAAGCACTGTCTTCCGTGTGATGAGAGACCGAAGCTATTGGAGAATCATACATGATGTATTAAGGGAGTTCTGGTGGGAGAGTGTGATTCCTGCAAGGGAGGCTTTGTTGTTAGGGAAAGAGGACGAGGAGGTGAAAAAGTATGAGCCAACATCTACGCATAAGCGAACCAAGCTTGCCATAGCTAAAAGCATAAATTTGGCTGCGGAATCAAAACTAGTATGCAGAGAAATCGCTGATCATGTCGAGTTCTTTTAGATGAATAGGAGAATGATGATTCATCTTATTAGATCACATTGTTGTACTATGAAACTGCTTAAATGATGTAACACTCTTTAATCAGATTTCTAGACTATCTGGAGATTAGCGGTTGCTATCCGCCTGTAATTAATTGGATGTGAAATGTTTTTCATTGCAAAAATAGGTGAAGACAGTTAGACCAAAGACAAAATATTGATTTTTTGTGCCAACCAAGCAGATGACCAAAAACAGAGAGGAATGCCGAAATAGAGGAGTTGGTTACCAAAAAACTTGAGAAAACTGATAACTAATAGACTCAAACAAAGGACAATGAACAAGAAGAACAAAACTACAAATAGATAATTTAAGATGTTCCTCTTAAGTTAATGGTTGTTTGAGTTTCAAACATCTGCAAGAAGAGAAGAAGATGGATTCAGGGCCGTCGTGGGCTGATCAATGGGATTACAATAACCCTGACCCTCTTCCGAGTTCGACGAAAGAGGATGAGAGCAAAAAGAAGAACAAGAAGAAGAAGGAAGAAGATGGAAGCAAAAGCAGTCTTGGGAAGACATTACTTGGGTTCAAATGGATGAAGGAGCTCCGCAAGAAATCTGAAAAGTGATTAGTAAAGACATGTTTTATTACATTTGTATTTGATTCTTGTTATTCTTTGTAATTAATCCATTCTTTCACAGTTTCTCTTCTCCATCTCTCTTTAGTATTCGTGTTTTACTATTAACCGATTTAACGAGCATCAAAGCAATGCGAATTCAGGCAACGCAAACGAGAAATGAACCAAAATCTTAAATGGGTCAAGACAACTAAAACTTGATCAATCCAAAAAGAAAAAGAACAATGGAAATTTTGGGACAATGTACTCTTTGTTTTTGTTTTCTCAGAACAGATGAAACAATCTTAAAGGGATGTTTCACTCATCTTCTAGACTTCTTTTTCGAGGCCTTTGAAGAAGGCGCAGCTGCATTGGCTTTAGAACTCGCCGCTTGGTTTGACTTTGAAGTTGAAGGAGCTGCTTCTTGTTTATCCTTAGTCACTGCACCCTGCGAGCCACGGATTTGAGCTGCTCGCTTGTCCTTCCTCTTGGGTCTGTAACTTGACCTTTCCCTTCTGGGAAGCCACCTTTCAGGGTCTGGAGGTGGACCTGGGTTGGCTGGATCGAATCCTTTGGGATACTTTGGCTTTCTCTTCCTCTTCCTCTTCGCCTTCTCCTTCTTCACTTCTTCCTGACTCGATGAAGCAGCAGCGCCTTCAATGGGTTTTGCACCAGAGGTCTTTTCTAGGTTATCCACATCAACCACCTTCAAACCTGGTAGGGGCTTAAGCTGTTTCTCATAAGTTTCTGCTTTCTCGACATTGACACGAGCAAGTGTAGTCACAAGACCAACCAGAGCATCTGTGCTATTATGGTTTTTCACAATCTCCTCGTATAGCCGTGAAGCCTCCTCTTCCTGACCATGCCTGAGCTTGAAGGCGGCAGCCTCCGGCATCAATACACTAAGCTTATTGCTCTCAGTCATCGAATTCGACCACCATTTAATAGCTGAGTCAAGAACAGCAGCAGCACCATCATTGTCCCCAGCACGCTCTTTGAGGGCGACAATGGTGGCAACAGTTGCAGGCAAATGCTGAATATCAGGTATTTTGGACAGGGATTCTGCTGCTACATGAGGATGACTGGCAGAAGCAGCAATTTGTGCCCTGGCCAAGAGAACCAACTTAGACTTTTCCGGGAATTTTTCGGCACACTGTCCCAGAAGTTCTTCAGCTTTGGCAGCCTTGTTTTCTCTCACCAAAACAGCAGCTTGAAGCAATGTAGGAACAACACTCTCAGGAAACATACCGGGCAGTGCAGCACAAAGTTCTCGTGCCTGAGGTGAAAAGATTTTCTTAACTGGTTAAGCAGAGTATGCAAAGAAGAAACGAAAGAGGAATAACCAAAATTTCAAGTTTAAAGGACCTGATCCATTTTATTTGCATGGAGGAGTAGAAGGATGCGATTGGCATATATAGCCTCCTTATTTTTCTGTGAAAGCTTTGCATTGAGTTCTTGAGAAAGCTGAAAATTTTGGGAGTCTTTTTCTTTCAGCCGATCAAACTTCCTCAAGCCATCAGAAATATCTTTGGAACCTTTCGAGGCAACAAGGTTGTTCACAGCAACAGCAAGTGAAGGTTCATCAGCCAGATTTCGTTTAATGATATCTACATAAGAGCTGGTGGATTCTTGAGTTTGTCCAAGGACCTGACAAAGAAAAAAAACTGTTATGAGGAACTGGAAGATATCTTGACAAGATGTTAAGAAAAGATAAGCAGTATAAAAAAGTACCTGTTGGACATATGCTAATTGAACAGAAATTGGGGCCAGCTCAGTCTCGATATACTCATCAGAACAGTCATCTTCAGTGAGGGTTTCCTGACCAATTCTGTTTCAAAGCAAAGCACATTTATCAGGTATGAGTACATTGTACAAGACTCGGAAAATCTGTAGTCAAATGATCAATATACTTGTAGTGTTGATAAAGATACAGAAAAAAAGAAATCATCTATCTATCCCTAAATACTATATTGATGTGATTATCAAAAGCAAGAAAGAATTGAGATCAAACAGTAAAATTCAGTGTTAACAACTATTTTACCAAATCACCGATCCTAAGCTAGACAAAACACAAATAATTGCATTATGCTAGAGGAGTGTCAAAAGGAATCTCTTAAGAAAGACTAGTAGGAAGTAGGAACAGTGGCCTAGGCGACATAAACAATGACCACTCCTACATAAATATGCTCAAATTTCTCCGGAAAAAAAGAGAGATTATATACCTCTTGGCAGTGAGCAAAAGTTGTTCAGCATCGGCATAGTTATTGTTTTCAATCAAAGAGCAAGCAGTATTATAAGCCAAGTCATAAGTACTAGTTGGTTTGATCTTCAAACCCTCCAATGCTTTTGGCACTTGAGAAGCTTTTCCAGCTGTAATCAACGCCGCGACTAAATTGATCTCTAACGACTCAATCTCGGACTTGCTCAGTTTCTGACACACATCCACACAAGCATCTGCTTTCCCCAAACGGTACAAAATCTGAGACTCCAAAAGCAACGTCTCTGAATCTCTCTCGAGACCTTTTAAACACACCAACGCCTCATCTAACTTGTTTAGACGGTATAAACAATACGCCTATTAAGAAAAAAAAATCAATTAGCGCAATTTCTTCAGATCAAATGCAGTTAGAATGATGCAAAATGACTATACCTTGTGAAACCCTAGATCAATTGGAAGCTTCTGGAACGAGTTAATGACCGAGAGAGCACCATTGATCTTAACGTCTTTGATTAGATAATCATCGATCTTATCGTCTTTAATCAGAGCCACAACTTTGCATCGGATCGCATCCTCATCAGTAGGTACAATAGACAAAACTGAAAACAAAACCACGGATTCAATTTCACCAAATCAAAATGAACAAGAATTGTAGAAGGAGGTAAGAATTTTGAAAACCTTTATCAGCGAGCTTGACGGCTTCTTCAAATTCAGATCCCTGGATATGATTATTGAGGGAAGTGAAGAGATCTTCGATTGCTGGAGGAGGTTGTGAAGTTGGTGTTTTGGATTTTTCTTTGGATTTCGGAGCCATGGCTGCAAAACGGGATCCAAGCTTCGAGAGTTTTGTCTAAGGGTTCGCAATTGCATTGTCTTCAACGGATTGATGATGACATGCGTTAGATAACTTAATGGGCTTTTTTTATATGGGCCTTTGAGATCTCATTTATGCTCATGATCCAATTATCTTAACTTCTTTTATGGGCCTTTTATTTGAAAACCATTGAGGCTCATGCATCTAAATTTAAAATTTTATTTATTAACAATTAATCTCTAAACATATATAATTATGTACTATGAAAAAGTTACAATCATTACTGCATTTGATAGTAATACAAACATTATGCATTCATAGTAAAATTCAATTTATACTTAATTTAGTTTAAAATATCAAAATAGGAAAAACAAGCACAAGATAAGAGTATTGAATTAAAAATTTGTATAAAAATAAGAAAACAAATGATGGTAAATTATTAAAGTATCGAAATTGAGAGATAAAATTAATGTCAGCAAAACCGAAAATTTACGGGATAACGAATATAATTTACTTTACAAAATGATATTAGCAATATCATTATCTATAAGAAAATAAGATGTATTATACCACTTTTTTATAAACGCCTAAAATAGCTTCAGTTCCGATTAGACGTTTTAGACGCAAAACACTGAATTACTGTCTGCTTAACGTTTAACGCTTTCTTGAATATTTTTTTTATATTAACATATTTTCACCAGTAGAATTTATATATTTTGGCATAGTATTCAATTTCTATACCATGGAAACTAATTCAAAAAAAAAAAATTAAAATTAAGGAAATAGAGTTTTTCCGTCCGTGTCTCGGTCTCACTTTCTGCCTTTGGTCCATCAGCGAGCGAGAGGCTTTTCCCTCCCAGTCACTCTTTTTTTTTTTCATTCTCGAGAAAATAGCAGAGGAAAAATGACGGAAAACGAAGGAAACGACAAGAAAATCGAAGGATCTAATCCTAAGAAGAAGCTCAACGTTGTAACCTTCACCGGAGCGGCGGGGTTGCTCGGACTCGCCGTCAGTTTCGCCATCTTCGCTTTCAAGTCTCACAAGCAAAAATCCAAGAAGAAAGGCACTCTCTCTCTCTCTCTCTCTCGTCTTCCTTTCACTTTCTCTTGGCTTAATTCCGCAATTTACAAATTCAAATTTCACAATGTTCGTATTCATTGGAAATTTAGGTCTTCCTGGTTGTGATACTATTTGTGTGAACCTATCTGCGAAGGAGATTCTCGATTTAGCTGAAGAAATTATTCACAAGTCTACACGAGTTCATGATACTGTTGCTTTGGTTTCTCTAGATAAGGTATTTGAAAATCACTGGATTAAGTTGAGAAAAACCACATTGATATGGAAAAATATCTCTGACTTGATTCTATTGTTGTTATTTGCTTTTGTAGCTCTCTTATGAGAATGTTGTATTGCCGTTGGCTGAATTGGAAGCTAGGCAACTCTCGCTTATACAATGTTGTGTGTTTCCTAAGATGTTATCGCCTCACGATAATGTTCGGAAAGCTAGTGCTGAAGCTGAGCAGAAAATCGACGCTCATATGCTCTCCTGCAGGTGAAATTGGATTCTGATGAGCATGAAATGCTGTTTTTGAATTTCTGACTCACTTTATATGAATTTGAAGATAATGTCTTTGTGCAAGCTTATCAGAAAACGTGAAGATGTTTACCGGATTATCAAAATTTATGCTGCAAAGGGAGAATCGATTGCTCCGGAAGCTAAATGCTACCTACAGTGTCTGGTAAGGAAAATTTAATCATGTGCTTCTCTTATATATTGCTCTTAAGAATTTTCACTGTCTCAGACATTACTATATTACATTCTTTCTACTAATGCAATGTAGTGCCTTAACCATAAACACACTCTAACTACTGAGATTATATAGTTCATCTATCTTCCTTAGCATAGTTGTTATCATTTCTAATTTCTCCATCACAAATCTAGAATTTGTTGGTCCAGGACTTTGTACTATTGATATTAATTAATTTTCTTTACTTGTGCTATGGAAAGTGATTGACCAGCCTCAAATTGTTTAAGAACATGTCCACTAGTGAATGAGATCATTACTCTTTAAGAGTTGGACTAGAGAATTTTTGCATTCATGAGCTTCATTTAGTTACTCTAGAAGAAAGCAGTTGGAATAATGAGCTTCCTTTTCATAGCACATTTGCAAGAGTTGCTTGCAGACTTCTGTTCACTTTACTAATCTGTGTGAATTGAACCAAATTATTGATTTCTGTTTTATCAGTGACAGGTTAGAGACTTTGAGGACAATGGTCTGAACCTTACTGCAATAAAAAGAGAGGAAGTTGAGAGACTAACAAATGAAATTGATGAGCTTAGCTTGCGATACATTCAGAATTTAAATGAAGATGGTTCTTGTCTCTTTTTTACTGAGGATGAGCTTTCTGGTTTGCCTCTAGAATTTCTACAGGTGTTTATTCTAAATTTTATTTGCTTATTCTGTCACATATGCAAATCTGTGATATTGTCTGTTTCAGACATGACTTTTTTTGAACTATTTCTCATTTCTGCACTTTCTCCTGCAGAGTTTGGAAAAAACTCAAAATAAAGAATTTAGGCTCACCTTGGAAAGTCGTAACGTCGCAGCTATTCTAGAGTTGTGTAAGGTAATAATTCTCATGGTCCTTTTTGATTGCCTTGCCACAGAAAAGGTGGCTGTTAATTGCCAGTTCTTGATACTGACTTTTTAATAACCAGGAATAATTTCAACATCTCTCTCTATGTGTCCAGGCCAAAGCATTAAAATTCATATTTGAACAAGTTTTGGCTCTTGTTTTAAACTTTGCAGATAGCCAAGACAAGGAAGACGGTGGCTATGGCATATGGAAAGAGATGTGGAGATACCAATATTCCGGTGTTACAAAGATTGGTACTTGCGTGTCTTTTCTAAAAACACTTGACAGAAGCCTGCAGCACACTTAAATCAGTTGACATTTTATATTCTCGTCTCTGTAGGTTCATTCACGCCATAGATTAGCTCGCGTCCTTGGTTATGCACATTTCGCAGATTATGCTCTTGATCGCAGAATGTCGAAGACATCAATGAGGGTCTGTGAAAGAACCCTTAAGTGATTAGTTTAGCATTCTTCATTACTCGTTTGTACTGACGCCGTTCTTATGCCAGGTGATTAGGTTCCTGGAGGACATCTCTTCCAGTTTAACTGACTTGGCTATTAGAGAGTTTTCCATTTTGAAAGACTTGAAGGTATATAATGTTGGTATTATGTAATTAACTAATTATAGGTGATGCCTTTCTCACTACTTCGTGCTGGGTTTTAATATCAGAGGAAAGAAGAAGGGGAGATTCCATTTGGCGTAGAAGATCTTTTATATTACATAAAGAGGGTAGAGGAGTTGCAGTTTGATCTTGATTTTGGAGATATCCGGCAATATTTTCCTGTCAGTTTGGTCCTTTCCGGGATCTTTAAAATATGTCAGGACCTTTTTGGTGAGTTTATGTCTGTACTCTAAAATCTTTTGGGGTCTTAATAAATTTCTGCTTTGCTTCTGTGGCTTGAGAATATTTACTATCCATTTATTTCATCTTCGTCATAGCTTGCTGGCCACCTTAATGATTTCGCCATGCAGGAATAAAAATTGAGGAGGTTACAGAAGTTGATGTCTGGTATCATGATGTTCGAGCTTTTGCCATCTTTGACTCCGGATCTGGAAAGCTTTTGGGATATTTCTATCTTGACATGTTTACAAGGTCCATTAGCAACCTTACTTCATTCTCCTATTTACTTTTAAAGCCTCCATTTCATTTTTGAGTTGTGAGAATAATTTTGTTGGACAGGGAAGGAAAATGTAATCACAGCTGTGTGATGGCTCTTCAGAATAACGCACTGTTCTCCAATGGTGCATGTCAGGTGACAATCCTACATCCATGTCGGACCTTTATGTGGAAGTATCATGCAACTCAAAATTTAAATCGATAATATGATCCATGTGGATGTATTTTAACATTTTAATGTTCGTATTTTGGCATTTATTTTGTTTCTGTCTCCAGATTCCTGTGGCGTTGCTTATTGCACAGTTTGCAAAGGATGGTAGTGGTGAAGCTGTGCCATTGGGATTCTCTGAGGTGGTTAATCTTTTTCATGAGTTTGGCCATGTGGTAGGTGAATGAAATTGGTTACGTGGAACAGCTGAATAAATTCTGTTGGTATATATCAGGGGATGTTATGAGCTGATATTCCTTGCTAATCATTGGTTAATAGGTCCAACATATCTGCAATCGTGCTTCATTTGCTAGATTCTCGGGCCTACGTGTTGACCCTGACTTTCGGGAGATCCCTTCTCAGTTATTGGAAAACTGGCAAGTAAACTGTTATTTCTTTCTTAAAGTATCTCTGTATTAACACTGAATCCTTATAGACGGATTATAATTCTGGTATCTCTAGGTGTTACGAGAGTTTCACGCTGAAGTTAATATCAGGTTATCGTCAGGTGAGTGCTTCGCACGACTAAATTGTTGACAATTGTTCTTTTGGTAGACTAGTCATAATTATTTGTCTCAACCTGGGATTTATTCCTGTTGCCCTTCTAGACTGTGACTGATTTATTTAATCCATTGGACCTGCAGGATATCACCAAGCCACTTGTGGATGAAGTCTGCAAAACACTCAAACGTTGGCGATATTCTTTCTCTGCACTAAAGTCGCTTCAGGAGATATTATACTGTGAGACATCTCTGCACATGTTTTAATTGACTTCTAATGACACTTATAGACCTTTTCATATTGACTTTTTTGTAGTTTATTCACTGAAATATCAATTCCTCACAATCGTTAGGAGTTAGGACAAATGGTTTGTTAGTAAGACGAGTAGATTGTGGTTCTAATTATGCTTTAGAGGAAGCAGAATTTAACTAAGAAGTGTATTAGCGGGTAAAATGTGTTATTGACTAATGATGCTTGAAATATCGATGATCAGGTCTATTTGATCAAATAATCTATTCGGACGATGATGCTGACTTACTGCAGCTAATCAGGAGTCTTCATCCAAAGGTAAAAGAAGAAACTCTCAAAGCAATCTGGTCTGTTTACGGCGAATAAATTGTCTTATACTAGTGTCTCTCTCTATATATAGGTAATGATAGGTCTACCAGTAGTGGAAGGAACCAACCCTGCTTCATGTTTCCCACGTGCTGTAATTGGCTCTGAAGCAACATGTTACAGTCGTTTATGGAGTGAGGTATGATTGATTTGCACTGTGGTGATCTGCTCTTTCCATGATTCTTGACTGAAAATCCGCTTATTTCCACAGGTGTATGCCGCTGATATATTTGCCTCAAAATTTGGGGATGGGCATCCGAATCTGTATGCAGGCTTGCAGTTCAGAGACAAAGTGAGAAAGCCTATTCGATGTTTTTCCTTTGATTTAGGAGTGTGGGAGTGTAAAAGGACTAACAACAACAACTTTCTTATTAGGTGTTGGCCCCAGGAGGAGGCAAAGAACCAATGGAACTTCTCACAAGTTTTCTTGGAAGGGAACCATCAACACAAGCTTTCATCGATAGCCGGACAAACTATAGTTTGTAGTATCTTGCACCTAACATTAGGATCTTCCAATGAATCTATTGGCTGCTGAAAATAAACATTTTTTTTGTTGTTGTTGTTAGAGACATCGTTTATTGATGTTTGTTAATGAGTTGAGAGGAGCGATTTTGTTTGAAATTGGAATCATTCATTCTTAACCTTTCTCGACATCTTACCCATCCCAATCACAAATTACGAAAAAGAAAAGAGTTTCAGATTACGTTTTGAAGTCCGGTTCTGGTTCGGTTTAAGTCGGTTTGGACACGTGGCACGTACAAGTAGATAAGGTACGAATCTACGAAATCATCATCTTCTTCCCTAAACCAAAAAGTGAAAAAACTCTCGTTTCCAAACAAACTAGTGGTGCGTAATGGAAGTGAGTATGTCTTTGAACGCGTTAACTCGGCTTCCTCTGAAGAACACAGGAAGATTCGAAGAGGTTGGTTTAGCGAGACACTCTCTGTTTAGCTCAAGAACGGCATGCCGAGAGACGGCGGTGCAGCAGCGGCGGATGGTTTTTGTGGTGGAGGCTAAGGGAAAGAAAGGTATGGCGGCGCGTCAGTATCAACGTACACCTCCTCCTATGCCTAAGATTGAAGACGATGGAAACCCAAGATTCGTTATCTTCATTCGTATGGCCAATGTTCGTCCTTTTCGCTCTCTCTTCACTTAGTTTCGATTAGAAGTAAATCAAACACATAAAAATGTTAGCTTTTATTGGTTCTGTTTCCAAAGTTACATACTTTTTTTCAATTTGATTCTCCTTGACCAGTTATCAGATTGCAATTGTTCTGGTTTCATCAAATTTGGTTTTTTCAACATTTAAGCTCTTTGTTAATAGCATTGTTAGCTTTATTGGTTCTGTTTGCAAAGTTATCAATTAGCAGATTGCAATTGTTCTGGTTTTATGGATGCGACTTTTTTCAACATTTTAGTTTTTGTTGTAAAAAGTGTTTCGTGTGACATGAACAGGTGTATCTTTGGTATCCTCTGAGTATAATAGCTGGTGGTACTACTGCTAAGATCATGGTTGCTGCAAAAGATAACCTTTTGGGGAAGTATATCTACAAAGACACCATTGCAAGAAACATTGCCGCTGTTATTTACAGAGTAAATTACACAAGCTGCTTTTTGTTTGGTCTGATTCCACTTTTTAATATGTATCTCTTTAGATTTGAATTCTGGTTGTTTTCATCTTTAACAGGATGAGAAAGAGATTCAAAAGACAGCAATTAAGCAGCACCGTGTCTTGCGGACAGCTACAGAGTTTCGATATGGCTACAAACTTGTTGTAATGCTCTTGAAACCCTTTGTCTTCAGTTATTCGGAAGCTCTGATTCATTTTGTATTTGGAGGATAGATTCTGTGAGGCCGTAGGAAAAGTTTGTGGTTTCTTTTTCACTTATTATTGCTGCATTATGCATTCAGGAAAACGGAAACATGAGAGCTGCACTTAGTACCTCAGATGTTATCGAGGTGAGCTATACTTGTCATACTTTGAGATCAGCTCTCAAACTCCCTACAGTGACACCAAAAGGGTGCTGTTATAGATGTTTTCTCTGAAACGTTTTTGTTTTGTCCTGAACAATCGCAGCTCCCTACCCAGGACCAGCTTAAAACAGTGTTCGACAAAGTTAAAGACTATTTTGGGGATGCAAAAGAGTCATTCGGAAAGCTATCATCACTGAATCCTGGGACTGACGAAAAAACTGAAGAAACCCCCGATGAGAAAGCCAAGTAAGTATAAACAGGTACCGAATGTTTCTTCTTTTCATTTTCAGTAGAATTTTGGTTTTTTTCACCAAAATGATATACAATCGTTTTACAGGGCCTGAGGCTGAACAATTGTCACTTGGTTGGTTGATTTTGATGTCTCAACCGTCTCGGTATGGGCTGCAGAAGGTCACTGGATACGACGAGACTACCGCTATTTTGTGCACATTTTCTCTATACATCTCTCACAGAAACAGCTTCTGTTAAATCTCTTGTAACATATAACTTATTGTGTATTGTAGATTTGTTGAAAGAAAAGAGCCGTTGGTTACAATTAGCAAGTTCGACTTTTCTTAGATCAAACAATAGTAGTCGAAAATTGGAAGACTTCCCACCGTATATATTGAAGAAATCCTTAATAGAACTGTGGACAAGATATTCAAAAGCTTTAAGGACCATTTGCAGAGATTAAGTAGAACCTATCTGATTGCTCCAGTGGGTAAAATCTCTAGTTCTGCGTAGTATTGGCGACATCTGACTGTCTGAACATTGCAATTTGGTGTGTGTAACTTCATATTTGTGTGTCAGATAACCACCAATTGATTGCCTGCATAGAAAGATGTTAGGTACAGTAGTTCAAAACTCTGTAGTTTCCTATCTTGATCTGGTGGCAACTGTTGGATATCTTCGATGGAAAACGTTTTGCTTAACACTCATTTGTATATCTGCTCTAAAATTGTGAACTCTCACATTCTTTGATGTTAAGGTTATGGGACAGATCCTCAACAGGTAGAAGAACATCACATTTGTTGGAGTAAGGAGGAAAAATTCCTAAGTTTTGCAATTAGATACAATATGTAGTAGAGATCTTATTTTCAAGATATGAGAGGCAAACTAATTTCCTTCCAGGTGAGAGGGAAACCAGTGTGACAGTGAAGATCTTAAGCGACGGTATGAAACATGTGGCTTTATCATTGTCATCAACCTGTTTGGTGTAATTAGCCTATGACACTCATGGATTATTGTACAATGCATTCGAACATGGAAGGTTCTTGGGAAAGCAAGATTATTTTCAGGTATACCCACAAAATCTTTCTGCATTACACCCACCAATATACGAAAAGAAGTTATAGGAACAAGGTTAAGATATGAATAAACCTTGGTCTACCATGAAGGAATACTCGTCAGGGTCAGGCAGCCGCTCGTTTCCATACCAAAGGTGGTGTGGGAGCTCAGATAGGAGTGATGGGCTACTACTGTAATCTTGAAACTGGAGTCCGGTGTTTGCAAGAAAATGCTCGCCTTGAAGCCAACTCAAGTCTAAGTCAGTGTCTAAAGAAGCAGAATGATGTGATTCTGGAAGTTCCCAGTTCAAGCTTCTCAGAATCGCCTCTGTGTTGTTGGTTACATTTGAGCTAAACTCCTGAAGCTTCATGTTGGATATGGCAGAGGGATCCAAATCTTGAAGGGTTTCAGTAGGGTTCTTGTCTTGCGGCATGAGAAACTCATCTGCATTCACACTACTGCCTCCTGCTGGTGTCTCATAAAGAGGCTTCATTTCCTCTTCCATGAGAGACGGTGCAGAATTTGCAACATATGAACTTTGACTTGGCAATGGTTGTTGGTGGAGAAAGCTATTCTCATACAGAACCGGCTTCGATTCAAGTGTCTCAGGAACATCATTCCAAGGAAGCAGAGAGTCAAACGCAGAGGAGGAGGATATGGGAGGATCAAATCCAATACGCGTCTTTTTTGTTTTCGGAGGCATGATCACATCCGTGTTGGGGTCAGACAGAGAAGCTGAAGCAAGTGGCGTTGGATCGATCTCTGTTACTTTTTGGATCAGAGAATTTCCCCCAGAGAATACATAGCTGCTCTTCCCAGGGCTTTGGTAGCCGGAATTCACTTCGACATCTTTCGGAGATGAATCCATATTCTTCACGCCACCAGAATAACACTTGAGCTCCTTTCCTTTCTCTAATCTGCTCAGGTAAAGTCTATATTTCTACAATAAAACAGAACAAAAAAAGTGACGAAAAGCTTAATCTAATTACACTTGTTCTGAAAAATGATGTCAAGGTAAAGTTTTTACCTGAAGGTGGCTTGCAACATTTTCCCTAGTGAGCCATGGAACATTCATGAGATCCAATATCTTCTTGGGACCAGCTTCTGCCAAACAAGAGACCGGAAAAAATTCACGGCTCTATGAAGACATGATAATAAAGGGAGGCAAGGGGACATGATAAGAAACCAAAGTCGCCAACGTACTTACTGTGATCGCATCCGATTTGGTTAACCGCGTTGACAAACTTCTGATGAAGCTCAAAAGACCAAACAACTCTGGCTTTCTTGGAAGAAGAGGATGATGGATCACTCTCATCTTGAAGAAGCTTCTTCTCAAAGTCAAAGTCTTTTCTCTTTTTACCAAAAGAAACATCTTCACCACCTCCAAGAAAATGTGCTTCATCGTATCGAGTGATCCAGTCACCTCCTCCTTCGTATCCACAGCCCTCGATATCTCTCACTTCTTGAAGCTTCTTTCTCAGAACATGTTGCCATATAATCTTCAACTCCTTCATTCTTATCGGCTTCAAGAGGTAATCACACGCTCCGTGTTGCACTCCTTTCATTACTCTGCTTGTTTCTCCATCCACCGACATCACTACAACGCAACAACAACAAAATCAATAACCTTTTTTATTTATTACTCAAGAAGTGAAGATCTTTCTTCTCACTTATTACAGGGAGGTCTAATTCAAGACCAACATGCTCAAGAAGCTTGAAACCATCCATGTCAGGCATGTTCACATCGCTGATCACGATATCGTATCCGTCTTTACGCTCCCTCAGCAACCTCAGAGCCTCTCTAGCTAACCCACAGGTCGTTACTGAAACAGAGCACATAAAATAAAGAGAAATCTCAGTTGATTTGTTGAGGAATGAGTCCAAAAACATAGATAAAGAAGAAGAGAGACCTTCGTAAGAACACTTCTTGAGCATTTTCTCGAGAATCTTGAGCCAAGTTGGGTCATCATCCACCACAAGAACCCTTAGACCGACGGGAGAGAAGCCGCTTTTCTCCATGATCGCCGGCAAAAACAAGAAAGAGAGAGAGAAAGAGAAATAGAAGACACAAAGAAAGTGGTGAGAGTTCTTTTTTTGGAAAGGAGAAAGTGGGAGTGGGTTTTTGTTTGCGTTTTATTATGAAACGACGACGCTCCGAATATTATGGCGTCGTTTAGATAACGGTCACCGTGGCGTACGTTAGCTTTTCCCTCCGTACGGGGCTTTCCAAATTTCTCTCTGTTTTATTTTAAAAACGAGGCTATAAAATATAATTTCTTTAAAAAAGAGTTTGTGGATTAATTTATTTTCTTATAATTTATTTGTGGATTACTTTTGAAGAAGGAATTTAGTTCGGTCTAAGTTCACTGCAAAAAAAAAGTTGTTGAAGAGTCCTTTCCCTCTCTCTAAATTTGTAAGTTGACGACGTCTCTCACTCCCCCATATTCTTCCAATAATTTAGCTCTTCAAATTGTTCTTAAGATATTGTCATGATAATATTGTGGATTATATCACCTTTTATAGTTTTATTCTATAATATTTGAATAATAATATTTCTACCTTTTTGGTATTTATATGTAAATATTGAGCTTTTTCTTATAATTTTTTCTTTTTTTTCATATAATTATATAACTTATATAAGTTAGATCCAAATTTCTTCAACAACTTTGGCAACATGCTCTAAATATGGGCGTATTTAGAGCAGTGCCGGTTTAAACATTTAGTGGACCATCCTATGTCAAAATTTTAAAACATGCTTTGAGATCTTACGGCATAACAATACATATTGACAAACGTTTTTTTAATTAACAAATGATTTTGACAAAGAACTTTATAATGCAAATTATGTACGTGTATCAAGTTCACAGTGAATAAGTTTATTTATAATACATGATATTTATAATACATGATACTACATCAAACAACTTAATTTATATATGTTGTAGCACAGTATAGTCTCTGATAACCTTGCATCATAATTTCCAAACAAATCTATCTTTTAGGAATCGAACCTCAAAAGACATATATATATATATAACAACTTATTTCACATACATGCATTATATATATATATATATATATATTATCTATTAACGCATATAAAACTTTTTAACCGGTGAAGTTTTATACTCTCTAATATTTACATTCCGGTTTAATCAAATCATGCTCGTAAATCATCAAATCATTAACAAGTTAACGTAATGTTTAACCGTAATTAAGACTTAAAATGTTTGATCTTTGACTCTGAAAGACTTTAAAATGTCTAATCTTGACTATGAAAGACTTCAAATGTTTTGACCTTTATATTCTATTGAAATAAACTTAATAGAAAGATAAAAGAATAAAAGGAAAATGGTACACAGCTTGTCATGCACAAAGCTTTTTTATGGATAAGGACGTGGCCCGTAGAGACTCGACAAAACCACAACATATACTTCCTCATTAATTTTTATTATTTATATATGTACAAGACAGCTAACTAATTGCACAAACTTTTTGGCCATGATAAAAAAGAAAAACGCATTATAAGTTTAGAAACAGTGTCATTATTTGGGAGTTTGTGGATTTGCACAGTGCACTGGCCATGTTTCTGTTGATGGGATTAGGGACGAGGTTTGCACGTGACCCGCATTTGAATAGCTAGTTTCACTTTCATGATGACTATTTCATTACTATCCAACTCTTGTTTGTTAGTTGTGTGTAGTATTTCATATCATATAGTTATTGAGATGTAGAGTTGTGTCTAGTCCTCCAATATATTTGTGTACTATACCTAAACCCTAAATTTCATGAAATGTATTGTTTGTATTTTTTACAAAATATGACAAAACATGCAAGCTTTACCATAGATAAGTATAACGTAATCGGAATCTTCCAACTAACATAAAAATGTCTCTCTTTATCTTCACAAGAAAATTACTCTACTCAATGAGAGAAAATCCAAACTCATCCCTCTCCTTCGCAAGGAGGAGATGCACGCACGAGCTGTGATCAGGTCCCTTGGACTCCATATCCCTGCAGTTGCGTCGTTGCTTCAGGATTACCTTCATGATGCTAATGAGGATGATTTGGGGAATGCTGAAGTAGTGGCTGCTGAGGCTGCTGCCCCTGCTGAAGTGGCTGCTGCCCCTGCTATAATTCATGTTCCTAGATGGTGTGCTGAAATGGATGTGGCTTTTGATGCAGCAGTTAACCAGCTCCCTCCTGACCTTCGCAGACCATATCAGATCCATGCTATCATGGTGCGTCAGTTCCCTGGTTTGACACGTAATCAAGTTCGAGGCCGGAAAAAGCGAGTTGCTATAGACTCCCACGAGTGATCACACTACTAAATATGTAATTAGCTTTAAACTCCAGGTTGACTGGAGAAGTTACTGATTATCTTATAATTATTAGTTACACTGTTTTTGTTTTTCGGTTATTGAGGACAAGAAACCTGTTTATGTGGTCTCGTGGCTCTCTTTTCAATACCTATATATGCTAAGGTTTACATTAGACCACAACCAATGAGTGTTAGATGAGTTTACATCTTTCGAAACCGGGCCTTGTGGCCTAGTGGTAAAGGGGTCACAGCTGTGACTTCCGCCACTAGGGTTCGAGGCACGGCCATTGGCAGGTTTACATAGGGGAATTGCCAGCCTCGTGGGATTAGTCCTTGGGCCTAGGAAGCTTTTGGGAGACCCGCGGTTATTAAAAAAAAAATAATAATAATAATTTTGAGTGAGTTAATGTTTTTTCAGAGTTGTAATTGTCACAATATGTTTGGGTTGGTATCATGCAACACACATCATTCTATCGTCAAAGAGATGCATGCTTACGACTTTATTTCCTTTCATCAAAACGTAACTTGAGTTATTTTTTGCTATGTTTTCGTATTTTGCATATGATTTATCTGATAATAGTCCCAATTATACTTTAAAGGAAAAGAGAAGCGACATAAATGTTGCTAAGAAAGATGCAAAAAACGGTGGAGGTTGACCAATAGTTAAATTGACTATTAAAAATCTATAACAGAATAATGGAGTGATGAAGTGTGTGTATACATTTTAACATATACTCCCTCCGTATTTTAATAAGTGTCGTTTTAGGATTTTCTTTTTTTAAAAATTAGATGTCGTTTTCAAATTTCTATGCAAAATTTATTACTTTTTAATGTTTTATGACATCATAAAACATTAAAAAGTAATAAATTTTGCATAGAAATTTGAAAACGACATCCAATTCAAAAAAGTAAAAATTCTAAAACGACACTTATTAAAATACGGAGGGAGTATAAGAGTATTTGGGTTATAATTCCTCTGTATTGCAAAGTGATACCAGAAAATGTAATTATGTTTTGTTTTTTTTAATTTTGCCGCTAAACAACATGATATATCATTTTTCACTCACCTTTGCGGTAGACGTTTCGGCAAAGTTTGTCTGAAGAGACAGGTCACTTCATTACAAATCTCATAGAATTAGAGGATTCGTGTGTTCTACAAGCCTTTAAAGCTGATCAAAGCATCAATGTTTCAAATACAAATTCTTTAATTTCATCATTTCTTGTCTCTCTTACATCAATGTTGGGCTCACATCTTAAAAAAAAAGTGTGTTACCATATGAATCCCATACTCTTTCATACTTATATGTCTTATTTAACAATGTTACTAATTTTCGGATTCCCTAACCCGGAAAGTCCCAACGATGCTTTTGTGCGCCAATAACAAAATCTACGGATTGCACAAAATGTAGAAGACGCATTCGAATAGGGAGGATAAGGGAGCTCTATCTAATTAACTAAGCTAAAATATGACTTTAGGTTTGTGTGTTCTACCCTTGTTTGTGTATATGTGCAATTATTCGTCCATAGGTTAATGGAATACTATATGTTTATATAGAATAGACATAGAGGTTATAATAATGCGCCACAAAAGATGCACTAAGGTTGGATTAGACCCATACAATAAAAAAAAGGGCTCGTAGAGTCATTTTCCCCAATCACCTGCCGACATTTGACACTTGTTATGGTCAAATTGTAAATCCATAAATTTGTAGAATGTCGCAATTTTATTGGCTCATGTCGTCCACGCGCTGCTTTGGAACATTAATCTTTAATTATGTGCATGTAAAAAAATCAATGCTAATGCTTTAATTATCCTTCTAATTATTGGGTAGTATAAGTATTAAACCACTACCAATGAACATTAATCGTCCCTTTAAGTGAAGTTTCTCAGTACTTTATTTCACGATTTTATATTGGTAGATACTATAGTAATTGAGTAATTAAGAAAAGTATAATAATTGCATACCAATGAGTGTGTTAGTGCACCCTATTAAACGGGTGTGACATCCACCTATATGACATAAGAACTTATACGTACACTCCAAAAATATGTCTATTGGTGTATGTGTGTATATCTATTAATATTTATGTATAAAATTACCATACTAATAAATAGAAAATGAATTTTGTCTATGTATTTGTGGATCGGATTACAAAAAAATTATCACAAAAATTGCAGCTTTCCTATTTAAAAGGCATAATATTAAACAAAATTCAGAATTTATCTATTTAAATGAAGTTTACTATGATGATGATGATGTACAAGAGGACAACAAAAATGAAGTTTACTAATTTGAGAAGAAAAAATATTCTCAGATCTTCAATTGGAAACGATAAAAATATATAATTAGACAATTACTTTTATTTCATGTATAAACCCTAAAACAACAAAGTTTGTAAAATGGATTAAAGTACTAAGTACTTAGAATAATACTAAATAGTTAATGCAGCACTAATTAAAACTATACGTCTCAAACGCAATGAAAGTTGGGAAGAAACTTATCCCATTGTTAATATAGACAATAAATGTGTAACCAAAAAGAGCATCACAATTTCTGTAACGTTACGTGCCTTTGCAATTATAACTAATCAAGCCCTTTATAAAAAAAAGTTATAACTATACCCTCAAATATTAATTACACTCCAATGATTCATTGAACCATCATTAGCCCTACTAATCTACTCTAATAAGATGTTCTACGACATTTCAAACCTCATGTACCTACTCAAACATATTTTCGATGCTATATATAAATGGAAATCTTTCACTGTTTCGTTTTGTTAATTCTTTAACGACGACTAATTATGTGCTGACAAAAAAAAAGAGACTTATTTCGTATCTAATCGTAGATTGCTGATTGCAAATGGCTAAGGCTTATTTTGGAACGTGAGGACTTGGTTCATATATGGAACGACTTTCATGGAGCCAATGATAGGCACATTATAATTCTTTTGTCTCTAAAAGTCCCCATAATCATTTGGTTGCCACACCAACATGCCAAAAAAAAAAAAAAACATTGCAGCTGCACATGAGACCTTTTCAAGAATATAATAAACTCAAACTTCTGATTCTAAAATTTAATCTGAAAGCAAATATGATATTTTCATAAAACATTTTTTATCATGGCTCTAAATTCAAATAAAAATTCAACATATATATATATATATATATAAACGTTGGAAAAGAGTATACTAACTACGCAAAACATACTAACAGTGAAATATATATCCAAATATTTGCAATCAAATTTGTTGTGTAAGTGGTTTCGAGACAACTCTTAGTGTTCTCTGATTCTTTCTCAAACAAAGTTTAACCAAGAAGACTATATAAAATTTAAAGTCGTTTTCAGCATCAAAAATGGAAAAAATGGATAATTAGCTAAAAGGTGAAACTTTTGAGAAGTAGGGGAGAGAATGAGTACTTTAAACATTCAAACAAGCATAAAAATTTCAAAATGATTCTGAAAATTATGATTATTATAATAAGTATTAAGAAAAGTAACTAAATGGAAAATGCCCACTAACAACATACTTTATCCCACAAGAAGAAATTAACAAATATTTAATGAAAAGAAAAAGGCATATGTGTATGATTGGTGTCCAACAAATTAGAAGGATCAAGATTAACTTCGTCCTTCTTATCTTTTTGGCGGGCACTTTCGCCTTCTTCTTATTCTTAATTTAATTAATTATTTTTTCTTAAATATTTAAGTTTCTACACACACCTTTAAATATACAATATAATAAAATAGAATGTGTGTATATTAAATCCCCTCCTACGATACTTCAGGTTATTTGATTTTCACCATTTTATTCTCTCTTCAACTTTTTTTTCGTTCTTTAATAGATTGGTATATATACCTGATATTGATGTATAACTCATTTTACTATATAATACTACTAGTTAGACAAAATATCTAGAAATCTCAAATGGTGCAAATTTTGAAAAGGTCTTATTTTGTATAAATGCATGGTGTACTGCATGTTCTGTTTCTTTTTATCTTCTATACAAAAATTGTTTCTTACAAGAAATATGTAGCAAGTAATATCTGAAATTTTAATCTGATATCGTTTAATTTGAGGTCGCTAATAAAACTTAAATAATAAATTTAGAATTATAATATCTTCCACTTCCAAACCCATAATGTCAATTATCGAGTTAAAATATGTTGGGTTTTTTTTTTGTCTTCTAGATTTATTATTAATTGCAAATTATGAGAACTGTTACATAGACGATTCTACAACTGACAATTCCTTCCGACCCTTACTAGATCCACGACAGACTACACTTCCTTCTTCATGATCTTGATGAATACCTTCAATGATCCACGACCTGGCGACACTTCCTTCTCTGCGTAGAATCCTGGCGAACGGCTATAATTGTACATCGCTGGAGATCTCCTGCACACTTGCCTCCATTAATCTGCAAATTTGTTAATTAAATCGCAATATCTGGGACTCGAACCCCAGACCTCTTGGTGTAGAAGCATTAATCAACCCTTAGTCAACCAATGGGCCAAGGGGCTTCCACAAATATGTTGGTTTCAATATATAAATGTGTGTGAAAAAATACGTAATTTTAAGTTTCCATTTTTATATATCTTATGAAATTTTTCATCTTAATATAGTGGTATTGTTTTATGAAAAAAACTTAAAATTATCAAACTCAAAATTATCTCTTATTTCCCATAACCATTAAAAAAAAAACATACCATAATCACTCAAACTTTATATCAAAGTTAGTAATGAATACTAAATGATTTAAAAAATATTGGAGTAGATTTTATTTATTACATACACATCAATTCTACACATTATGATCCGTGGGTGAGTCCACGAGAGATCTCTTAAAAATTGATCTTGAACACTAATCTCATCTTAGAGCCCTAAAATTAGTAAAAGCAGGAGTACCTAACGCATCAGCTGTCATCTAGCAAGATACCGGTGAGCAATGAGACTTGTTACGCATACCTCTCGAAATGGTACGAAACAAATTATTATCTTGATCCATCGAACATGTTTGTTTTTGTAGTGTATTATAGACGCTAGTGGTGCTTATCCATCCAGTGTATGAAACCGGTAAATATATGACTATGAATAAAACATTCTACACTTTATACAAAGGATATCATAATCGGACCCAATCTTAGGAGAATAATACTCCATACTCATTAAACTCACCCATACACATAAGACATAACTAACCACATATAAATTAGTTGGATGTCTTTCATAACTTCCTCATGAGTTAAGTGTCAGAGATTAATCGAAAGACAAAGGATTGTCCTTTACGTGGTAAATGTTTATCTCTTGCTCAGTAGTTTATCGTCAACATTCACCAGAAGCAAATACATAATGCAGATGACAAAAATTTAGCACGAAGAACTAATTCATTAATTAAACTTGTAGGAGCTTTTCCCAAACCTAATGTTTGTGGTATATTTTTTTAATATAATTTTAAAAATTCATAAAAGTTTTAAAACTAAAACATTGTTTTTATTTTGTTGGTAATATATAGTATTATTTTGTGTTCGATATCTTAATAATATTTAGTAATAGTGGTTGTGCGCCATATATATATATATATATATACATTGACAAGTGACACCAATATTTTAATTCTTACATAAATCTCATTCGATCTTTACCTTTTCCGTAGCTTTTCATTTAACAACAATATTCATATTTTGGATTAAACCTTCATCGTCACTTTACTCTCTTTGTTAACTTTAAGGAAGATGCTGAATGTTGCTATTGTGCAATTTTTTTTTAATTTATTATTAAATTATATTTAGAAGAAAAATAAACGTTTTCTACAAATTAATGCAAAATATTTTGGAACATTTTAAGAGGAAAATGTGTCGTCTCGCAAACCAAGCTTGAATTTGTTAATATCATATGCGGAATTTATTGTATTTCTCTGTCACATAAAATCTGAAATACTAATTAAAAAGAATATAAAATTTTTGATAAACAATTTTTCTTTCATAATCTATCTTTTAACCTTATATTTTGTTTTTGTTTAAAACTTACCTGTCATCATATCATTAATGACTTGATGTCATTATGACTCCATGATGGGCGAAAATTATCTTTCTACTGTAAATTAAATACTCTCTCTTCTCTCTGTTTCACAAAGAGTATCATTCTACAATTTTCACACATATTAAGACAACTACTCCTGTTAAAATTTATACTATACCCCTTATCAATACACTAAACAAAATTATCTCTTTTATTAATACATTAAAGAAATATAGGGTTAAACATGGATTTTTATTCAAAATTTTGCATTAGAAATACTAAATGACACTCTTTGTGAAACAAAAATAAAACCTTAAAACTACACTCTTTGTGTAACGGATGAAGTATTAATATTACTACATTTTTTCAAAACTATCTACTGATCTACATTGTTTCACTGAAAATAACATTATTTTAGAGAAAAATCTTCTTAATAAATAACTCATTGCGATAACAGGCTCCAATTGGAAATGGATTTGTATATTCTCAATTTAAAGAAGAAGTTCATTTTCATAATTAAATTTGGAGTTCCATGGGGGAAAATAGAAAATATGATAAAGACTAGATTATTGAAAAATGGGCCTATTAATCATGTAGTATAGGCCTCTGCTATAACCTGCTTATAATTGGGCCTATTACACTGCCGTTTTAGAAACGCGGCCCAATGGGCTTTGAAGAGGGAAAAACCCCACACACACATACATACTTGTAGACTTGTAGTGTTGTAGTACAGCTTGAATTAAAGTTTTCGAGAAATTGTGTGCGACACCAACTTTTTTACAAAAGCAAGTGTAGCCAAAGCAGAAAAGGTGAAAGAAACTGATAGCTTTAAATTTTCAAGAATGAAGAAAAAGAAAAAGCTAATTCGAATCTCAAATAAAGAAAGACAAATTCTCTGTAACCATTGCCAAAGAACTCGACTTTTTTTAGTAAAAGCAATAAACAAAGTGGAGTCTTTTGTTCACTTCACTCTCTTATCACACGCTTTCCTTCTTTATCTCCGTGACCCTCAAAGCCAAAAAGAACTTGGTATTTTTGTATTGATTTATAGAGATTTAAGAGCTATAGATGTGTGTGTGATCTTCAATGGGTCTATGCTCAGCTCAATTGGCTGTAACATGTTTGTTCATAGTACCTTGTGTTTTATCTCAAGTTACAGGTACATATATTGCACATAATCTGTTTGTTGAAATGCTTCAAAGAGTGTTCTTTTGTGTCTGTGTGTGTGTAAAGTCTTGTTCTTGATGTGTTTTTGAACTTGCTTTTGATGTTCAATCACAAAGTTTTCTCTTTATTTGTATAAAGTCCTTCAATTTTAGACTGTTTCTGGTTTAAAATGTCCAATTGATGGTCTGTAATGGCTGTCTTTGCAGAGTTTGTAAGTATAGATTGTGGTGGCTCAAGTAACTACACAGACCCAAGAACTGGACTAGGATGGGTTTCAGATTCAGAGATCATCAAACAGGGAAAGCCAGTAACTTTGGCCAGTACCAATTGGAACTCGATGCAATACCGTAGGAGAAGAGATTTTCCAACGGATAACAAGAAATATTGTTACAGACTTAGTACCAAAGAGAGAAGGCGATACATTGTCAGAACTACATTTCTCTATGGTGGTTTGGGTAGTGAGGAAGCCTACCCAAAGTTTCAACTTTACTTAGATGCAACTAAATGGGCTACAGTGACGATTCAGGAGGTCTCCAGGGTTTATGTTGAGGAATTGATCGTAAGAGCAACTTCAAGTTATGTGGATGTTTGTGTATGCTGTGCTATCACCGGTTCTCCTTTCATGTCCACTCTTGAGCTTCGCCCGTTGAACCTTTCCATGTATGCCACTGATTACGAGGATAATTTCTTCTTGAAGGTTGCTGCCAGAGTGAATTTTGGTGCTCCAAACATGGATGCCTTGAGGTAAAACCCTATTAAAACTCTTCTTTTCATTACATCATTCGCAAGAATATTTACTAGCCTCGAAAAATGCTCAAAGACTTTCTCTTTTAGGTACCCAGATGATCCATATGACAGAATCTGGGAGTCAGATATTAATAAACGGCCAAACTATCTTGTTGGTGTGGCTCCTGGAACGACAAGAATCAATACAACAAAGAATATAAATACGCTGACTAGAGAGTATCCGCCTATGAAAGTCATGCAAACAGCAGTAGTTGGCACACAAGGACTGATCAGCTATAGATTAAACCTGGAAGACTTCCCTGCCAATGCTCGTGCATATGCTTACTTTGCTGAAATTGAAGACCTTGGTGCTAATGAGACCCGGAAATTTAAGTTGGTGCAGCCATACTTTCCTGACTATAGTAATGCAGTGGTGAATATTGCTGAGAATGCCAATGGGAGCTATACTCTCTATGAACCTAGCTATATGAATGTGACTTTGGATTTTGTTTTGACGTTCTCATTTGGGAAGACAAAGGATTCTACACGAGGGCCACTCCTAAATGCAATTGAAATAAGCAAGTATCTACCAATATCCGTGAAAACTGATAGGAGTGACGGTGAGTACTAGAGGCTACTACTGCCTTGTAAATTCTTCTATGAATCTTTTCCCATCTATGATGCTGCTGGAAATGTGCAAGTCAACATTTGTTGATAAAGAGTTACAGAAGTTTTCTAATCCTGCAGTGTCTGTTCTTGATGCAATTCGTTCGATGTCCCCTGATAGCGATTGGGCCAATGAAGGAGGAGACCCTTGTATCCCAGTTCTTTGGTCGTGGGTAAACTGTAGCCCAACCTCACCACCCAGAGTCACGAAAATGTAAGACCTATTAGATAAAGTTTTACACAAATAAACATAGTTTGTGAAAGCTTATACATGAGATGATTCCCATTGACCCCATTGTGTGTATCTTACAATAGTGTTCTATCAAGAAAAAATCTGAGGGGTGAGATTCCGCCTGGGGTCAATTATATGGAGGCGTTGACAGAGTTGTGAGTGGTTTGATGCTGCATTAGAGATATTCTCTTGTATTAATCTCTGTTTGTCACTATGTCATTCTTTTGTTGAGTAAATTTGCTCTTTCATATGATAGGTGGCTTGACGGTAATGTTTTGACTGGAATCCTTCCAGACATGAGCAAACTTGTCAACCTGAAAATCATGTAAGCTTGCCAATCTTGACCAATAGTTTTATTATAGTTGAAGAAACTCGAATTCCAGAAAGCTTTACTTTGCCTCATCTTCTCGGCAGGCATCTAGAAAACAACCAACTTAGTGGTTCACTCCCACCATACCTTGCTCATCTGCCTAACCTACAAGAACTGTAAGTAATCACAACTGATACCTCAAATGCAATTATCCACTACATATGACACTTTTAACGAATGTTATTATCTGGCAGGTCTATAGAAAATAACTCTTTTAGAGGAAAAATTCCTTCAGCACTATTAAAGGGGAAAGTTTTGTTCAAGTGAGTATGCTCCAAGTTGACTTGTCGAACACAAAAGCGCACAGCTTTTTAGCATTTGCTTAAAAGAGAAATTTACCCTTTTAGCAACAGATTGATGAGTTCAACATGACTGTTGGAATTTTTAAGTGTACAAATGGAGGAAATGAAATAAGCATATCAGCATTTAGAATTTTCATTTTTATGGAGTTTCCTCTTGTAGTGCTAATACACAGCTATAACATGTTTTCCCCAGATATAATAATAATTCTGGGCTTCAGAACGAGGCACAGCAAAAGCACTTTTGGCTGATACTGGGGATATCAATAGCCGCTGTTGCACTTTTATTGCTACTAGTTGGAGGAAGTCTTGTTTTACTTTGTGCCCTTCGTAAGACCAAAAGAGCTGATAAAGGTATATATGCATTGGATATTGATCATATAGCTGTTACAGGTTTTCCCCAAGTGTATGACCGCCTAACTCATGTTTCTTCAGGTGATTCCGCGGGGACTAAGAAAAAAGGTTTAGTAGCTTACTCAGCTGTGCGGGGCGGACACTTATTAGATGAAGGTGTAGCATATTTCATATCACTTCCTGTGCTCGAAGAAGCCACCGATAATTTTTCCAAGAGAGTTGGAAGAGGAAGTTTTGGGTCTGTCTACTATGGTAGGATGAAAGATGGGAAAGAAGTTGCAGTTAAGATAACTGCAGATCCTTCTAGCCATTTGAACAGACAATTTGTGACTGAGGTATTAACTAATTTGCAGCTATTAACTTACTGCAAAAGCTGATTTTGGCTTTCTGGTGCCCGAAATTTCTTAACCAGACGAATGAATTGGAACAACGTGCAGGTTGCTCTATTATCAAGAATTCACCACAGGAACTTGGTTCCTTTGATTGGATATTGTGAAGAAGCAGATCGGCGTATATTGGTTTACGAATATATGCACAATGGATCCTTGGGAGATCACTTACACGGTTAATACCAACTTCCCAGATATTCCTCCTGCCTATTTTTATCTATTTATTCAGTGAATGACTCAGGAATCAATTCTTGCCAGGTTCAAGCGACTACAAGCCATTAGACTGGCCAACTCGGCTACAAATTGCACAAGACGCTGCTAAAGGTTTGTAATACAATTTCAAGATTATAGCTTTAGTATGGGTATAATATGAATCCATTGGACAGACGAAACTTCAGATTATTACAGGTCTTGAATACTTGCATACTGGTTGCAATCCTAGTATCATCCATAGGGATGTGAAATCAAGCAATATTCTCCTGGACATTAACATGAGAGCCAAAGTGTCTGACTTTGGACTCTCGAGGCAGACAGAGGAAGACTTAACTCACGTATCCAGTGTCGCAAAAGGAACCGTTGGATACCTTGATCCAGAGTAAGGCTAACAACAGAACCTCACAAAAAAGTATCCATTTTAATGAACTTCGACTGATACAGGCATTGCTTTGACAGGTATTATGCTAGTCAGCAGCTGACTGAGAAGAGCGATGTCTACAGTTTTGGCGTTGTTCTTTTTGAATTACTCTCTGGAAAGAAACCAGTTTCAGCGGAAGATTTTGGTCCTGAACTGAATATAGTTCACTGGGTAAACACCTCTTATCTTCTGTCCATTCAAAATTTTTTCCACCTTTGACCGTTTAAATACTACATGAACAACATCAAGATTCACAAACCACATATCCCCCTCCCTTTGCTTTTCTTGTCAACCAACAGGCAAGATCGTTGATCCGTAAAGGAGATGTGTGTGGGATCATAGATCCATGTATAGCAAGCAACGTGAAGATCGAGTCAATCTGGAGAGTAGCAGAGGTCGCAAACCAATGTGTTGAGCAGCGTGGGCATAGCAGGCCAAGAATGCAGGAAGTGATAGTGGCAATACAAGACGCAATCAGGATCGAGAGAGGAAACGAAAATGAGCTAAAGTCATCGAGTTCAAGCAGCTCAAAGGCACAATCATCTCGTAAAACCTTACTCACTAGCTTCCTCGAGATTGAGAGCCCTGACATCTCAAGAAGCAGCCTAGCTCCAGCTGCTAGGTGAGTCCTCTTGAAGCTCAAGCTCTCATGTTTATACACTTTGCACTTACCATCGTCATATAAATTAATACATTATAAATTTATTAAATGTGTGTATTTGTTGTATCTACACACTTCTCACAAGTGTAGATGTTGTAGTTGATGTAAAAAAGAGAAGAGTTATTACGTAGATAGCACAAAACCATAATTTAATTTTAGAAGGTAACAACAAGATTTGCATTCTATCTCCTATGCTGATGAAGAGGACAAAATTCCAAAAACTTCTTGCATGTCTTGTGTCAGGAGTAGCCAAATGTCAAAAGACTCGAAACAAAATGATACAAATGCACCATTCTTAACTTCACGATCAACCATTTGTCACAAAACTTCAAGAAATCTAAAATTAACTCTCAAAAAATTGTCTTTTATGCTTCTATTTAACTCTCAAAATGATACAAATGCACCATTTTTTATGTTACCATTTACATCCATAACATGGTGTCATTTCGACTAAACAAGTGAGAGTGAAAGAGTTCCCCATAAACATTTTACCACTAACTAAATCACACTACCACTTGGTTTCCTCCTCTATCAGGCTTTTACCATTTGAAATCACCATGTAAGCCTAGATTTTACCATCTTTGGTAAGTAAAATAAATCTATCAACATCAAAAGGTGCCAACTTCCATACTCACATCACATGAAACCAAATTTTAAGGAAGACGACAACACAATGACAATAAAATTAAATAAAATAAAGAAAAGAGAGAGAAGAAACAGAGAGAGTAGTTAATTCCGGTGGTTTTCTGCTCATCTACTTCTATCCACCTTCGTCTCTTCCGCCCCAAAATTCAATTCTCTCTTCCTCTCTCTATCCTTAAAAACCCTAACTTTCCTCATCTCATCTCCAAATTCTCAACCTTTCTTCTCTCATGGAGATCTGTACTTACTTCAAATCACAACCCACTTGGCTCCTCATTCTCTTCGTTCTCGGGTCAATCTCAATCTTCAAATTCATCTTCAGCCTCCTCAGATCTTTCTACATCTACTTCCTCCGACCCGCCAAAAACCTCCGCCGTTACGGATCATGGGCAATCATCACCGGACCAACCGATGGAATCGGTAAAGCTTTCGCTTTTCAATTAGCCCAGAAAGGTCTTAACCTTATACTCGTTGCTCGTAATCCAGACAAGCTTAAAGATGTCTCTGAATCCATCAGATCTAAGTATAGTCAAATTCAGATCTTGACTGTTGTGATGGATTTCTCTGGAGATATTGATGAAGGTGTGAAACGGATTAAGGAGACTATTGAGGGTTTAGATGTTGGGATTTTGATTAATAATGCTGGCATGTCTTATCCTTATGCTAAGTATTTTCATGAGGTTGATGAAGAGTTGCTTAATAACTTGATTAAGATCAATGTTGAAGGAACTACTAAAGTTACTCAGGCTGTGTTGCCTAATATGCTTCAGAGGAAGAGAGGTGCTATTATTAATATGGGTTCTGGTGCTGCTGCTCTTATTCCTTCGTATCCTTTCTACTCTGTTTATGCTGGTGCTAAAACGTAAGGAAACTTCTTGTGTTTTGTTGTTTGAGTTGTTACTTTGAGTGGTTTAAAGTAGTGAGTGACATTGTTTGTTTGTTTTGTTGGTTTAGGTACGTGGATCAGTTCACCAAGTGTCTACATGTTGAGTACAAGAAGAGTGGGATTGATGTTCAATGCCAGGTGAACTTTTCTGAATCATTTTTGTCTCCTTGTTACATGGCTTTGCTTAAGATTTTGTGTTGATTAGAAGTAGGATTAAGAAAGGAGTAAAACCAATCTTATCGTTGTAGGATACTAGTTTTTGGCTTATCAAAGTTAGTCTTTTGGCTCATTAGAAGTTTTGTCTGATAATCTAGAGAGGAAAATGTGTAAAACGTTGTTTCTTGAATACCTAAAAGATATGATTCTGTCATGTTTCCTGACTCTGTTTCTGTTTATTTAGTGGACTTGGAAGGTTGATGATTTTGTAAGTATTACGCTAATTGGTTTTTGCATATGAGGAATTGTGGAAGAATGTCAAAATTAGAAAACTAGGGAATCTGTGAAGTGGCCTTAGATTCTTAATTGTAAGGATGTAGAATCGTTATGCCAGAGATTGTATTTGACTGATCTGTGGTACTTTCCATGTATGCTATAAGCTGAGTGTAGAGTTGTATATTACCAAAACAACTTAATGGGTCACACTGCTCAATAACTTTTTTGAAATCTTTATTGTATTGGCTAATTGGGTGAGTGTTTTTATAGGTTCCCTTGTATGTTGCAACAAAGATGACAAAGATAAGAAGAGCATCCTTCTTAGTTGCATCACCAGAGGGTTACGCAAAGGCAGCACTGCGTTTTGTAGGCTATGAAGCACAATGCACACCGTACTGGCCTCACGCTCTCATGGGTGCAGTTGTCTCTGCATTGCCCGAAAGCGTTTTTGAATCATTTAACATTAAGAGGTGCCTCCAGATACGGAAGAAGGGTCTCCAAAAAGACTCCATGAAGAAAGAATGAAACTTTGAGCTTTAAGTTACTTCAAATTTTAATTTCGTCTTCTCCCATTGTTCCTTTCTTGAAAGCTTTATATATGTTCTCTATCTTTACTTTGTAAGACTTGTAAGCTTTAGTTTACGTTATTCCCAAGAATGTTTCTTTATTTTAAGATTATAAACCCTATCATACAAGACCGTGAGAGCATTCGAATATGTTTTGTTTGCGTCTCTTCGCTCTCCTATTGATGATGTATATCAATCCAAATGATAACATCAAAGGATGGTTTCAAACTTTAGAAAAATAAATGAAGCAAACTTTTCGCGTCTGACCAGAACAAGTCAGAAAGACAAACAAATCAAATTACAATAAGGATAGAAATTGAAAGATTCCTTCGTTTCAATGAGTTATTTGGACGAGTATATTTGCAGGTACATGGGCATCACCATCAAGATACGCTGCAAATCACACAAAATAGGCACCAAGGAAAGAGGAATGCCAGGTATATGTAGGAAAACGTGAGGGCCAAGTATACAGAACATCCAAATGAGAGAGATCGAAAGTGTACCAATGAGGAAGAACACAAGCACCATAATATGCGCGAATACAGCAAGAACGCCACAAAAGAATGCCACCGACATGGCAGAGTAGAGTAGAGAGAAAAAAAAAGAAAGTAATAGCAAGGTAACATTTAAGGATCTATGAACGAATGTTGGATCGCCTAACTGCGCCGAGATTAGAGTAGCTATCGTCAAGATAGAGCTTTTGCATTGCCAAGGTGTCAAATACAATAAAAAAAAAAGACCAGTTTAAGGTCATAAGCCAGAGTTGCCATTCCCAAGTTTGATTCTGAATGAGAGCTGTTAAAGCCACCGGGTATTGTAAAACCTGCAGCAAACGTCACTGTGGCTACAAGAGCTGCCACCACTAGAAGAGTGTTGATGTACTCTTTGTTTTTGTTTCCAGTTGATGCGTTTGTTATTTTGTCTTTAATATTGACCAAAAGGAACCTCTTGATGTCAATGCGTTGAAGTATAATAACACCATCAATGTCACCCTCTGTAATCAAGAGAACAGGCCTATAAATAGTCAAGAAGATGCATAAAATTCATAGTTAATTTGGGATTATGGTGGAAAATTAGAGATACCTCCTGGAATATGTAATTGGGTTGCAGTTTTGACTCGGCAATATCTAGAACTGTTAAACCATGCTTGCATTTTGAATAAAATAGAAGGAGAATAAGCGAATAAGGGCACCACTTTATGGTAGCTAGGTGCAAAGGTGTATTCCCATCCACATCTTGCTTAGTTGCTTCTCCATTAGGTGATCATTAGATCTCTCGATAAAAGCAAAATGAAAAGGTGAAATATTCTCAATCTTTGATGCAATGTGAAGAATGTTCTGACCTTTTTTGTTAAGCAGGTCTTTCCCTCTGTTCTTCAGACAGCATGCCCCTCTCGTCTTCAGAAAGTCTATTAGGAACAGAGTTAACAAACGCAACAAGAGCTATAACTACAGCATGAGCCGCAACGTGAATTGGAATCTGATGTTACAGGAAAATGGTAGAATGGATGACGTGGAGGAATGAAGGAAGATGATTGGTGGAGGCGAGAATGATGCGTTGGCAGAAGTTAATTGGTTGAAGGAAGAAGAGAGCAAGAGCACGATATAAAGAGAGCTTGAGAACAGTTGCAGAATTAATCAGAAAATTTGTAAAAGTTTGTTATCTTCTCCTTGAATCTCTTTCTTTTGTTAGGTTCTCATCTAGAGACCTAGAGATGATGATCGAAGCTGCGTTTCATGAACGTTGTTTTGGTTAACTTTGGAATTGAAGTGTTGATTGATCGATCGGTGAAGAAAGCTGTATCATCTGACCATAATTGGAATTTGGCTTCACGAAAAGAGATGGGTGTTCAGAGACTATGTTTGTCACTAGTTCAAGATGACCTTGAGCCGCAGCAAGATGAAGTATGGAATCTCCTTTCTCGCTCATGAGACATGCCATATTCGTACCACTGGTTTTGAACCGCTCTAAACGTTTAACATGACAGGAAAATGTGTAAAACCTTGTTTCTTAAATCCCTAGAAGACGTACGTGATGGTTGTTTCTTGAATCCCTAAAAGATATGATTCTGTTTATTTAGTGGACCGACAAGTTTGATGACTGATGAGTTTTGTTAGTTTTACACTTGCTGTTTTTTTGCATATGAACTATTGTATCACTATCACTTGTCTCTTTGCTGAATACTTGTATGATGTGTGATCTCGTTTCTGTGAAAGAATGTCAAAACTATAAAACTAAGAAATACCTGTCAACGTGACACACGCTTCACATAGGTTGTTTTGGGTTAAAGATTACCAATGTTACCGTTAAGTATGGCATCAGCAAACTATAGCGGAGGCATTATTGCGAAGACCCTCAAAGAGACGCAAACACACATTCAAATACAACATTGTTCTTAAATTAATAAATAAAAAGACATGACGATATAAATTATTCGTGTACGTTAGGGTTTTTAATCTTACAATAAGGAAACTTGGAAAACTAAAGCGTACAAAGATTCAGAACAGAAGCTTTCAAGAAACCAACAACTTCAGAATAAGAAATATTTGCAGTAACTTAAACAGGTCAAAGATTCATTCTTTTTTCATGGAGTCTCTTTGGAGACCCTTCTTCCGGACCTGGAGGCTCATCTTAATGTGAATTGATTCAAAAACGCTTTCGGGCAATGCAGAGACAACTGCAGCCATGAGAGCGTGAGTCCAGTACGGTGTGCATTGTGCTTCATAGCCTACAAAACGAAGCGCTGCCTTTGCGTAACCCTCTGGTGACGGGACTAAGAAGGATGCTCTTCTTATTTTTGTCATCTTTGTCGCAACATACATGGGAACCTATGAAAACACTCACCCAATTAGTCATATAATCAAACCATGTTCCAAGTAGACAAAAATGATTCAGAAAAGTTCACCTGGCATTGAACATCAATCCCACTCTTCTTGTACTCAGCATGTAGACACTTGGTGAACTGATCCACGTACCTAAAACAACAAAACAAACAAACAATGTCACTCACTACTTAAACCACTCAAAGCAACAGCTCAAACAACACAACACAAGAAGATCCACTTACATTTTAACACCAGCATAAACAGAGTAAAAAGGATACGAAGGAATAAGAGCAGCAGCACCAGAACCCATATTAATAATAGCACCTCTCTTCCTCTGAAGCATATTAGGCAACACAGCTTGAGTAACTTTAGTAGTTCCTTCAACATTGATCTTAATCAAGTTATTAAGCAACTCTTCATCAACCTCATGAAAATACTTAGCATAAGGATACGACAAGCCAGCATTATTAATCAAAATCCCAACATCTAAACCCTCAATAGTCTCCTTAATCCGTTTCACACCATCATCAATATCTCCAGAGAAATCCATCACAACAGTCAAGATCTGAGTTTGACTATACTTAGCTCTGATGGATTCAGAGACATCTTTAAGCTTGTCTGGATTACGAGCAACGAGTATAAGGTTAAGTCCTTTCTGGGCTAATTGAAAGGCGAAAGCTTTACCGATTCCGTCTGTTGGTCCGGTTATGATTGCCCATGAACCGTAACGACGGAGGTTTTTGGCTGGTCGGAGGAAGTAGATGTAGAAAGATCTGAGGAGAGTGAAGATGAATTTGAAGATTGAGATTGACCCGAGAACGAAGAGAATGAGGAGCCAAGTGGGTTGTGATTTGAAGTAAGTACAGATCTCCATGAGAGAAGAAAGGTTGAGACTTTGGGGATGAGATGAGGAAAGTTAGGGTTTTTAAGGATAGAGAGAGGAAGAGAGAATTGAATTTTGGGCGGGAGGTGGATAGAAGTATATATATAAGCAGAGAAAACCACCGGAATTAACTGCTCTCTCTGTTTCGTTCTTTATTTCATTTTTCTTTTATTTAATTTTGTTGTCTTTGTGTTGCGTCTTCCTTAAAATTTGGTTTCACATGGGTTATTTAGTTTAACAATAATATACACATATTTTGAATTTAGAATAAAATACATATTTAGATAAATTAAAATATTGAGTAATATTCCAAACTGAGATTTGACCAAAACCCATTTTTTGCAATTTCTATTATTTATTAAATAAAATTAAATACACATAAAAATAATTCTGTCATAATAAGCTTATCCCAGATTTCATGAAACAAATGTATCATAATCTAAAAAGCTAAGCCACGAAATTTAAGCCTTTAGATAAACTAATCATGAAGCTTCAATAGGAATCTGTCAATCAAAGTCTGTAACCACGGGGAACAATAAATCTGTCATCATATGTGTTACAACACCAATGGCCACATGGGTTTGGTTGTCTAAGCATCAGTGAAATACGTTATATACCTGTCAACGTGACATAACGTCAATTTTGTTTTGGGTTTAACGATTACCGAGATGTTACCGTTGAAAAAATGATGGGAGAGCGAAGACCCTCCAAGAGACGCAAAACACATGATGCTCTCAAATACAATATTGGAAATTCTGCCTTTGCGTAACCCTCTGGTGACGCAACTAAGAAGGATGCTCTTCTTATTTTTGTCATCTTTGTCACAACATACATGAGAACCTATGAAAACACTCACCCAATGCAACAAACTCATGTGGCCATTGGTGTTGCATAATTTTATTTGATAGAGACATCAATCCATTAATCTCCGTGACCCGCGCGTCTTTGATTAGTATCCGATTTGAATCCATCTAAGAAAAAAAATTATCATAGCTTTTGAGTCGGGTGAAAGATATCAAAACTTTTACTGGCGGATAAAGGTCAGGTATAAGTACCAGCCCCCCATACCCGCATCATTAGCCACTATGTGACTGGTTTGAGAAAAAGATTGATTTTAGGAGGAAAAAAAGTGTTGGGTCGAGCTAAGAGCAATATATGTGACCTATGTGAGATTTATGAACATCTAAGAAGAAGAAAATATTGATTTTAGGAGGTGAATGAAATGCATCAGAAATGTCAAGGAAATGAGTTTGGACGAAAGTCCTTTAATTTTGAGATTTCGGTTCTTGATATAACTTCTCAAAAGATGAAACATCCCTAATGTTAAGGCTATCTGGGATCTAAAAGTCTAGAGGGAAGAACGTGACATGAGTAATGATAGCGCTATACAACAAGATTCAAAAGAGATGCAACCCTTAAAACTAGGACCAACTCTTTACATAATAACAATTACTCTTGTTTTATAGATGCCTCTTAGATAGCTCACGATCAAGAAGCTAGAATTGGATGGTCATTGCATAATAGAAATGGACAGCAAATTATGAAGTGTTACGCATCACTTAAACCAACTCCAAGTCCCCTAGAAGCTGAAGCTATGCACTAGAATCTTGGTTCAAGAAATCATCAGACTAAACTATGAAGCAGTCACGAAATCAATGATGGTGGATCATTAGTGCAACCTAATTACAGTTAACAACTGAGTCTATAGTACTAATTATGCGATAAAAGAAATGAAATTAGTCCAAAAATTTAAACATAAAACTGTCCATAAAACAAAGGATTAATTTTACATTTGAATCCCAAAGATGATTAATAATAATATAATTATATATATAAGATTTTAGTCCCCAGACCTCATCTTGTTGAGTTGGTTCAAAGCTGGCTGCAATATATTGTACAGAACCCAAAGTAGTGCAGGTGTCACAACAATCAACAACAACTGTCCTCTGCTGTCTGAACCAGCTGCTGCCGCTTCTGCCGCCGCGTAAGCCTCTGGTGGTGGAGTCAAAAGCCCTGACGCTGCAAGACCACCACCAATACCTAGACCAACAACGATACCTTTACTCTCACGCATCTTGTTGACCTGGTTAATAGCTGGCTGGAGGATGTTGTATAGGACCCATGCAATGGCTGGGATGATGGGAAGGAGAAGAGCCAAGCCACGGTTGTCGCTACCGGCGTCTGCTGCGGCGAGCTGGGCGATCTGTTGGATGGCTAAGGCTGGCTCAGAGTAGCTAAGGGAAGAGAAGACGGCTCCGGCTAGAGCGGTGCTTGTGACGGCGAGAGAGACGTTAGGTTTTGGTGGGGTTGGTAGGGAGATGAATGGTTTGGGTTTGGTTTGGTTTTGGAGTTTAGGAGGAGATGGGTTTAGGGACATGCACTTGGTTGCTGTTGCCATAGTTGCTGCCATTGCCTGATGATCGGAGATGGCTTGAAGATGAGATGAGAGAGAGATTTGAGGAGTTTGTGAGATGGTTTTTGGGATTATAGAAGGAGAGAGGAGGACCAATGGAAATTGAAGGCTTCTTGATAGTTGTCTTATCCAATGAGAAGTGAGTTGGAGATTTTGGTGAGATTTGAGCCACTGATTATATTACCTTACTCTCTTTTTCTTATCACTTCGCTTCTCAAATTTTAATTTAATTTTATGTCATAATAAGGACAACAACTGACTTATATTTCAATAAATCCAAATAATATGTTTGCATCTGCAATGGAGTTTTTTTTTTTTTTTCCCAAATAGACTTAAGAAGTTAATAATGTCAAAAGAAAAAGAAATTTAAGAGGTTAATTCATTTTACAATTATGAAATTTGACTGTAGAAAAAATAATTGTAATTTGCAAGCAAAAAAGAAATCCTATAATTTTGGTTAAGGACTTAAGGTGCATTGTTATGAAATGGATTTGGATAAACTGCAATGTATAATGTAAAACAAAGCTGTTTTATTTCAATTAAAAAAAAACTCTAATTTTTCCTATATTTTCACTATCACCACCTCAATTTTATCTGATAGATTATATGATCCAAGAAAATCGTCATCGTAATCTCCTCCATTGGTAAGTGTTTCTAACAATTTGATCACACAACCTGTTAAGCCTTCATTTTATTTTTGTCATATGATTTCGATAAACTAAACATAAATATGTACTATTGTTTATTAATTAGATAACTACATGAGCTGAATCAAGTTGTCTGTATCATAAACAACTTTAAAAAAAAACAACTTTAAAAAAAAAACCAGCTTAGCTCAAATTGATTCCATATGTTAAAAATATGTTAATCAATATGAGGGAAGACCTTTTTTATTTTATTTTTTGGCAAAGTAGAGAGACCTTTTTTATTAAAAAAACAATATGTCTAGAAATCGAAATTTTAGAAAAAGTAAAAAATGGTGAGTACAGAAAATTTTGAAAGAAAGATATATATATGGGTTTCGGTTCAGAACTTCTGACTAATCCGGATTTCGGCCCAATCATAAAAAAGTTATGTATCTGTTTTTTTGGCAATTGGATATAAATAAATAAATAAAATTTTTGATAGATATGTTGTTGCTTTATAATACAAATGTGTGAAATGACTTTTATATTTGGGAAAATTCCCAAAAAAAACTCAAACTATTTAATATTTGCCAGAAAAAAACCTGAACTTTTTTCGATGCCGGAATAAAACCCCAACTAATTTACCACTGACAAAAAAAACACGAACTATTTTGTTTTTCCAATTTCCTCTCGTCTCCGTTACGGACGTTAACCACCTTACATTGTTAATGAAATAAAAGAAAAAGAGAAAAATGTTGATCTGTGTATTTTTCTGGCAACAAAAAAATAATTCAGGTATTTTGCTGGCAAAATTAAATAACTTAAGTTTTTTTAAGGAATTTTTCTAAAAATAGTAACGGCGTTAACGGCCGTAACGGAGACGAGAGGAAATTGGAAGAAAAAAATAGTTCGTGTTTTTTTTGTCAGCGATAAATTAGTTGGGATTTTTTTCCGGCATCGAAAAAAGTTCAGGTTTTTTTCTGGCAAATATTAAATAGTTGGGGTTTTTTTTGGGAATTTTTCCTTTTATATTTGGTTAATTTCAAACAATAAATGAAGTATGGATTTGGGCTTGTTTACAAGTGGACTTGTATCCTATTTTCATTTCCATGTGTGTTACTACGCAGACACCTAATCACACCCTTTGTGGAAAACGTATAGATATATATAAAGATTGAAACTTTACCCTCATCATCATCATCATCAATCGTTTCTTCATTTCCATAAAAACCCAAACGAAAACTTTCTTTATAGAAATTCACGGAGACGATGAAGAACAAATGATTAAAGTCCCTTCCTTTCCTTCTCTGTGAATTCATTCAATTACAAACCCATAAACATAAGTTCTCTTTTTTTATCTCTCTTTTGGTCCAACTTGTAAGTCTCAAAGTCTGGTTAATTTTTCCCATGTAATTTTGATGAAATTGTGTGGCTTTTGATCCTTATTCTGTTGATTTGTATATGTTGATGATGATCCTTGATCAACGATCACGATCATGATCTCCAGATATATATATGCAATTTTGTAATTGTGATCGCTTAATATTTTATTAACAATGATTTCTCCTTTGTTGTTGTTGTTGTTGATGGTTGTGATCTGGATTTGTTTAGTGTGTTTTTTTGGAATCAGTTAATGATCTCGTTGTTTGTATTATTACTGGACTATAAAGTTTTGATCTTTGATGATCTCTTTTGTGATCTTATTGGCTAAACATGAACAGCATTTTGTCTCGGTGTCTTCAATCATCATCACTTAGCATTCAAAGGTAGCTTCTTTTGTTACTATATGTACTGTATATGTCTGAAGATTTTGGTTGTTAGGAGCATTGGAGTGAACAATGCACTAGTTTAATGATGGTTTTGGTGATTTTTAGTGAGTTATATAAACATTTTGGGATCTGCAAAAGTTTGAGTAGTGGTCAATGGATACTACTACATCAAGTGGTAGTAGCCCTGCTACGTTACAACTCCATAGCATCATCCCGGAGAATCCGATCGCGGCAATGGAGTTGTCATTTCCTCCATTTCTGCGTCTTAAGCGCCACTGCCTTGGGAGTTCTGTTCCTGGAGAATTTTTCTTGGCTTCTTGTCCTTCCATTGTCCTTCATGTTCTCACAACTTGTGATTTGGGTCCTCGGGACCTTGCGAAACTCGAGGCAAGTGATGCTCTTCTTTCTTTCATGGTTTTGATTCTGTCTTTCCTGTGTGTTGATGCTATCTGGTTGATTTTGATTTGTTACTCTCAGGCAACCTGCTCCTTCTTCAGGAAGCCGGCAAACTTTTCTCCCGACTTTGACCTTTCTATCTCAGAAGTTGCAGCTCTCGACATTTGCCAAAAGAGGGCGATATTTAAATGTATGGGAGACGAAGAACGCCAAGAAATCAAAAGGAGATGCGGAGGCTCGTGGAAGCTGGTTTTAAAGTTCTTGCTAGGCTGGTGAATTTGGTTGCAGGCGAGAGAAATCACAAGCACTTGCAGGTCCTGGTCATAGCATTGCCGTGACATCAAAGGGCGTTGTCTACTCCTTCGGATTTAATGGTTCAGGACAACTCGGTCAGGGAACCACTCAAGACTCGTGGCAGCCTCGACCAGTCAGGTTACTCATTTCTCTGATGATTCAGTTTGGTCTAATACTCAGAAATGTTGAGTTCATTGGAGGTACATTGTGTTGCAGATCACTTAACGGAATCCGGATCATTCAGGCAGCTCTTGGCACTGATAGAACATTTTTAATCAGTGATGCTGGTGAAGTTTATGCCTTTGGAAAAGTTTGTTTTAGCGAAGCTAAGTTAGAGGTCCCAGAAACTAAGCTAATCACAACTCCCCAGCGGGTCAAGTCCTTGGCGGAAATCTTTGTGGTACAAGCCGCGATAGGAAATTACTTCACGGCGGTTTTGTCGAGAGAAGGCAGAGTCTATACATTATCATGGGGAAACGATGAAAGACTCGGTCACCAAACTGACCATAGCTGTTCGTTGCCTCAACCTCTGTTGGGCGCCTTGGAGAACATCCCAGTCGTGCAAATTGCTGCTGGCTTTTGCTATCTCCTTGCTTTAGCATTTCAACCCACCGGCATGTGAGTCCTTGTAACGTTTCCATTGTTCTTAACCCAGTTTATATGTGCTTACTATTGCCATTTTCTTGCTCTAATGTAGGTCGGTGTACTCAGTTGGATGCGGTTTGGGTGGGAAGCTTGGGCATGGTTTATCTGATTCTGATGCCAGTGAGAAATATCCTCGTTTGATTAAGAAGTTTGGTCTTTTAAACATTGAACCGGTTATGGTCTCAGCAGGGCCATGGCATGCTGCTGTAGTTGGGAAAGATGGGCGAGTCTGCACGTGGGGTTGGGGTCGGTTTGGTTGCTTGGGTCACGGAACCGAAGAGGCAGAAAATGCTCCTAAGGTTGTAGACGGATTGAAGGATGTTAAAGCCGTGCATGTCGCCACTGGAGTGTACACAACCTTTGTTGTGTCTGATGATGGTCAGGTTTACTCATTTGGCTCTGGCGGAGCCAATCTTGGGCAGGTAAGTCTGTGTTTCCTTGTTTTCTTGGTTTCAGACTTGAGACAATGGTCTTGATAATCGGGATTTAGCAGGATGATGTGGATGAAAATACTCTGACCCCGAAGCTGGTTTCATCGTTGAAGGAGACAAAAGAGCGTATGGTACATGTGAGTTTGACAAACTCGGGGAATGGGACTGGTCATACATTTGCAATGACCGAGTCTGGGACGCTCTATGCATTCGGGGCAGGGAACAGAGGGCAGCTCGGCGTGGAGCTGGGTGAAAACTTGACGGAAAGAGCGGAACCAGCGAAAGTTGCCGGTATTGATCTCTCTTAGAGATTTGGGAAAGAAAACAAAGAAAAACATCTTTTTAATTTAGGTTTTCATCACCATTGATCTTGAGACTAGTGTTTAAAGAAGTGGTTGTACATAGTAACAGGAAGGTAAAATGACATTTAAGATTGTTATGGTTTCTTTTATTAGATTGACAGCAATTGTTTCTTTGGATAATTTAGCATTTTACATGTTTAGCATTTAGCGTTTTTGTAAATTGCAGTTGGTAACAAGTTAGGACTCTAAGATAGATACTTGGGCCTGAAACTTTAGGGGTGTATTACAGGCCCACTTGAATTGACCCACAAAATTAAATCAATTTCTTCAAAACATTGATAAAGTCTATCTATGTCTAAGATCTATAAATTCGAAACCCTTGTATTCAATCATTTTAAAAAGCATTAAGTCAACTTTAATCAATTCAGTAATTCACAAAACACTAACATTAAATTTCATTTTTGTTCAGATAAATTAATTGGCTAACGAGGTAGACATGTTTCAAATGATTTTTTCAGCTAAAATTGATATTACCATTAATATCATATGTTGCCAATTATATATAGATTAGTTTCCACATGCATGACAATCACAATTATCTATAGAATTATAAAAACTCGTTGTAAAATTTAAAAAGTTTATTTGATGTTCTAAGATCATAATCATCATAATAATTAATGAGTACCTAATATACCATTATGAAGGTTAATCATTAGAGTGGGTAATTATAATTTGGTATTGATCTTATACTTTATCACATGGTCCAATCATTTGGGGGTTTGTCATTTACTATAGTAAAATGTTTAGGTAAATCAAATTTCCCCTTCTGCTTTTACGTTGTCGGTCTTTATATAGTAATACTATTGATAATAAGAAATCAATTTCTGCATTAGAAAGTTAGAACTGAACTCATATATACTAGAACTTGGAGAATATGAACCTTTCTTATTTATATCAACTCTCACTAAAACCTAAGTTTCATTCAATTGGACAATCTCGTGATGTGTAAAATTAGCAAGGGTCATGAAAATTATCCCCAAAGAAAGTTGTGGAGTGTAAAAAAGTTTATGGCTCGTTGGGACTCGGGACACATTAATTACAATTGTAATGATTATCAAGTAGATAATCACATGATAAGAACTAATTAAAATGTTGACTTTTTGATAATCGAACAAAGTGGGCAACAACAATATAACTAGTCATTAGACTCATTACTCATTAGACACTCACAAGAACACAAATAGCTTCTTTTATAAATGCTATAATATCATTTTGTCAACACTAATATTATACTACCAAAATACTACAATATATAGAGTGGGGAAAAACAAAGAATTCATGGTAAGAAATGTCAAAATAGCGATAGGAGATAAATGATTATATAAAAGCTATCATGATCAGCACATGGCTTCAGAAAAGGCCATGTGATTCCCTCTTTTATGGTCACCATTTTTTCAGGACTCTTATCTATATTTCTATATAATGTCCATACTATATACTTTAATGTTTGTGTTTTAATATATAGTTCGTTACTTCGACTAATGTATGAACAGCGTTAACATTCTATTATTCACCAACCGAATATTGGTCTAATCATTTGAATATCTCAATAATTAGAATGCATTTGGTTCGGTTTCGGGTACGTATAAGGACGTATACAAATCGTCGGCAATTGAAATTTCATGTGTTTACTTAAAAATTGATTATATATATATATCTAACTGAATTCAATCCATAGACTTCTCAAAATGGCTAATCTATTGCAGTATATTATAAGAACATTAAACGTCTATCTTAAGCTAGCGTACCAAGATATCGGTAGACTTTAGACTTTTAGGTCTTTGTGTATCTTCATAATAAATTATGGAACAACCGTAGAAATTTAGTTTATGGTTCTAAATCTTATATTAGTTTATAGGGAGACGTTTACTAATACTAGGAAACTATATGGACAAAATAAATAGACATATAAAATTTACTAATACTACATATATATAAATATTAAGTTTTTTTAGTAATAAACATGTGAAATATTCGTAATGGAGTATAAATAGGATCATGAGGGTTCTCTCTGTGTGCGTGCCGAACATTGAAAGCTTATCTAGCAAGTGTGTCGAAGGCTTTACGAGTAGTGAGAGTTGTGACAAGAGTTGCACAATTTCGTGTGTCAAAATTGGTCGAGTGTGAGCTTTAGGGATTGAGGTGAGACTAGAAACTATAGTATCAAGTTAATTGTAGTGTTTAGTGTTGCATAAAACCATTAGTTGGAACTTACTAATTATTTCGAGTGAAAAAGTGTTGTTTTGATTTGGTGTGTAGCAAGTCGTGTTAAACCATGTGTGTTTCTATTTTTCTTATATCAATACTACATGAAAAAGTTATACAAAATGGAATAAGCGAGAAAATTTTGGTGATCACTAGTATAGTAGTATGTCAACTTGATAAATATTATAAATTGAAAAGAATAACAGAATTATGTTTTGAAAACTTGAAATTTTAAAAATACCATTGATTTAGTTAAGAATCCGTAGAAAATAAATTTTATATATATTTTCAATTAATCATGCCTCATGCGAAACCGCAAAATGGATGAGTGGAAAACGATTTTACGAAAAAGGGATTGATGGAAAACTTATGGAAACACACAATTATTACATCTTTCCACAAGTTACCAAGCATATTCTAGGTAGATTAAAATGTAAATTTATATGGATTTTTAGTCCACTTTAAACTGATATCAATTTTCCAACCCTATGTCTCTCATTTGATAAATTGGAAAAGAATTTCTTCTGAGTTTTGATATCTAAAATCTCTCTGATATCATCTTTTCTCGTTCTTTAATTTTATGGCACGTTAATGTACCCAAAATAAAAAGTTTGATTAGTGAGTGGCCCGCAAAAAGTGGAATGATTCCACAATACTACAACTCTACAAGTTATTATTATCAATCCCTTACAAGTTATCCATCCATCTATTTTGTGATTATGTAAAACGATTTTTAATAATTGTACAAACACACCATTCCACTATCATTCCAAATATTTTGTTTTACTTTCTATGATGATGTGATTATGCAGACTAAACAGTTAATGGACTAAATCATTCTATTTTTGAAGCGGACAACAAACCGCCGCATACCAAGTTTATCTCCACGTAAAAGCGGTCCGTAGTTAGTCCGCCTACTATAGATTATGGTTTATGAATGGAAAACAAAAAGCGTTCCAACCCGCAAACGGATTTGTCCTTTCTAACGGTTGCAACCATTCGAACCTTAAGAGCAAATATTAGAAACTGCGGCTTTCTAGAAATTGGTGGCGCAAGACTAACCGGTGACCGGAGATCGGAGGGCTGACAGTGGAGGTAATGAACGGTCGGGATGAGAGACATGAATGCAGGGGTGAGGCCAGACCAGGCTCACATGGACGAACGTGCCCATTTTTATGATTTGGACCAAAAACCATAATCGGTTTCCGACTATTGGATCTGAAACCGGTTCTGATGTGTCTTACGAAGTTGTACTTTTGTCAGAAACTAATTAATATTTATGAATAGTGTTAATTTCGTGAGTCAATAATAATTGGTGGGGAAATGGGTGGGTCCATTAATCCATTGTCCTAAATCCTAATTAACTCCTAATCATTCAATGTATTGTCGATTTAGAAAGGGAAATTTCAGAAGACGTAATTCAAGATTTTTATATAGACCGACAAATGTAAACGATTGTGATTTTGTATTTTGAAAGCTATATAATGTTTTAATGTCATAAATTTTAACTCAATGATGGTTCGAAAATAAAAGAAACTGAAGATGGTCGACACGTGATCATTAGCTAAGTAAATATGTATTGCAGTCTTGCAGACACTATACACGTTACCAAGTATATGTCACTTCTTTTTTCCATCACGTAGCAAATTATTAAACTTGTATTGCAGACAATATACACGTACGAGTGAGGCATTGTATTTCAAGGTGGTTCGCGATGCCGATATGTTGTCCGTTAGCTTTCCGCCAGTTAGAGTGACTTAGTTACCTTCGTAGTGGAACTCACTATTTCTACTGTCTTTAGACCCTTTTATCTAGTTTATAAATTATAATACTAGATTTTTCTTTGTTTGTATATTTGTCTGGGTGCTGTGGTTCCGGTTCGATAGGAATACATCAACCCTCATGCTTATAATTTAATGAAACGGGGTTTTTATGTTAAAAAAAAATAGATAATTATTGTATTGTATTGTTTCATATAACATTTTCTCATTTAAGTATATTGCGAATATACTTTACTTTCTGTCATATATCGTGGTAGTTTAAACACTTGTGTGTTTATCAATGAATAATGATTCAATGTGTATCATGAAGTTAACTACTCTTATCGTTAAATTCATGAAATATTAAAGAAACAAAATTTTGAGATCATCTTGTATATGTTTAATGATGACGCATCTGTATCTTCAATCAATGCCTTGTCATTTTTTTGGTAACTTTGAGGAAGAACCCAATGTAAAATTTAATTGATTTGATTTATGGTACGTCAGGTTTTGCAAATAATCCAATTTATTAAGGATATAGATAAGGTATTTTTATGACATATCAATTCTGCAAATAATCCAATTTATGGGATGTAGACATAGTCCTTAGACATTTAGGACGATGAACCTTATAATGAATTAATTATATCTTACATATTTTTTTTAAGCTTTTTTTTTGTTAAAAATATTTTAAGAGTTGCATAGATTTTTAATGTATCCATTCTCTTCAACTGAATGACCTTTTTGTTTGCGGCACCCATTTCAACAATTATACATGTTTCTTTAAACATAAATTCTCTATCACGTCCCTTAATTTTAGCCAAAAAAATTCAGCAAATTCGGCATTATTATTTTATTACACTAGGCTCCTTATATTAAGAAACATCACCTTTGTTTATCAAAACTTTATTCTTCAAGTATTCATAATATATTATCCACTTGATATGTGCTTAAAATATTAGAAAAAATTGACCAAAAATTCGAACTTCGAAGTTGAAAGCTCAATTCTTTTTCAAGTCAATGTTCTTCTGCAATGTTGCTATATCAGTTTTATAATAGGTGAAATAATGCACCCCGGTGGATAATATATAAGCTATAATAAAAACTAAATTTTAGAAGCTCACCAAAACTCCCATAAATCTATATATAATGAATCAAGGTAAATTATTCAATACGTATGTATTTTAAAAACATTTTCGTCTTTTTGGTTAAAGAATCTGAAAAGAGTGGACCCTCCATAATTAAAAACAAAGAAATCAAGGGGATGGGATTTTCCTATAAAGAAGCCAAAGCCTTTCTCACCATTTTCTCTCATCACTAAACAAACAAACACATTCAAATCTCATAAACACATTAAAGTAAAATCCTCTTGAGAGACAAGAATGAGAATGACACTTGTTCACTTGTCTCTCTCCCTCTTCTCATGTCTCCTCCTTGTCCTTTCTCCGACCTTCATTGCCTCCACTCCCGTCTCCGACCCCGAACTCGTAGTTCAAGAAGTTAACGAGTGAGTCAAGATTAATTCTCATAAATCTTTTTTTTGTATCAAAAGTAGTAGTTTTGTACTATTGAAGAACATTCACATTTTAACATTGTTGTTACGTATATATATATTTGTAGGAAGATTAATGCGTCAAGGAGGAATCTAGGCGTGCTCTCATGTGGGACCGGAAATCCAATTGACGACTGTTGGAGATGCAACCCGAAATGGGAGAAAAACCGACAACAGCTAGCGGATTGCGCGATCGGGTTTGGAAAACACGCAATCGGTGGCCGTGATGGTAAAATCTACGTGGTGACTGATTCTAGTGACAAAGACGTGGTTAACCCTAAACCCGGAACCCTAAGACACGCAGTGATCCAAGACGAGCCGCTATGGATCATCTTCGCGCGTGACATGGTTATAAAGCTAAAAGAAGAGCTGATTATGAACTCTTTCAAGACCATTGACGGCCGTGGAGCGAGCGTTCACATTGCTGGCGGCGCGTGCATCACAGTCCAGTACGTGACCAACATCATCATCCACGGTCTCAACATCCACGACTGTAAAAGGAAGGGGAATGCTTACGTTAGAGACTCTCCGTCGCATTATGGGTGGAGGACGGCGTCTGATGGTGACGCCGTCTCGATTTTCGGTGGCTCCCACGTGTGGGTAGATCATTGCTCGTTGTCTAACTGTGATGACGGTCTTATCGACGCTATCCATGGATCAACGGCCATTACGATCTCTAATAACTATTTGACGCATCATAACAAAGTTATGCTTTTGGGACACAGTGATTCGTACACGAGAGACAAGAACATGCAAGTCACCATTGCCTTTAATCACTTTGGAGAAGGTCTTGTTCAAAGAATGCCAAGGTAAATTAAAAAGAGAGTTTAATTTACTAAAAAGGTCCCTGTATTTTTATATTATTTTACTAAGACGCTTTAAGTTTTGGGAAATTGGCAGATGTAGACATGGATATTTTCATGTGGTGAATAATGATTATACACATTGGCAAATGTATGCAATTGGTGGAAGTGCAGCTCCAACGATTAACAGTCAAGGAAATAGGTTTCTAGCTCCAAACGACCATGTCTTTAAAGAGGTAATTAAGAAGCTAATTTTCTATTTTTAGTCATAGAGAATATTCAATTTAATCTGACTAAAACAACTGTGATTTATGAAAAAATAGGTGACTAAATACGAAGACGCACCACAAAGCAAATGGAAGAAATGGAACTGGAGATCAGAAGGTGACTTGTTCCTAAACGGTGCGTTTTTTACGCCTTCGGGTGGAGGAGCTTCTTCAAGCTATGCAAAGGCTTCGAGTTTGTCGGCTAGACCGTCCTCATTAGTGGCTTCGGTCACGTCCAATGCTGGTTCACTCTTTTGTAAAAAAGGATCTCGATGTTAATCCGATGCATCTTTCAAAATTATATATATAATCGAATCTAATTAATTAAAAAGATAAAGAAGAGGATGCATGTTGTCCCTGGTATGTCAATTTTTCGTTACCCTTTAGTTTTTATTATGGGGAGGGTTAAAGTTGTAAGATGGATTTGATGTGTATACTAAAGTAATGTGTGGATTCCCTTTGGACCAATGGGTTTCTTTTAAACTTTTTGGAGTAGGGACCAATGTGTATGTTGTGGTGGGGATATGTATGTAGTATGTACAATTGCTAAGCGATTATTGTTGATTTCTTATATTGTAATAAATTAAATCAACATCTTAATTATCAACATCCGTGTGTTAACTGTTTTTTAGATGTATAATTGCCGTTTATAGCAATTGAATATAATATTGTAATGTCCCTTCATTACACACTCACCGGATAATGCCAAACCGAACCAATAGCGTATGGTCTAGTGCTTTAGTTCAAGACCGGATGGTTCGAGTTTCACCATCGCTTGTGGTTTATCTTTTGGTTATTATAGACGCCTTAAATGGTAAGAAGCATTTTAGATAATGTTTAACCAAACCAAGAATGTATAGACTATAGTCTAGTGGTTTAATTTGTTTGAATGGATTAAAGACTGTCTTGTTGATCATAGTCTTGAAGACCCGTCTTGTTGTCAAGGTCGGGTTCGAGTTTCACCATCGCAAAAACCGTTTTTGTTAGGAACTATAGAGGCCTCGGCTTTCTAGATTAGTCTAGATTTCGGTTAAGACGATTATTGTTTTGTTAAGAAATCTACTCCAATCATCATTAAAAACAAAAACAAAATCTAACCGAGCACCAAATCAATCAAAGGATATTGTATATACTGGAGTTGAAATGTGAAATTATATTGTGGCATAGTAGTAGAGAATATCTTCTCATGGTTACATTGGTTGCAGTGTGTAACATGGGCATATCTAATTTTTGGGATGACATTTAATTTGTCTGCAAGATCTGTAATAAGTGTTGGTTTCGTGAGTCTGACAAAACTAGAACAGAATCTCCACTAATTGGACCAGATCTGGATCTTGCTCTTTGCTCTCTTCCCTTCCCGAGACGTGGCGTTGGACAATTATTGCAATAAATGATAAGGAACCAAAATCCAAATGAGGAGCTGCAGTTTTTCAAAGTGACTCAGAATGTACATCAAATGTTTCTATAATCCTATTAATCATGTGACCAATGCATTAAGTACTTAATTTTGAGTGCAATCTTATAATTGTATCTTTGTAGAAGTAGACTAATTAATGTATGATTTTCTTAGCAACTTTGTCGGTGGAGAACTATTTACTCTTTCTGTTTTTGTTAATTTGTTGATTTTGGGCTAATTTTGGAAGTTTTGGTACCTTGTGGATAGTTTAGGTTTTTTGCAATTAGGAATGGGACACAACCTTCACGTTCATCGTAACGTGTTCTAAGAAGAGTCATGTTTCACTTTAAGTAAATCTCAATCAATATCACCGTGAACTAATAAATGATGGCACACTTGCAGTTTTTCAGTACCAACAAAAAAAAAAAACTACCTAAACCAAGTGTGTAGTTAAGTATATGCTTAATCTAACACAATATTACGATAGATAATCTACTATACATAAGAAAATATAACACAATAATAAGTAAAAATGATAATTAAGCGAATTTTACAGAATAACAGACTGTCTGTCAGATAAAAATAAAATCTATATACTGAAAATGAGCCGGAAGATGTGGAAAAGCAAAACTAAGATACAAAACAAGATGTTTACACATGTGTTATAAATCTTAGAGTACTACATTACTACGGTTTGAAGATTCCGGTTTCAAAAAAGATGTCAAACATAGTAACTTTCAAAATCGGTGTTTTGAAGATAAAAAATGCTAGTGATAGAGAACTAATTTCCTTTTTAGGAATAACTAACTATTATCAGATTTGGTTATGATTCAAACGACGAGCTTTAATAGTAGAACAAGTGTGTAGTTAAGCATTACTCTAACACAATATTACAATAGATAATCTTCTATACACAATAATGAGTAAAAATGATAATTAAGCAAATTTTACGGAATAACAGACTGTCAGATAAAAATAAAATCTATATACTGAAAATGAGCTGGAAGATGTGGAAAACCAAACATAAGATACAAAAAAACAAGATGTTAGACATGTGATATAAATCTTAGAGTACTACATTACTGCAATATGAAGAATCCGATTTAACCATAACTTTCAAAATCGGTGTTTTTGAAGATGAAAAATGCAAACGATAGAGAACTAATTTCCTTTTTTGGAATCACTAACTATGATTTGGCTATGATTCAAACGATGTGCTTTAGTCGTGGACTCTTACATTCAACGCCGTTTCAAAATATTTGAAGATCATTTATCAGAAAGTAGTTTTTTCAGTCGAGCAGACTCACCTTTGAGATTAGTCTGATAGCTTAAGTCAGATGTGGTTAAACATGCTAGTTTTAGATCCCTAGTAAGATGTTGACCCCGTGACCCGGATCACTCAATGTTATAAAAGAAAATAAAAAGTTACACTAATATGCAACATTGTCAACATCCAAACATGATCAGAATTGGTTTTAACAAAACAAACAAAGAAGCTTAATGAAGCATTCATGACAACTGTCGGCAGTAGACAAAAGGTACAGAACGTTATTTGACTTTCACGCATGTAAAAGTTTTAACCCGACCCACCAAAATCTTTTACTATCAAAACATTACAAAACCAATGATTCCTCAGCTCCATTAAAGTTCAACTTCAACCTCTAACAGTCCTATTTTCTTACTCATAAATGTTTGAACACGAGGGACCGATAGAAAATAAGTCCCTGAATCAATACACTCAAGTCATCGAATGTCGAAAGAAAATCGCAAGCTTAATAAATTCAAAAATCAGTACACCTAACCACAGTGAAAGTCATCTGTGGAATGTTGTTACATAAATAAGGTTGCAAAAACAAGCCAAACATGATGGTGAGTGTTTGGAGAAAGACATCACTCAACAGTATTCTGATGGGGAGACGACATCATCGATCTTGAGTATCATCTTAACCACTTGTGTTGCAAGTAAGATCTGTTGATGCTTCCCGATCAGTGTTTCAAACACGTTTTGCTCCCTCATATCGTTTATCCCTACATCGTTGCAATCGATCCCGTAGAACGGAATGTTCTCCTGAAACAACAAACCCAATACTTAACCCATCTTTCACAGTAACAAGCCAAAATATAAAGTAAACAAATACAAAACTCATCAATCACTTACCTTAATTTGCTGAGATTTTACAGCTGAGAGTGTCTCGATGAGCTGCAATCCACTGTTCACAGCAAGAGCCGTATGGACAGAGTCCAAGGCTTCTGCAAACGCCCTGATTGCATACTGCATATAGGAACCACTATGTCTCAGACACTTGCGCTTGTGCATATGCCAAAAAGAAGAAGAGAGAGTTGAGATATGGCTTACCTGTTCAACACCAGGGTACCTATCAGCAGTTACATCAACAACTAGAGAGCAGGCAATCTCAGCGGCACCACCACCATGACCATATACAATTGAATTGTTGCGGATGTGATTCCGTGCCACACACAAAGCATCATGCATGTTGCGTTGGTTTCTTCTATCATCAGTAGATGGTTTGCCTCATCATCAAAACCCCATTGACAAATAACCAGTGTAGCACCAACATCCTGCAATGTAAAGCATAATAAACATATGTTGTGAGGTAAGTTAACCAGCTAGCTTTGGTTCTGAAGGCAAACATTCTTTGGTAGAATTACATACAATCTTCAGTAGCTTAACAATCAATAGATCATGAAATAAGAAAATATAGCAACACTGTGACTCCCAAACTTAAAACCTACCTTGCACTTTTGAACCATCTCATCAAAATATTCCTGTTCTTGCTTGCGCAAAGTCTCAAACTTCTCCACTGTATCGATGTCCACCTTATGCTTTGTCTTCGGTTTCGGTGGCTCAAAAGGGCAAGTCAAAATAGCAATGTGAGCATCTGAAATTTGCTTTGGCATTTGCGGATGGCTCATGTCTTTGTCGATCAAAATCCCATATATAAGCTCAGTGTCCTCAAGCTTACCCCCAACTTTTCCTTCTACCTTTATCAAATCCAAATTAACATCCTTCCTCTCTAAATTAGCAACAGCAAGAACCACCTTCACAGCAATCTCAGCTAAACTGCGCTTGCATCGATTCACACTACAACACAAAGCCAAACAGTTAAAAAAAATTATAACAAAGCAATCTACTAAATATTGAAGTAGATATGCAATACTTACATCTTCGAGGATAGAGTAGTCATGCAAGTTTGAACCAGTGACTCCTAATTATCAACATCAAACTCAAACTTCTAAGAGATACGTTCCAAATGCTCAACACCAACTCTAGACGCCATTTCATATCCTTCGGCAATACGTATAGGATGAATCCCTCTATCCAACTAACGCTCAGCTAGCTCCAGAAGCGCACCAGCCATAACAACAACACCAGTTGAGCCATCACCAATCTCATAATCCTGACTCCTTGACAGTTCAACCATCAATTTAGCAATCTGATAGTCCACATCCATTTGCTCCAAGATCATCGCACCATCGTTTGCTGATGAAAACAAGATTGTCAAAGATTATATACAATAGAGAACAGCTAACTCTCACATGTTTAAAGTTTGTTCCTTTAAGTGAAAGATTCGGTCTTTATATGAAATAAAGAATCTTAGCAACATTCCCACTTAACAAGAGCAGATTCAAAACACGGGTTTGCAGTAGAAACTAAAACCAAACAGAACTAATAGAAAAGTCTTCAAATTTAACTCAAAATTTACCTAACAGAGAGATGAGATTCAAAAGGAAGAAACTAACATATGGTAACGTCTCTGTCAGGTCCTTGAAGCATTTTTTCCATGCCTTTGGGACCAATAGAGGAACGGATGATAAAAGGGAGAGAGCTCGAAGAAGAAGAGTGTTGAAGATTTGAGATTCAAAACGGTCGGGACCTGGTACTGTGTAAAACCCTGAATCGCTAGAAATGGCAGATTCGTAAATCAAAAGAGCTAATACTAATATGGACTACGTGGGCCTTTGCCTTATGGCCCAATATGACTATTCTTGTTTTTCTCTCGTAAAGCCCAAACCTCATTCTCACTATAGATCAATATAGTGACAAAAGTTAGATTCTTTTAGTAAAATCGAGAACAAAACTATGCATGCGTCTCCTTTTATTGTTTCTAATTTCATAAATTATTTGATAGTATTACCATAAAACAAAAATTTGTTTGTTCATAATTTATTCTTAACTTTTTTAGTTGAATTCTCAAATAAGATATAGAAAATTTCACTTTTTTTTTTATTAGCTAGAGAATGTAGTTCATGTAAATAAATGAAGGGATATGACAAAAACAAATGACAGCCCAAAAACAAGGAAGTAGGTAACAATAACATTCCTTAAAACAAGGATTTGCTCTGGTCCCTCTTTGGTCCTACCCTCTTACTCAATACCTAAGCTGCATGGAATCGGAAGCGGGTACGTGGAAGCGGAAGCGTTTGGAAGCGGAGAAGCGAGTTTTTAAAAAAAATTAGGAAGCGGGTACGTGTTGGAAGCGTAAATATATACATATTATATATATATATATAGATTTATTGAATATTTAATTTACTTTACACTAACCATTGGATATGTATCATAATTCAGAAAATTTTAAACCAAACGAAATACATAACATGTAGAATAATAAATATAGTCATCAAAAGTAAGAAAATGCATTGTTAACAATAAAATATTTTGGATGTCTTAATAAAGAATAAAAACGCACATAAAAACGGGCCATTTAAACAAAATTGGGCTTAAAAGAATAAAAAAAATTAAAGCCCAAATATGGCTTGTGGTAGTCAGATCCTTTCAATAAATTTGTCGGAGACGACTTGAGAAGAAGAGTCGCCGATTAGATCTAAAACTGAAACCACCGAAGACAACTTGAAAAGAGGATTCAAATGAATCATGAGCATTCGATATTTTTTTTCATGAGCTTAGGAGAATTTATATGATTTGGAAGAGACCAGAAATCACATTCACACACCAGTAAAAAACTAGGTGGGGGAGAAGAAGAAGGCTGCGCTTCCGTTGATAAAAAACCACGCTTCCAGGTCCGAATCGAACGCTTCCCAGAAGCTTCCAATCTTCAATTTTCTGGAACCGCGCTTCCATCACGATTCCGGTCGCTTCCGGTCGCTTCCGCACCCGTTTCCGGTTCCGAAGCGAGAATCGGAGGTTGGACGGCGCTTCCATGCTTCCTAGCTCAATACCTATAAATATGACATGCATATGTTATGTACATATATGGATATATATTACCATGTCAATGTTGCACTTAGGCATGGGCGTTCGGATTTTGGATCGGATTCGGATCGGATATATTCGGATTCGGATAATTCGGGTATGAGAGTTTATTATCCGTTCGGATTTTATGACTTTTCGTTTCGGTTTCGGTTCGGATATATTCGGATTCGGATAATTTGGATAGGAGAATTTATTATCCGTTCGGATTTTATAAGTCTTCGGTTCGGATAGATGTCGGATTCGGATCGGTTTTTGGGGAAAAAAAACTGAAAAATTCGTTTAATCTTACTAAAAATTCGTTTAATCTTACTAAAATTTGGTTAAAGTTTGCAAAAATATGTATAATTTTAACAAATATAACTAAAAAATTTCCGAAATCTAGGTTATTTATGAAATTTTTGTTATTTGCTATAAAATTACTACTAAATCTAACTAATATTTTTAGATATATAATTTTATTTTCGGTTTTCGGATATCTTTTCGGTTTTCGGTTCGAATCGGGTTCGGTTCGGGTAATTCGGATAGGAGAATTCATTATCCGTTCGGGTTTTATGACTATTCGGTTCGGGTTCGATTCCGGATTTTTCGGATCGGTTTCGGATCGGTTTTCGGATTTCGGGTTTTATGCCCAGCCCTAGTTGCACTCCTCCAAATATAACCAGTCCTTATGGAGACTATAGTATGAATTCAATCAATTTATTGTATTGGATTGAATATCTCCCGATGTTTAATCTTATATGCATGCAAAAATCTTAGTCAATTGTTTGATGAAACAAATGTAGCGTATCTAGTCCAAGTCTTTAATTAGGAGCAATAGATATAGCATTTTGTACAGATTTTATTTTTCTATGTATCGTAGCAAATAGCAATCGATTTTAGCTTCTTCTTTTTTTGTATGCTAAAATGGATGGTTAATTAGAAGTTTTTTTTTTTTTTTTTGACATCTTTGCATCGACAAGGTCCGATCCATAGTCAATCCCTACTACGCAGGGTAACGCGATTTAGTGGAGTCGAACTGCTGATGGGAAAGGCGGAGTCAAGTGGACTTAATCACTTGATTAAATGCACATCCACGGATGGTTAATTAGAGGCTATAAATGTGAATTTAGATAATAAATGAATGATTTGGAGAATATATATACTATGTAAGGAGTTATATATAGGACAATGTTCAAAAAAAAGGAGTAATGTATAGGAGATTGTAGAAATCTTACTAATGCCATGTTTGTTAGATAGTAATCATTGTATATATGGTTTTCGTATTTATCTTATGGATCGGAAATGATGTTAATATAATATATATTAAAATGTTTTCGTATTTCAGATAGTATATGAATGACATCTCAGTGTAGATATATACAAAGGTTAATATATAAAATTATATTGTTAAATGATACTTTATTAAATTTCTTTCGGACACGTAAACAGATTTATTTGTGAGTAAGCAAAACTTTCCAGACTTTAGATTTATAATCTCTTCGGCTGGAGAAGAGAATAAGAACTTTTGTTTTATTTTTTTCACAAATAATAGGAGATTGTACAAATCTTATAAAAATCTATGAAACAAAAAGGCTAGATTAGGCTACTACGGAAATGATATTTATTCATTGTTTTTACGTGAAAAGGAATGTTGTCTTACAACACTATACATTTATGGAACATAAACAATACATATTCTATACAAAGAAATTACTTAGAAAATATATAGGCTTATTAGATAGTTTACACTTTGCATTGATATGGAGAGACACGACAAATCGGCCCATAAACTTTTGCGGTTAAATTGGGGAACACGACATTACGAGCTATTGCACCCAAATACAAATTCTATATATGATACATGGATAATGGTACCCAACTAATCGAAAATTGTGTTCTAGTCATAAAATCTAATTATTATATTTAGAACAATGTTAAACAGTAAACAAGAAAAATTGTTTTCGTAAATAGTATTAAAGAGAGACAAGATTTGGTTATTTAAAAGGCAAAAGAAACTAGAGAAACATGAGGAAAATAATCAGACTGTTGAACTTGAACCAAAGAGCAAAGAGATCACCCTAACATTGATCAACTATAGCTTAAATGGAAATCAAGTTTATTGCGAATTGATTTGTCGATATTTTTAGTGAGACATGCATGCTATCGAGGCAAGTGGATGATTATGTTTGCATTTTTTCTGTTCTTTTGTAAGCTTAACACTAACACCAAACATAATGCATATTGTTGGAATAAAACAATTCTTTTTAGTTACAAAACATACCATTTTAATGAAAATAAAAACAAAAACTACGCATTTTAAGATTTTACAAAATTCACTACTAGAATTTTAACTACATTTGAGACATTTTAACTTAACAAAAAACCTTAAGACAAACACTTCATAATTTATCAACATATAAAAATGAATGAGACTTTGTTATGTAACTTGTCTTCTTCTCGTGATATTTAACAAAAACATCTACAAATATTGTTTGAACTGGTCACCAATACTCTGCATTTTCCATCAGTCCATTGCAATGAAATCCTCTCAAAAGGACAAAATGGTAAATTTCTCTAATGAGTGAGTACGCCATTAAATTAAAGAACCTTGACTTGTTTTGTTGGTAACAAAATTGGGAAATAATAATAACAATCTCTGCAGAATAAAAACAAAACCAAAAAATTCCACTTTTGCTCTCTCCCTCCCCTGGCACCAAATAAAGAGGTAGAGAGAGACGAAATAGTACGATCACTGAAGAATATCAAACGTCCATAGTCATTACCGGTCACCGGAAATACCAGTTCCTAACTCATCACCTCTCTCCCTTTAAACAACCATGTCAGTAACCGGACCATTCAGTCACCCAAGAAACCTTAACCCAACAGCTCCGGAGTTCTTTCCGGCAACAAACCAAAACCCCTTCTTTATTCCGACAAGATTCTACCTCCCTCCTCCTCCTCCTCCGCCGCCGTACCTTTCTTTTTTCCCTCTCCCTCCTCCTCCTCCTCATCTTCCACCGACTTCAATAACACCAACCAGAGCCGTGATGTTATTACCAGTCCCCAGTGACGTCACCGAGACATCTCTAAGACGAGACATGGAACTGTTCGGTGAAGTCCGTGGAGTCCAAATGGAAAGAGTAGATGAAGGAATCGTGACCGTCCATTTCTACAATCTAAGAAACTCACAAAGAGCTTTGAACGAGATACGTTACCGTCACATGCAAGAACAAGAACAACATCTCCACTTCACGACGGCGCGTGGACTTATCTCCGGCCATTCTCTGTGGGCCCATTTCGTGTTTCCTCAACTCAATGCTGTTCCCGAAGGAAACAATCAAGGCTCACTTGTGATTATGAACTTAGAACCCACCGTCTCTTCCACAACTCTCCGTCACATTTTCCAAGTTTATGGTAAAAGTTTCAACTTTTAACAAATAAAGTTCCAAACTTTATGTTAACTAGTTTTATAAAAATCATTATAGGAGAAGTGAAGCAAGTGAGAGAGACACCGTATAAGAGAGAACAGAGATTCGTTGAGTTCTTTGACGTTAGAGACGCTGCAAAAGCTCTTCGTGTAATGAACGGAAAAGTTATCTCCGGTAAACCAATGGTTATCCAGTTTAGTCGTCCCGGTGGTTTAACCAAGAAACTCTTCCTCGCTTCACGCTTTCATAAAAACTTCATCTTTAACAACAACCACCACTATCTTCCGCCACCACCACCACCGCCGATGGTGTTGAATAATCACAAGAAGAAGAAGAAGCTTAAGAAGTTTATAAAGAAGAATCGGTTTGGTGCTCACTTCATGATAAACGAAAACGCTATCGCCGGCGGCGGCGAGTTCAGAGACGGAAGAACCACCGTGATGATCAAGAACATCCCAAACAAGTACACGTAAGTAAAAAGCATGCATCTTTTTTCATTAAAACTTAGTGATTGTGATAGGCATGTGCTTCTTGATGGTTTTTGATTCTCTTATTAGTCCAATAATGTCCTAAAACGAGGTTTCTGTTTTTTTTTGGGTTTGACAAAAAGTCAACAAGACCCAACGGATATTAGTAATGAGAAAGTTATTTGTATTCATATGTTACTATTTTTGTATATATTCTGGTCCCATGAAGATTAACAAATATCGACTAGTCAATTTTATAGTATTGTTTCTATTTACAGACAGAAGCTGCTTTTGAATATGTTGGACACACATTGTAACGATTGTAACCTAAAGGTAATCAAAGAAGGGAACAAAACTCCTATGTCTTCTTATGACTTTGTCTATCTCCCGATTGATTTCAGGTAATAATGTCACTAATCCATTTTCTATGTGATTAAGAGTAGATTAATGATTAATGGGCTAATTAAATTTGGTGTTTTGTTAGCAACAAATGCAATGTGGGATATGGGTTTGTGAATATGACATCACCAGAAGCAGTGTGGAGACTTTACAAGACTTTTCATAATCAACATTGGGGAGATTTCAACACTAGAAAGATCTGTGAAGTCACTTATGCTCGAATCCAGGTAAAGAAAATCAAGAAGGATCTTCTTTAATCTCTTGGTTTAACTAACATTGAAATAATAAAAAGCTGTTTTTTCTTTAAGGGTCTTGAGTCGTTAAAGGAACATTTCAAGAACGCTAGGTTACCAGGAGTAGAGATGGAGGAGTACATGCCGGTCGTTTTCTCGCCGCCGCGAGATGGACGGTTGTTACCGAAGCCTGTAGCCATTGTTGACCCTTGGGATAAACCGGTGGATGATAAAGACAGCTGTTGTGGTAACTCACGAGAAGGGTTTGTTGTGTCCGACAAAAAGATGGAAGGAAGTGATGGTTGTAGTTGTTGTCTTGGTGAGAGAATCGAAAACGGCGGCGTTTGAGATGACGTAAGGAGGAGAAACAGTAAATGAAAATTAATGATGGTTTCGGCTTTTAGGCGGCGATCTATATATATATATAGCTGTATCCATCATGTCTTATCATCTTCTGTATTATCATCTTCTTCTTCTTCCTCTCTCTATCTTTTTTTTTTATGGGTTTTGTTTGGTTATGTAAACGTTTGTTCAACTTTTGTATTGAAGTGTTTTGGCAACTTTTTTATTAGAAAACAAAAATTTATGTTGTACAAATGCTATCTAGGAACCTTTTGTCATCAAAATTAAGGTTGTACTAGAAAAGTTTTGGGTGGTGTGTTTGTTTTTTTTGTTCTTTCTATTTCTCTATTACTACTATATTAATATTTCATGATCTTTATATGTGGCTATATATAATATTTGAGCATATTACATGATAAATTACAATGATCTTTTAAATTTACTATATTTTAGAAAATTAGCATACCAATATATAAGATTATATATAGCCACAAAAGACGATTTATATATAGTTGTTCGACAGTTCGGATTATTAGTGACCACTACAGAAAAATAATTATAGTATTAAAATAATCATTTTATTATCAAGTAAAAAGAAGAAATTTAGTAGACATTAGTAGATTAATCAATGACGTTCTTCATAAAATATGATATAGATTAAGATTTAGAACAATGGTTGATGTTTTAAAATTTCTAGCATTGTTTGGACTACAGAGGAGAACCGGGATCTCCAGAAGGTCCCTTCATATTATGAATTGGATCGGGACCTCTGGGAACTTTTTTCTTAACTTGAACCAAAAGAAGATGAGGTTGGGCATTGTTCTGTTTTAGATCGGTTCCGGTTGGGACTTCGTCTCTCTCAACTCCAAACCGAGAAAAATCTTCACGAGCCATTGATGATGTCAATAGGAAAAATATTAGGGTCATTGTCTTCAACACTTTCATTTTCTCTTCTTTAGTTTTTATTTCTCACTTACTTCTTTTTAGCTTTTTGATTTTCTTTATATAGTTGTATTAGTCAAAGGAAGTTGATTTTCATTTTTCAAATGTTCAAAAGATTTATTTGACCTAAAAGGCTAATATTTTTTTTAATTTTGAATGATAATGTTTTGGTCCACAATTCTAAATATTCTTTTCATTCATATTTATTTCAATGATCTTTACATTGAAATTATCTCTATAATATGCTCAAATTTACCTTTTGAACTATTCTCTTAAATTAAAAGATCATTGTAATTCTTAGAGATCGAATTCCACAAAGTTTACACAATATATTATCAAGCTAAACGAGAAAAGTTAACGGCTATTAATTTGCGGGCTTGAATCCACTAACAATTCAAAGATGATGTATTTTTAGATCAGATATATTTAAATGAAGTACTTTTCTTCCAACCAAAAAAGGTTGGAGTATTAACATTAAAAAATAGATGGAATATTTTTCACGTATATTTTCCTTCAAAATTTTATGTTGTTTACTGATTTTGTAACGGCCGTTAAATTGAAGGTTTGAATCTACCAACAATTCAAAGACGATGTATTTTTAGAACAAATTTAACTAAATAAGGTATTTTCTTCCAACAAAAAAAATTAAAGAATTAAACGTCCAAATAAAAAAATAAACGAGGTATTTTCAGATTTTGTTTCCCTTTTTTCTGTTGACAAAATTAGTCAGTGTTTCGGTTTAAATTTTCTTGGGAATGATAAATTTTAGACAAACATAATGATTTTTTTTTGAATAGTCACTTGTTTTGTATTTGCATAATCAATTAATCATATATTTAATGGTGTTAAATTTTAACCACACCAATATAATCATTAATTTTTGTAAACATATTGTATATACTATTTAAAACATGTGAGATTTAAAGTTTAATGTCATTAAATGATTGTGTAAAATCAGTTAAATCACGGGTTTTGAATCCACCAATAATTCAAAAATAAAATATTTTCAAACCAAACATATTTATATGAGGTAATTTTATTTCAACTAAAAAAATTCAACTATTAAATGGCCAAATAAAAAATAAATAGAATTTGTTTCGGGATTTTTTCTCTTTTTCACAACACTTCTTGTTAGTCGCTTGTTCACAAACTCTTAGACTGCAAAGACAAAAGTATTTTAGAGTCATATGACTTCGGCTCAATACAGTCACATTGGCAAAACAGGAGAATATAATTGAAATGGTTGTTTAGAAAATGTTAAGATATACCAATATATAAGATTAATAATAGCCACAAAAGACGATTTAATAAATGTTCCACAATTCGGATAATTATCAACCACACCAGCAAAAATTACATTATATTAATCATCATTTTTTATTAAGTAAAAGAAGGAGAAAATTAATAGACATTAGTAGAACAATGGTTGATGTTTTAAAAAATTTCAGTTCCTAGCATAGTTTGGAATATTGGGCTGAGGAGGAGAAATTTCATGTAATGGATTGGGACCGGACGGAACTGTTCTCATAATTCGAAACAAAGGAAGATGAGGTTGCGCCTTGTTCTCTTTTAGATCGGTTCCGGCTGGGACTATGTCTCTCTCGACTCCAAACAGAGAAAAATCTTTACGAGCCATTGATGACATCGACAAGAAAAAGATTAGAGTTATTAGTAACATCAAATCTCTCTTCAACATTTTCATTTTCTCTTCTTTATTTTTTATTTCTTGCTTACTTCTTTTTAGCTTTTTGATTTTCTTTATATAGTGCATTTCCTTAGTCAAAAAGGAAGGTAATCTATCATTTTTAAATGAATAATACATATAATTTTTTGTGACATAACAGGCTGGTATATTTTTCTAAGTTCTAATGATAATGTTTTGGTCCACAAAAATATTCCTTTTATTTTTTCATTTGTATCCATATTTATCAATTTAACATTATCTTTCTCTTTCTTTAGAAAACTTTATATGATCTTTCTTTATTTTTTATTCCTTAATATTTGGAACAATCTCATCATATCACATACTAACCGGATTAGTCTTTTTTTTTTTTTTTTTTTTTTTTTGGGCAAAACTAACCGGATTAGTCTAATCCCCTAGAAAGGCAAAATAAAAGCCCAGTAATAGCCTCCTTTTGAGTAGAGGAAACGAATGAGAAATCATCCGAGAGAGAGTGTTTTTTTTTTTACACAGCGGTCATTTTCATTTTTCAATGTGTTTTTTTTTTCCCTCTTTTCGAATTTTTTTACCCAATTAAAGAAGAGGGAAAAACCTCTCAGATTCCCCAAATCTTCCTCGTAAAATTACTTCATTGCCCTCAGATTCCTTCTTCTCCTTCGATTTTAGTTCTTCAGCTTCTCTATTGTTTCCTCAAATTTCGAATCTTTCACTGTAATTTTCCGTTCTAATGGCTATTAAGGGTGAGAAACCATCGAAGCGCACCACTAATCCTGGTGTTAGAGTCGTCGGAGGAAGAATCTACGATTCCAGTAATGGCAAAACCTGTCACCAGGTGATTCAGCAATAATGACTCTACGATTCTCAAATTTTGTGTGTTTTGCGTTGGTTTTATGCTAAAGACTTGATTTTTTTTTGTTGGCTAAAAACTTAAGTTTGTTTGTGGCTTTAGACTTGAGTTTGTTTGTGGCTAAAGACTTGATTTTGTTTGTGGTTAAAGACTTGATTTTGTTTGTGGCTTTAGAATTGATTCTGTTTGTGGCTAAAGACTTGATTTTGTTTGTGGATTTAGACTTGAGTTTGTTTGTGGCTTTAGTGTGAGTTTGTTTGTGGCTTTAGACTTGACTTTGGTTTGAATGTGATATGAAAGTTTCGATTTTTGAACAAATGTTGTTGATTGTTTGCTTCCAGTGTCGACAGAAGACGATGGACTTCGTTGCGTCTTGCAAGGCAATGAAGAAGGACAAGCAATGTACCATTAACTTTTGTCATAAGTGTTTAATAAACAGGTTTGCTTTGTGTATTTCTTGTTTTTGTTTGTTTCATTAAGTTTTCCTGAGTCTATGCGTTCTTATTATGTGTTTCTTGATTTGAATCATAGGTATGGTGAGAATGCAGAAGAAGTAGCAAAGTTGGATGACTGGGTATGTCCTCAGTGTAGAGGCATCTGCAATTGCAGTTTTTGCAGGTAATTTACATGTCTTTGAGATTGAGCTTTGTCAAAGAAAGAGATTTTTTTTAGTGTTTGTGAGGATTTTACAGGAAGAAACGGGGGCTAAATCCCACTGGGATATTGGCACACAAAGCTAAAGCCAGTGGATTAGCTTCAGTCTCTATGCTTCTTGAAGTTGAGGGGCATGATAACTTTGCTTATCAGAAGAAGCCAAAACTGGTACTGAAAACAATTACACAAATCTTGGTTTTTGTGATCTTAGTTTTATTATGCTTACTTGATCAGTATGGTTTCTGCAGAATGATGATTCTATGGAAGGTAGTAGTGGGAATAGTGATTCTGTTTCTGGGATAGATGCTGAAGTAGCTGGTGAGAATTTAAGAGTTGTGTTATGAATGTTGTCTTATATAAAGGAGAGGGCTAACAAGTTTTTTGGTTATGGAACAGATGTTGCCAAGGAAAAGAAAAAAGTGGTGGGCAAGAGCAAGAAAGCCAAAGCCACTCACAAGCTGAAAGAGGAGATTCAGTTTGAGGCTCAACTGCCACAGGGTCTTAGCTTGAATTCTGTTTCAGGCATTGTTATACCAACTGAAGAAGCTGGAAATGTATTCCAGCTTTTTGAGTTTTGCTCAGCCTTTGGAAAGGTATGGTAATTGTTCTCTATAGCTCTATAATTAACTAATGATATGTAATATTAACTCTTAATCTGATTCATTGTGAATTTCCTAATAGGCTCTTGATTTGAAGGAAGGACAAGCTGAAACTGTTGTTCGTGAGCTCTTCTCATGTGGGCGTAACACAAGGAGACAACAGTACTGCTCTATTATCCAGCTGATGATCCAATTGTTGGATTTAATATCACAGGATAGAGAAATGTATGAGTGATTTTATTCTGTCCCTGAAGTATACATACTATATGTTTCTTTTATTGCTTCTGTTTATGACGCATTTGAATTGTTTACAGGTCCTTGTCTCTAAGTGTATCTGACAGCAGTTGGTTCACTGCTCTTGGAGAGATCTTATTGCAGTCAGAAGTTTTGAGTGATGTGTTCCCACCTGAAACTTTTAAAGCAGGTGTTGCTGAGTATGAGAAGATGGATGCATCAAGAAGGCTCAAGCTTCTCAACTTCGTTTGTGATGAATCACTTAGCACCTGGTATGTGTATATTTTTATGCCAATATCAACTTTTCTTGTAGTTTATGCTTCGTTATGAGTCAACTTATGTGTTAAAGCTTTCCAGGGCAATGAGGAATTGCATTAAGAGCCAGAAGTCTGAGTGTAAAGCAAATGACAAAGTAGCTAAACAAAAAGCTGCAGCCGCAAAGGAAAAGGTGTTTTCTAAAACTTGTAAGATGGATTTATATATTAACTCTTTGTGCTAAAGCTCATTTTGTCTTTATAGGAGAAGCAGCTCAAACAGAAGTTGGAAGGTGATGTTGCCAAAGCCATTATGAAGAAAAACGGAGCTCCATTGTCCATTGAGGAACACAACGCAATTCTGTCTCAAATAAGAGCTGAAGCTAAAGAAGGTCATGATGAATTGATGGAGGCAAAGGGCATGGCAGCTGGAAGTAATTCTAAATCCTTAAAGACTCTTCTATTAATTGACTAACAAATGTTGTCTTATATTTTTGTTTGTTTAACCTGATGAAATCCGTTTGAAGCGATGCGTATATGTGATGCGCGTAGAACTGAACCAATCATGGTGGAAGATAATGGTCTTGTTCTCTGGAAATTGAACTGCTATGAAGAAGAACCAAATTTTTTGCTTCAAGGTTTGAAATTTACTAAATTCTTTGTCTATGTTTCTCTTATGCATGTGTTTACTGTTTAGTAACTTCATCTGAATCTTATTCACAGATCTAGGAACATTTGATGGTTTATGTCCACATGAAAAATGGTTAGCTTTTAAGCCTGAGCAGAAACCAGACATAGAGAACTATATCTCTTACAAGAGGTAAGTTCCATTCACATAAAGAACATTCCGATTATGTAATGTTATAATTAAACAAAGTTTTGCTTCTGTATTGTAGGAGAAAAGTGATGCAAACACAGAAGAACACAATTGTGGAAGTATAAGAATCAGAATTCAGCACCAAGTCCCAACAAAAAGCTGAACAACCTTGAAGGTTTTTGTATGAGAAATTGAGAAGACCATTATGAAACTCATTTCTTATTCTCTTTTGGTTTTTGTCTTCTCTGGTTAAATCCGGTTTAATCATATTGCATAGATCGATTGTAAACTGGTCAAGTTTTTTGGTCTAATGAAAACCGAGTATGATATGCTTGTTTGATGTTTCACATTCTAATACTAGTTCTTACTAAGCTCAATCTTGGCTGTTCCGATGGATCAGAAATATGAAATCTGCTTGACTTGTGCATGAACACGAAATCAATGGTACATAGTTACAGTACCAGCTAGAGGAAAACAAAAGCAGAGCAAGATGCTGAAACTTCTCCACTAGTATTTCATTAGTTAAGAAGAACAACAAAAGCAGAGCAAGATGCTGAAACTTCTCTACTAGTATTTCATTAGTTAAGAAGAACAACAAAGACAATTATTCATCATCATCCCACATTCAAAAGCATATATGGTAATGTCACTTTATGCAAACTCAATTTTGGTCCATAACAGTAAGACAAAATGTGCAGGAGAAGTGAAAACTGATATGATAAGAAACCCAAAAGCATGACTGAAGAAGAAGATCAGGCGAGAGGATCCTCTTCTCTAGCTTTCCGTAGCAGCTCTGCTCTAACCCGCCTTACCTCCGCTTCCTTCTCCATTCTTTCTTGCTGCAAATAGTTACAGTTTTGTTGTCAGATTACCACTTTAATCCAAGAAGAACATATCAATCCCTAATCAAAATCTCTATTTGTGTTTTCACAGCAAAAACAATCACAAATTGAATTAAACAAATCAAACAAAAGTTAGGCTTAGCTTAGCTTCTAATCATCACATCTTAACATGATGTCAAACGAAAACCCCTCCGCCAAATAAAACTGTTTATCTCCATTATCCTACACATTTCATAATCTAACCATGGTAAAGCTTCTCAAATAACTACTAATGATGGTTTCATATACCTATTCACAATCTCTATTTGTGCTTTCACATCTAACTTAAAGCAAGCAATCAAAGCACAAGTTAAGCTTAAGCTTTGAATCATCTTATCTTCACAATGTGACTGTCAAAGTTTTGTAACCAGATAGGCCAAAGAAATGATCTATCTCCATAAACCAACATTGCATAATCTAGCATTGAGTCAAAGGACTGATCTAATAACGGTAAAGCTTCAAGCTTAGCTAAGTGAAGAACAAAACCAAGACTTTCGTGGCCTTCTATCATCAAATCAACACAAAAATGTCCTTCAAATCGAATCAAATGGGAAATGAACAAAAAGACCCATTTCTTAAATTCGAGTTACATGATCAACCCTGAGGATAAATTATACAAATTCTCGATAACCTAGGGTTTGACCTCAATCCCAAATCCAGTGTCAAATTAACTCGAAATCGAAGAAATTCATACAATTGAAACCAAAACCATGACCAAAAAAAGTGTCAGATTTGAGTATTGAGCACTAGGAGGGAGAGAGAGAGAGAATAAAAAACCTTCTCGTCTTGATGAAGAGCGATCCAGACATGAACTTTGTCCATGGATTGCCAAAAGGCGAAAGCAGCCAATGTCATGCCAAAGTAGGTCAAAACCTTCACCATTGTTGTTGTTGTATTCGTCGGCTAAATCTTCTTCTTCTTCTCGTAGTCTCGTTTCTCCCAACAGAGAGGAGTCGCAGATCGCGCGATGGAGGATGTGTTGGTGTTACGAGGAAAGATCTAGTGTGGAAAGATACACCTAATTTATTGTGTTACAACCGTTGATTGTATTTGTCTCGTGTCAAATGCCACGTGTCGCATAGGCCATTTAGATTTATTCCTTGTTCAAAAAATCGCTAGAAGTTATTCGGACGTTCGGAGTGGACCTAATGCCAAACGAAAAAATCCGAGATTAAACGTAGATTAATAAGGAACTAGTTTTATGATCTTCTTAACATAATTTATGCAAAATTTACTAATATGTTGGTATGTTCAACTTAGGTTGAAGAAACTCTACTCAAAATTTACTAGTTTTTTATTAATAATATTTTAACCATTATGTGCTGTCAAAAAAAAACCCATTATGTTGTGGATTTAGTACCTAAATTACAATTTTTGGTTTATTAGTGTGTGGTTATTACCAAGATATTTTTTAATTATTATTACAAAATCTATCATTTTTTCTAGACCACAAGAAACCTTGGGGTAGAAAGGTTAATAAATTAATACCATCATTTTCAATATCGAATTGTAAAAATTGCTACGAAGAATATCCTTTCAAGAAAGATCAAATGTCAGGTGTTTGAAACAGATTGTTCGGAATTAGTCTCGATGATACAGTCACCTAAAGAATTTAGATTAAATTAACCTTAACTGACATGAATTAAAAAATCGCTAGAAGTTATTAGGCCATTTAGATTTTCCCTTGTTCAAAAAATCGCTAGAAGTTATTCGGACGTTCGGGATGGACCTAACACCTAGCAAAAAAATCCGAGATTAAACGTAAATTAATAAGGAACTAATTTTATGGTCTTCTTATCAATGTAGATTAAACTTATATATAATATTTATGCAAAATTTACTAATATGTTGGTATGTTCAATGTAGATTGAAGAGATTGAAGAGACTCTACTCAAAATTTACTAGTTTTTTATTAAAAATATTTTAACCCTGTCAAAAAAAAGAAGTCATTATGTTGTGTATTTAATACCTAAATTACAATTTATGGTTTATTAGTGTGTGGTTATTACCAAAATATTCTTTAATTATTATTACAACATCTATCCTTTTTTCTAGACCACAAGAAACCTTAGGGTAGAAAGGTTAATAATTAATACCTACATTTTCAATAATCGAATTGTAAAAATTGCTATGATTTTGAGAGGCAAAACTTTAGCTATCTTGTTGCACAGGTTTACTAACTCGTTCTCCATCGATTCCAAATATTTGAATCATCTCGTGTAAAATTTAAATGGCTATATATAAGTCGATCCGATCTTTATCAACCTAATAACCTCAAAAAAAAAAAAAATTCCATGCAAGATGTGAAAATAACCACCTAATAATTATTATTACATTGGTTTAACAACATTCTTAATCTCTCTAAATTTTGTTTCAATTTATCAGAGGATGTTGAAAACTTGAAATTAAACCTGGATTATCCGAAAACCAACAACATAATTAAAAGAAAAACATATTATTACGGAGGTAATATTAGAGTAACGAAGCTGTGAGTTACTGATACGCAACAAACCTCTTCATTGGCCACTTACATTTCTCGCACGTGACAACTCTCCTCGTCAACGCTTCTTCAAACGGAACAACCACCGTGTGACTCAATTCACACGGCTTCTCCGCCGCAATCTCAATCGCCTCCGTAAAACCCAACCCCCTCGCATACTCTCCCCACCGCACAATCTTCCTCATCCTCTCCGTCATCTCCTCTCCATCAACAGTCTCCGCCGTTGATCCTTTTCCAATAACACCCCAACCTTTGTGTTTACCGTAATCGAAGTCGAGAAATTTCGTAACTTCTTCAAAAACACGATCAGGTTTCGATGACTCAATTCGCTTGAGTTTTGATCTTTCGATACTTTCTAATCGGAGCCAGAAGAGTTGTTGCAATGTAGGACTGAACAAGATTGAGCTCTCTTCCATGGCTTTTGTACGCTCGTCTCTTCTCCTTTGATTACTAAGGTAAATCAGCTCTAATTGGAACCCTAGATTTTGAATTTTTCTTGCTAGTGACACAAATTCATCAACCCAATCCAAATTCTCGCTTCCGAATATGCAGATTTCTCTTCCTTCTTTAACCTAATTCATAGAGTCTCATCAGAATCTGAGCAAAAGAATTTGAAAATTTGATGAAAAACTTTACCCAGGTTTCAAATGAAGGATGAATTCCATCAAGCAAGAGCTGCATAGACCATCCATGTTCTTCCCAAAGCTCATTTTCTCTGGGAACTGAGAATGGATATGCTTTAACACCCCATATCAACACCATATCCATGGCATTCATGTTCACGAACCTCCCGTTAGAATCGATCACCACCACCATTGCTTCGTCATCTCCATAATGCCATTCTTGTTTGAAAAAGTTGAGTATTGTGGAGCTCATCAACCATGGTTGTCTTACTGAGATCCATGGTAGGGAATTGGAGTAGAAATCGAAGATTTCTTTCTCTTCGTCTGTCCATTTTTGGGATGATGGTATTGGAACCCATAGGATTTCGTAGTTTTGTTCTGTGTTGGTGTTGGATGGATGATCGTATAATTGTTGAAGCAGGAAGAAGAGTGGCTCTACGGGTGGCTTTGATAATAGCAGCAGTATTACCTTTTCTTGTAGCTCAGTTATAGATATCTGCCATTTGGTGATAAAGAATATTCAATGCTCTTGCAAAGGTTAAACCATTTTAGAAGGAACAACTGCTCACAGAATGTATTCACTTATGAAAGGTAAATGAATCAGTCTATGTATCGTCATACTGAATGTCGTAACTCATCTTTATATAAAGCTAAAGACGAGACAGGAAAGAAACAAAAAGAAGGAACATGGAAAAAGAAAAATAGATAGTTCTTTATACCTGTCTGGAGTATTGTTGAAGTGGCAAATCATCTTGTAGAGAAAAAAGTAGGTGGAGTACGTCTTGGTTGTCTTTATGAGTCCCTATGTTAATGTTTCTAAGCCTTTGATTGATTTCTTCCTCTTTAGACATAACAACAGAGGAGCAACAATGCAACATAAGAGATGAGTTTTGCTTTTAAGAGAAGCTATGCTTTTGGAACTTAACATCAGAGCACTTGAAAGTTACCTATTTGTTTGCTGCAGTCATCTACCTGCTTGTTGAGGCGGGTGTGTAGGTTTAGCAACTGATATCCCAAACTAGAAAGTTCCCCTGCTGCTCTCCTTGATTCGATTGAAAGTTCACCTGCTGTTTTCCTTGATTTCGTTGCCTAAGCATTTCGGAGAATTTCTAGTCAATGTTGACTGCTAATATGCTGGAAACTATTTCCGTGTTCTGTTTTGTAGTTAAAATTAAAGAATGGTGGAAAAATGCACCTGTTGGGTTTGCTTGAAATAAGGGATATGCTGCAGGCATGCAAGTGAACTTTTGACAACCCGATAAGTAGCCATATAGATGCTAGACATGGTTTCTCCCACAATGTTGTTGTCTAGCTTCGCTTGTTTAATTGGAAGTCTTTCAAATCTAATGATGCATTTGGTTACAACCACCATGGCTTTCACGAGCAAGCTTAGAGACTCTAACCATGGTCTGAACTTGGTTCTCTCGATAGGCAGCTGGTTGAGTGTTGCAATTGATGCTGCAACGGGATCACTCAAGGCTAGATGAACTGGTAGCAATATTCCTCCATATGTTGCAGCAAGGACTCCTAGTACTAACACAGCTTTTGCATCCCATCTGTATTCTTTCAGAAGATCAAACAAAACCATTGTTCTTGTCCGGATATCACTTTCCCCAATGCATGGACAAAGCATCTGCAACCTCAAGAGTTTCAAGCTTTCCGGGTCCGTGCATTTTTACAGGAAGAACTGGTTAAATAAGAAAGGATGATCAGTTACCTGAACAGAGATTCTGGAGATAGCGTATGGTAGTGTTTCCGTCGATTCAGAAACTACAATGTTGGTAATACAGTTCTCTGTCATAAGCGGCATTGATACCTGAAAATTGCATTTATATTGGCAAGCATCTAGAGAAGTTATTGAAGAATTAAACCCCAAGAGATGGAGAGCTCACATCATTTTGCAGAACAAAGCTTAAGATAGTTTCGACTTCTTGAAGCAGCATTTCAGAATCAAGCCAGCGACCGTCAGGATCATGGCTACGAAGTAGCTGCTCAACTATGATGTCTTCATTCAGAGCAGAGATGTCGCTTCGGAAATTCATGGTAATGGTTATTGTGCTAAAAACACTGTACGTTGAATTTGTACTTACTAAACACAAAAGAGGGTTTGTCTCTTTGGTTTGCGTGATAAAATTATTAGTAGGGTCCCTGAAACTGAAGATTGTTGAGCAATCTGACTGGAATCTTATTCCAAGACTTGAAACATGACTTTTATCTTTTTCAGATTTGAAAATCTTCATATCTTATCACTGTGGTAATACTTTTCGTGATCAAGGGCAAACACTAGATTTACTCTGGTTAATCAAATGAATGAATGGACCGCTTAACCTAACCGTAACTGTAAACATGAAAAGAAAGAGTCGCATAATATAAACTTGTGGCAGAGTAAGAATAGCAAACTCGGCTTGGGATCTTGTTCATTACTGGGGGAAGAAGACCAAGAAAAGTATATCACATATTCTTCTTACAGTAAAAAGTAATAATAGTTTCATGAAAACCTATAATAGCCTTTGTCCTCTTGCCATCTTTTGTTGACAGTTACATCATTTATGAATCTTTAGCGACAGAGAATAGATACGATCCATAAGATGTCAATTATGGCAGTGAAAACAGGACCATCTGGGCTCCTTTGTTGAAGACTTGATGTTTCAGACAAGAAAGGTATATAGCTGTATGTTGTTTGATACATGTGTACATTTTTTTTGAGCAAATACATGTGTACATATGTCATGGGACCATTCAAGATTAAAATTCTTTAAAATAAAAATCTGTTACAGCAAAGGATCCTTTATTTACGAGAGTGTCTGCTGTGGTTTTTCCATGTGCAATGAGAATATGCAAAATTGACAACAGATTAGCTACAATACCTTTGAGAGGAGCCGTGATTGATCGAAAATCATTCAACGGTATTCCGCTCAAAGAGTCAAAAGTAAAAACAGATGCTAGGACAGTAATGTCATGAGATCTAAGTTGGGATGATGTTTAAGACTCAAAGCTGTGCTGTGAATGATCTCAGGGTCACCTTTGGGTTCCTTTAGCTCTTGAGAGGGTTATCTTAATAAAGCTTGATACGTACCGAGATTGAGCTCCGGCAAATGGGGCAAATATCGAGGTCCTCCCCACATTCTGAGCAAGTCTGATGAACAAAATAAAAAAACAAAGGAAAGTTAACAATTTTGATTCAAGTGCGATGCTTAGGTAACTCGGAGAATGGAAATGCACCTGATGACCACAGTTGAAAGCCAAGTTCTTTGGACTCACTAGACATACGGGGCAAAACTGTTGCTGTTGATCCAACGAAAATATGTGAAGAGCAGGAAAAGACGATTAATGCATTGTTGTTTCTTCTTTGTAAATTATACCTGGCCCTCGTTACGAGTAGTTGAAGGTGGTGTAGAGGAAACACCACTATCATATGGTCTGTTTTGAAAGCTGGTTGATCGGGAAGTTCTTGGGCTGTTGCGCATAGATTGAGTAGCATAAGTTGGTGGTGGAAGCGCAATCCTGTTTGGACAATGTCCAGTTCTTTGTCTGCGAATTCAAAACAAGGAAAGAAATTGGTGGTTATTGAGATCAGTTCATAAATGCTGCAGTGATGAACTCAAATATCTGATAACTTACCCAAGTAAGCCTAGCTCGAGGGTGGCTTTATACTGAGACGGGATCTCCATCAAGGCGGAAAGCGCGAATTCTGCCTCTTTTCTTGCTGGATCAATGTTCTTTGACATTATATCCGTGAAATTCACAAACTGAAAGGATTAGACAACAAAAACCTGTTAAATTAATACACTTGCCAGGACAAAGACAAGGGATCTACACGATTGCAGAAGCATGTTGGTATTATTACCTGGAAATTGTCAAAGGCACGAGCGGGGATGTTGTCATCAAATTGTCTCATTGTGTCCCAGGGGCCATCTCCAACACCAACAAGAACTATAGACAAAGGATATTCACTGCAATGGAATCCGCCACAAGTTAGAAAGACGCAGTTTGAAATTGGATTTTCGTCAAAGGAAATAGTATTTATTACCTTGCTCTAACAATGGCATCAATAGTCTGCTGCTCTTGTGGACTAAATCCGCCGTTATCTGTATCAACACTTCTTGTCACCTGTCATAGTAAAAGCTCCAATGGTAAATATACAGTATACAATGTCTGGGAATGATCATAACTAAACACACATAGATACAAGAAATCTTTTCTCCAGTCGAATACGGTTCCAATTTTTACCTGTCCGTCAGCGATGATGAGAAGAACATGGTACTGGCCACCACTTTCTTCCACAATTGTCATGGCCCTTTCAATGATGGGTGCAAAAGATGTCGGACCTGTTAAAGAACCAGCAAAATATAAGGAAAAAGTAGAGCAAGATTCAGAAGACAGAAAGAAGAAAAGGGATTATTCATCTCACTCAACCTGAAAGACGGAGCTGAGGAACAATCTCTCTGTAACACATGAGAACTTCTTCAAACCCGTTACAAAATGTATCATTGGGATTGAAACTGAAGACATCCTGATCATGGGTTGTAGCTACATAGTCAAAGAGAAACCAACCTTAAAATCTCTAATCACAACAAAACAGAAACTTAACAGCTATATAAAAAACAATTGGGCTCTTTACCATCTCCGAATCCATAACAGGGGATCAAATTATCCTCATCAAAAACTGACAAAGTCTTTCCAATGATGGAAATAGCTTGCTGGTAAGGGTTTGGAGTTGTTCCAATGTAATGCAGACTCTTCCTACCAAATGATCTCGCCCCTAAACCAAATCACCCATGTCAGCTTTCAGATCAAAGCAGCATTAACTTAACCTAGACTCAAAACATTGAGTAGATAGAGAAAAGTTCTCTAACCTGTCCACTCATTGCTCTTTGTGACATCTATACCAACAATGAGATTCGAGGACTCCAAACCGGCATGCGAAAGAGCAGCGGTAACCTAAAAGAAAAGAAACATCAACAAAAAACCAATAGAGAAATTCACAAACCAAGGCTCAAAACTACAAAAACAACAACCTAAGAAGATAAACAAAACAAGTGTGATCATCAAACCTCATCGATGGAACGGTAGTTATCAGCAATCCGTGAATACTTCCTCTCAAGATTCTTCGGTGTTTGTCTCCCAGAATTGTAGGAGGAAACAGGAGACGCAGATGGATGGTTTGGTGTCTGATAATAGCTGCTCTGGTCCCAAGCAGACGAATAAGACGAGCTCCCAGACACACTACGTTCATACCTTCGACTACTTTCACCTCTATTCGACTCTTTTGAGCTACCTCCTCCCATCCAAGACAACCAAACCCAAAACAAGATAAACAAAACAATCGCCTGCAAAACTTCAAGCATATATCAAAAATTCAGATTAACCCAACAACAAAGTTCCCTTCTTTACCAAAATCAAACAACACAGTAACACGCAGATATATATGAGAGAGGTTATTGACTCTGAAACAGATCCAAAGTTTGGATTTTTTCATCAAAGTCTTCACCTTTTACATTGTTTAAACATGTTTGACTATGTAAATTTCACATTCATTACCTAATAAACTAATATATAATCAGAGACGGTCGCTTTCAAGAGGACTATAGCTTCGCCGTGAAATACAAGGAAATTCTGAGAGTTTTTCCGGCGAGAAATGATAAATTAAGAGAAGACCCAATTCGGAAAATTACAGGAAACAAGGGATTTACGAGTTGACTGATTCAAAGTAATTGATAGACGTTACCTGTAATCGAATCTGCACAAGGATTTCTTGTGAAGTTGATTTTTAGTAGATAGATTTTATTCACCCATTGTGACAATTATATACGTATCTATTTCAGAAAAAGAAAAAATAATCTAAAGGAAGTATTTTTTGAAATGAAAATTTTAGTTTGATTATATTTGAGATCATATACCATAATAAAATTTTTGATATCTATGCATATTTTAATAGTTAATTTCTTAATTACTATTTTCTAAATCTCACCGCACAGATATTTATGAAGATTTTATATTTTAAAAATTCAGATATTTTGTGAAGATATTAAAAAAAAAGAAGTCAAATATACAGTATAAAAAAAATTCTTACATTTTGATTTTTCTCAATAATTTATTTGTAGTTATTATGTTCTTGCAAAAAAAAAACTAAATTATCACATTTTCCTCTTTTTTTTGTTACAGTTTTATTATCCCCTACATATCAACAATATGCTAGATAGACTTCAATGTATTACTATAAGTTATATATTAATTACCAACAAATAAATGTTGAACAATTCATTAACTCGTATATTGCTGTAAAAAAAAAAATGTTGAACAACAACTCCACAACTAAATAACCCAACCCAAACTATGAATTCTAAAGAATTTTAGACATGAAAGTTGATAAAAAGTTATATCGATATTTATTTTGTAGCTAAAACATATAAAATCAATAGAGTGTGTTAACTAGACATATTTTATTTTATTTTTTGTTAAAAAACTAGACATATTTTAAAGTTTAAACATTTTATTAAAGAAAAATATTCATCTCATATCTCTTCTTCTCTTGGTTACGTTCTCTTGTAGATATGAGACGTTTCATAGATCTTACAAATTGGCTTTTCATTACTATGGATCTGATCTTTCCCTAAGTATTATAGATGTAAATGTTAAGTAGAAACAGAGTGTGTAAGACATAGCATGATACAAAGACTGTTTTATTTCAATCTCTTACTTTTCTTAAATTTACACATTTTTATTCTTCACAACACACAGATAGAAAATAACAACTATAAGAGAAGAAAGCACACTGAATTACAGATGAAGATATTTTGAAATCTCGAATCCCTTTCGGTTTTTCGATCACGATAAGTGGATTTACGCCTTAATCAGAGATGCAGTTAGATTTTTGCCTAAAACCGCGTAAACCGATTTCCATCCTTCCTGAGTAGGGTGAAGTGCATCCCAAAAGAAAGCAGACTTAGGTTCATCGCATAAGGTATAGTTCTTCTGACCTTTCTCGTCCACAACCCCACAAATTCCTCCGCAACACTCTTTCAACGGAGTTTCAAACCTCGTACTCCCTACATTTCCATAACCAATCACACAATTAAAGCCTTGAAAATATGGATTTTAAGGATGTTGTTTTTACTTTCTTACCTGGAATCTCTCCTTTGTTCTTGAAGACGGTTAAGAAGGCATTGTAGTAATCAATGAACATGAAAGTCGAAAGCCCGGTCTCCTTGTTGAGCTTGGCCACTAGTGTCTGCAACAAGTTGTTGTGATAGATCACCAACGCGTTTATAATTTTTTTGCAATCCTTGACTGAGGAGCCTTTGGAGATGAAGGGGATGCACCCGAGCGGATGCAATAACGGTATTACTATCTTTTTCACTCCCAATGCATGGATCCGCCTCAAATTCACCTCGGTTTGATTGATGATTTTCTTCGTGAATGCCGGGATGCCCTGTGATAAGAATCATGTAAACTCTCTTTCTCGGTTTAAAGTTTTGATGTTTTGTAAGTTCTATATGATATCTAATCTTTATTTGTATTATTATAAAACTTTTGATTAAAACTAACATATATAAAGAAAAACTTACAAAGATTGAGCCATTTCTGGATAAGTAAGTTATGTAATCGTTGCCAGCAACACTAACTAGAGCTAGGGAAGAAGAAAGGTCGGATGGAGAGTAGATATTGCCGATTAGTTGTTCGAAGAGATTGATCTGATAGGTCATGTTGAGATTTGAATTTATAGTTTCGAAGACTCCGGTTCCTCCGTATGCAAAATTCATTCCATACGCTAACCGTTCATGTCCCGCATAATCTTTCCAGAGGTAAGGAATGGGGGATTTTAACCCCAACAATTTGGCTGCATCCATCAACCAACACAATTGTATTTTTATGAACATGTATTTCAATACAATTTATAGTCTTAATCCGGTTTATATATTGTCAATATGTGAAATTTAATGAAGATAACGTTTTAGAGATTCTTCTTTTTGAAAAGGATAACAATGTTTTAGAGTTACGGTCGAAGAAGTACCTAGAAAATCGGTAGAGACACGGCCGTCTGAGAAACGGCCCGAGGGTTTACCGGGGAATGTGATACCATAAGGGACTTCCCATGAAGTAGCTTCGTGCATCTTTATGTTTCCGGTATCGACGTAAGAATCTCCAAACACAAACATCTTCTTTGGACCGTACAAGTTCTGATGATGAAGATGCTTTTTTGAACTCTCAACTCCATTGATATCTCCTGCCAAAATAAATAGACAAAGAACAAATTGTAACTTCTAAAATTACTCATATGAATCAATTCTGATGAAAAATATATAAAATACTTGTGAATTACCAAAGAGGAAAGTAGAAATCAAAATGAGTAATAGTGAAACGAAGAGTTTTATCAAGGAACCCATTTTCAAAATTTAAAACAAATGTTTTTTCTTTCTTTTGTGAAAGAGAGCATATGTGGTATGTGGAGGGGGTGAGTTACAAGACAATGTAGATAAACTGAATCTAAGTGTGTTCTTATTTATAAACCCGGCCATATCGGAATTTTGTTTTTAAGTTTAAATATTATAAAGTTTCTAAAATTGAATTATTATTACAACAAAATATGTCCAGAAAGGCATGGTCCCAAAATAACAGTAACCAAGTAGTATGTATCAAAGGTTAAAATACCAATGATTTATATATATAACGCTAGCTGCAAAAGATTCTAACAACCAAGCAAAAATAATTCTCACGCAAAATCCATGGGTCGGTGATGAAAACTGAATTATTGATATTTAACACTATTAACAACCATCACTGTCTGAAATCTTGACAAAATCCGTCACAACTTACAAACAGAGGCTAATGCAATGATGCATAAGCTTTTAACTTAGCAATTCAGATGTTAAAAATCAATCATCTATTAACTTAGCCTGGGACTCCTATTTTCTGGAGGCCAATTTCTATTAAAATAAATAGATTTTAGAAACTAATATTAAAATTATAACAAAATTTTGAAAACATTATAAATGATCATTCCCTTACAATATTGTCCATTACCTTTTTAACTAACCCACGATTGCTAGCAGTGAAGATAGATTTCAATAGAGTCATGTGACATTAGCAATTGAAGTAATCTATGTAACGATCCAAACCAGCTCGTTTTAAAATTTTGTGAGAAAAGTATTTAACCTTAAACTAAAAGCTCACTAAATCCAAATCCTAAACCTACTTAAAGGTGAGAAGTGGATGTGACTAGTACTCTTAGTGGAGAAGCAAACAGATGATCAAACGGACTACGAATTAGGTGAAACTTGGTGAATAGATTCTCAACTCTCATATTTATGTGTGTTTCTTCGTTAGTTTAAAAGTTCTACATGTTTTTCCGAGCTTGATCTACGTATAATGCATCCGAATATAAATTTAGTATGACTAGTTATGTTGTTTAGACCAAGATTTTGCAGAGATTTTTGGACTCACATGGAGCTAGGTCCTGGTCAAAGAAAAGCCGATTCATGATTGGTAATCTCAGTAGACGATCATTTGGAGTTAGAACATCAAATATGTCCCAAAGGAAGGGAGAAGAGGAAAGCATGTGTTGTCTTCATCATCGTCTTGCGGCTAAGATGAGAAGGTGGATCTGTGGATTTATGCATGTTTTAAAGCCTATTGTTGCCTATGCGTGTGGACATGAATTAGGTTGAGTGTTGCTAGCATGATGTATAGGTAAAATGATGAGCATGATGGTATCATGATATGAGAAGCATTACTGTATGAGTATAGTGGTATATATGTGAGCATATAAGGAAATATATGCTGCAAATTTGATGTGTCTAGTTTGTGAGCACAGACAAGTTATTTATGTTGCAGCTCGAACACAGCTAAAGTGCCGGAGATGTTTAATTAGACTGACGGGTTTATTCGACATGAGATCGATGTTGAGGTTATTGTAATTATGACAGCATGATAAGTATATGTATATGTGATGCATGTAGACTATACGTTTGTTGATGTGTGATGCTAGGTTGCTAGATTGTTTAAATTGTTTGTATATCTAATCTATGACTATATAAGTATGCGTAATAGTATGTTTACGTACTAATATGTTATGAATCATGTCGGCGGAAAGAATCAGATCTTCTTGAGTAAATTTGTTTACTCGCTCCTCCTTTTTCCTCTTTTAGTGTGCGTGCACATGTTTCATGCAACACAAGTAATACTCGTAATTGATGTCTAGGGGACGGGTGTCACAATCTATACTTTTTTTAAGTAAAAAGTCGCTAGAGACAATTTTGAGAAAATCTGGTAAATCTTAGTAAAGTTTTTGTGTGTTTTCTTTCTCACCATTTAAATGACCCACAAGGCCACAACTGTTATTTTAGAGACAATTTGATATTTTTTTAAGAAAAAATTACCTTACCACAATCTCTGTTTGTTTTATTTGTCATAATCTTTTTCTTTTTCTATGGAATGGGCATGATTGTATAGTACATATATAAAACCTTCAGTTATCGAAATTAATCCTATATATATTAGAACAAAATTAATTAAACTATGAACTGCAAAAGGGATAGACCTAATACGGTTTTGAGACTTATGGTGAATAATTTGGTAAATATGACATGATTCCCTTCAAATATATTAGCCTATTGGAGATATATGGACCGGTTTACAGTTGGTTATTTCCGGTTATTGATCTTGGTTTAATCTTATGTATATAAGCTTAATGACGTTGTTATTAGTGAGTTAAGTTGTTGTAAACAGAGTTTTGAGATTGAATAAAGTTTGTTACAGCTTCTTCTTCTTCTCTCTTTTCCGATGATAAACTTCCGATGTATCGGAGTTTATTATGGTATCAGAGCTTAAATCTGAAGTTTCCGCATTCATCTTCTTCATCGGAGAAGAGATTTTCTCGGTTTGATTTCTTTTGAATCTTTTGATTTCTTCATCATCGCTTTCTGCGATTTTCTTTTGTTTTCCACAGTTCACCGGAATCTATTTCTCCGTTCTGTTTCTTTGATTTCTTTCGCTTGACCTTAGTGTTGACGAATCTTTGTTTCTTTATCCAAATTCGTCTCACTTTCTTTGTAATTCCTTGTTCTTAAACTGAGAATGGGAACTTATGTACCTCCATCTACGATTCCGGTGGTTCGTCCTCCGATTAACGCCGGTGAACAGTCTTCTTATCCAGTTAATCAATACGAGAATCCATATTATCTACATAGTACGGATCATGCTGGACTTATTCTTGTTTCGGATCGTTTGACGACTGCTTCTGATTTTCATTCTTGGCGTCGCTCGATCTTAATGGCTTTGAATATCAGAAACAAATTGGGATTCATTAATGGTACGATTTCAAAACCACCTGAAGAGCATCGTGATTTTGGTGCTTGGTCTAGATGCAATGACATTGTTAGTACTTGGTTGATGAATTCTGTTGACAAGAAAATTGGTCAGAGTCTACTATTCATTTCCACAGCTCAAGGTATATGGAACAATTTGTTGATGCGTTTTAAGCAAGATGATGCACCACGCATTTTTGATATAGAGCAGAAACTTAGTAAGATAGAGCAGGGATCTATGGATGTCTCTACATATTATACTACTCTACTTACTCTTTGGGAAGAACATAGAAATTATGTTGAACTTCCAGTATGTACTTGTGGTCATTGTGAATGTGATGCAGCTGCTAAATGGGAAAGTTTGCAACAGAGAAGCCGAGTTACAAAGTTCCTTATGGGACTGAATGAAAGTTTTGATCAGACTAGACGTCACATCTTGATGCTTAAGCCTATTCCAACAATTGAGGAGGCTTTTAACATTGTTACTCAAGATGAACGCCAAAAGACTGTGAAACCAACTACTCGTGTTGATAATGTGGCTTTTCAGAGTGTTGCACCCATGATGAATGATGTTGATAATGCTTATGTTGCAGCTTACAACACTGTTAGACCATCTCAGAAACCAGTGTGTTCTCACTGTGGGAAAGTGGGACATACTATTCAGAAATGTTATAAAGTACATGGTTATCCACCTGGAATGAAGATAGCTGGTCAGGGTTATCCTTACAAGACTAATCCTCAGCTAATGGTACAACCAAGGGGACCAATGATACCAACTCAGCCTCGGATGCAATTTCCATCTCAAATGATGCCATATGCAAACTCAATGCAGAAAGCTAATGCAGTGGCTCATGTCTATACAGAGAATGGTGCTTATCCGTCTAATGGCTATCCTTACAATACTATGATGATGAATCAGTATGGTACCCCTGGAACCAATGTATATCAGATGCCATATGTTACACAAGGTGGGAATCATTCAAATCTTCAAGATTTTTCTCCTCAGCAAATAGAACAAATGATTTCACAGTTTCAAGCTCAAGTTCAAGTTCAAGAGCCTGCAGCTTCTTCAAGTAACCCTAGTCCAAATGCTACAATCTCTGAACATGGTTTAATGGCTCACACTTCTACTTCTGGTACTATAATCCCTTTTCCTTCTACTAGTCTTAAGTATGAGAATAATAATCTCACTTTTCAAAATCATATACTATCCTCTTTAGAAAAATTCTTACCACATGATGCTTGGATTATAGATAGTGGAGCTTCTAGCCATGTTTGCTCAGATTTAGCAATGTTTAGAGAACTAAAGTCTGTTTCTGGAGTCACTGTTACTTTACCTAATGGTACTAGGGTCTCCATTACTCATACAGGCACTGTGCATATTACTAAACAATTGATATTGCATAATGTTCTACATGTTCCAGATTTTAAGTTCAATCTTATTAGTGTTAGTTCTTTAGTCAAATCTTTATCTTGTTCTGCTCATTTCTATGTTTCTTGTTGTTTAATCCAGGAACTTTCTCAGGGCTTGATGATTGGGAGGGGTAAACTTTATCATAATCTTTACATTCTTGAGACTGAGAACACATCCCTCTCTACATCAACACCTGCAGCATGTTCTTTCTCTGGATCTGTTATTGATGATGGAAGTCTTTGGCATCAGCGTTTAGGCCATCCATCATCTCTTGTTCTGAAGAAACTTGTTAGTCATATTCCTTCTTTAAAGTCATTTGATTGTGATGTTTCACCATGTTCTATATGTCCTTTAGCTAAGCAGAAAAGATTAGCTTATGTGTCTCATAATAATCTTGCTGTTGAACCATTTGATCTTGTTCATCTAGATATATGGGGTCCTTTTAGTACTGAATCTATTGAAGGTTTTAGATATTTTCTTACCTTAGTTGATGATTGTACAAGAACAACTTGGGTTTACATGCTAAGAAATAAAAAGGATGTTTCTACAGTTTTTCCTGCTTTCATTAAACTTGTTTCTACACAATTCAATACCAAAATAAAATCAATTCGTTCTGACAATGCTCCTGAACTTGCTTTCACTGAATTGATTAAAGAACAAGGCATGATTCACTATTTTTCTTGTGCTTATACTCCTCAACAGAACTCTGTTGTTGAGAGAAAGCATCAACATTTGCTTAATGTAGCTAGAGCTTTACTTTTTCAATCTAATATTCCTATGCAATACTGGAGTGATTGTGTTATTACTGCAGCTTTCTTGATAAATCGTTTACCTTCACCATTACTGAATAATATCTCACCATATGAACTGTTACTTAAGAAGAAACCTGATTACTCTTTGTTAAAGAATTTTGGTTGTCTCTGTTATGTTTCTACAAATGCTCATGAAAGGAATAAATTTTCTCCTCGTGCTAGACCTTGTGTTTTCTTGGGATATCCTTCTGGATATAAAGGATATAAGGTTCTAGACTTGGATTCACATGCTATTTCTGTTTCTCGGAATGTTGTTTTCAAAGAAACTAGCTTTCCTTTTAAAACAAGTGAATTGTTGTCTAAAGCTGTTGATATATTTCCAAACACCATCTTACCTTTACCTGCACCTTTGCATTTTGTTGATAGTTTGCCTTTGCTTGATGAAGATTCTCTTATTCCTTCACATGCATCTGCATCATCATCATCTGCATCAGACCCTAGTACTACTATACCCACTAATACAGAGACACCTGAAACAGACTCTAGTACTGTTCTCATTACTAAGTCTAAACGAATTACTAGAGCTCCTACATATCTTTCTGACTATCATTGTTCACTAGTCCCTTTTACTTCTACTTTACCACCTACAGAAAATATCTCTCCTATTACTACTATACAACCTCCTATACCTATTCATACAAACACTATATCATCACCTAAAAAGACTACACCATATCCTCTTTCCTCTGTCATTTCTTATGATAAATATACTCCACTCTTTCAATCCTATATCATGGCCTATAATACAGAAACAGAGCCAAAGACTTTTTCTCAAGCCATGAAATCTGAAAAATGGACTAAGGCGGCTAATGAAGAGCTTCATGCTCTTGAGCTTAACAAGACTTGGACTGTGGAGACATTACCTGAGGGTAAAAATGTTGTAGGTTGCAAATGGGTGTTTACTATTAAGTATAACCCAGATGGAACAGTGGAGAGATACAAGGCAAGACTAGTGGCTCAAGGGTTCACTCAACAGGAAGGTATAGATTACTTGGATACATTTTCTCCTGTTGCTAAGCTAACTAGTGTCAAGTTAATGCTTGGTCTTGCTGCTGCTAAGGGCTGGAGTTTGACACAAATGGATGTGTCTAATGCCTTTTTACATGGTGAACTTGATGAGGAAATTTTCATGAGTCTTCCTCAAGGTTACACACCATCTACGGATAAAGCTTTGCCTCCTAATCCGGTTTGCAGATTACTAAAGTCTCTCTATGGTTTGAAACAAGCATCACGTCAATGGTACAAGAGACTTTCTTCAGTATTATTGGGAGCAAATTTTATTCAGTCACCTGCAGACAACACTTTGTTCATCAAGATGACATCTGGTTCTTTTGTTGCTGCATTGGTCTATGTTGATGATATAATGATTGCGAGTAATGATGATGTTGCAGTAGAAGCTTTGAAGACATTGTTGAGGTCTGAGTTTAAAATAAAAGACCTTGGTCCTGCACGATTCTTTCTTGGTCTAGAGATTTCAAGATCTTCAAAAGGGATTTCTGTTTGCCAGAGGAAGTATGCTCAAAACTTATTGGAAGATGCTGGTTTACTTGGTTGCAAGCCTAGTTCAGTACCTATGGATCCAACACTTCATTTGGTTAAAGATATGGGTACTGTTCTGACTAATCCTACTTCTTATAGGGAACTAATAGGCCGTTTGCTATATCTGACTATCACCAGACCAGATATAACATTTGCGGTCCATCAACTCAGCCAATTCATCTCAGCTCCTACTGATATTCATCTTCAGGCGGCTCATAAGGTTCTTCGTTATATCAAAGCTAATCCTGGCCAAGGTCTGATGTACTCTGCAGATTCTGAACTTTGTCTAAATGGCTTTTCTGATGCTGACTGGGCTGCATGTAAAGACACAAGGAGATCCATTACAGGATTCTGCATTTATCTTGGAACTTCACTCATTTCTTGGAAGTCTAAGAAGCAAGCAGTAGCTAGCCGGAGTAGTACAGAGTCTGAATATCGGAGTATGGCTCAAGCTACTTGTGAAATCATTTGGCTTCAGCAATTACTCAAAGATTTGCACATCAAGGTGACATGTCCTGCAAAGCTATTCTGTGATAATAAGTCAGCTCTTCATATTTCTATGAATCATGTCTTCCATGAACGTACCAAACACATAGAAATCGATTGTCATACGGTTCGTGATCAGATTAAAGCTGGAAATCTCAAGGCCTTACATGTTCCAACAGAGAATCAACACGCTGATATTCTCACTAAGGCTCTCCATCTAGGTCCATTCCATCATCTTCTACAGCAAATGTCTCTGTCAAGTCTCTATCTTCCAAACCAGACAGTTCGAAAGTAGAGACTTGAGGGGGGTATATTGGAGATATATGGACCGGTTTACAGTTGGTTATTTCCGGTTATTGATCTTGGTTTAATCTTATGTATATAAGCTTAATGACGTTGTTATTAGTGAGTTAAGTTGTTGTAAACAGAGTTTTGAGATTGAATAAAGTTTGTTACAGCTTCTTCTTCTTCTCTCTTTTCCGATGATAAACTTCCGATGTATCGGAGTTTATTATAGCCAACTTTCTCTTCTTCTCTATATGATTTCAAGATCGTTTTTATGATTATTTTTTTTCGTATCATTTAAATTATTTAACCTATTGTTTGGCATGTGATTGCACCATAAGATGAAGATAAAGATTAGCTAGATGCCTAACCTAGATCTACGAACAAAATGAAAAAAAAAAAAAAAAAAGCAAATTAAATAATGTCAAAAATAACACAAAGTAATATTTTTTTTGGCAACCTCAATTTGAAAATGAAGACTTTGAATTGACAAGCCAAATCGGAGGAAAAAATCTAACAAAACGTTTACATGTTGAGTTAGATCTAGGCTTGTGGTTTTACTTCCACTAGGTTAATTTCGATGGAAGTCCAAATGTGCAAAAACATCTTAGGATACAAATACGTATCCTTTGAATCTGATTGCAAAGACACAGTTCAAGGTATCATCGGGAACTTAGTGTGGGCATGCACTTCAACTTTATCGGCTAGATATTCAACAAGTAATTCCTGATAACTTTTCATTGGATTTTACTCCAAGAAAATGTAACAAGAAGACGAATAGACTAGTCCATAAGACTTATTATATTTCATCTTAGTCCATAAGAGTATAAGACTTATTATATTTCATCTTTTGTTTGTTGTTAAGCAATACTTTATCGATATGGTTACGATTTTTTTTAGAGATTGATAAACCGAAAGTATAAATTGATTAATGATCAATTATGAATAGTTAAATAATATTATTTGGAATTTCCCATATACAAAATGGAATCTTCTTAGTTTATCTACTAATTTAAGTGATCTACCAACACATTTTTGTAGTGGAAAATATACTAAACGAATTGTTTAAGATATTTAACGAAATAAAAAATTGGTTTTGGTCAGTACACTCAAGTGTAGCCGTAAGCTATGACGAAATGAAAACAACTTTAAATTATTTCCCAAGCCTCTGTTTCCGACAGTGTGGGCTCTAAAAGTATCACTAATAGTAATTCAGTAGTCGAATCGAATATGCCTTTGTTCTTCCCACAGCAAAAAAAAAAAAAAAAAAAAAAACTTATTTTCATAAAATAATAAAAAGGATATTGGTCACTAGAGACTAGAGAGGCCGCCTCAAATTCCATCCATCGCATCAAAACATTTAACGTCAAATGACAAAACAAAAGGTAAACGAATTAAAGAATCAAAACATTACACTCTCCGTTTTTTTACTTGATGTTTAAATTTTTTTATACAAATTAAGAATCATTTAATTTTATTTATTTTTAAAATAAAACATTATTTATTATGTATTAAATACGATTCAACTAATAGAAAAATAATTTATATAATATAAATCACTAAAATTAATAAAAATTAATTAATTTTGCATTAAAAGAAAAGATCTAAAACAAATTTTTTTTCCTAAAATATTAATTAAATAAAAAACAAAAGCAGTATTTCGTAACTTATATATTCATCACAACTAGTGGCCTATCTCTTTTGAACTGAGAGTCTTTAGTTGACTTGGTCCGTTGGTCGTGTTTGTATCATTGTGATCAGTGTCACTATTAAACAAAATAACACTCCTGTGTTATAGGATATATATATATATATATATATATATATATATATTAATATATATATAGATAACATGCACATATAGTCCATTAGTTATGTACATACATATATCTATATTCCTTTTTTCTGAATTTACACGAATTTGAACGCCCAACAAATTCCTGAAATGAAGCTATTTTAGCTGAGAGTTTTATGCAAATTTGCCTCATATACGTTAAAATTGAGATGGAGATTTTCAATCTTTAACTATGTTGACCATTAAGGACTATCATTAGCTAGTTGAATCATTTTAAACTTTTAACCATATGATCAAAATTCCAACTCAATTGGAGTTTTCCGTTAGCATCCAAGACTCCTAGTACGTTGGATTTAGCTTTCGACTAAATAAATAAATAAAGTAATGCAAGTTGGTATTTAAAAATACCAAAAAAAGATTTGATCGGTATTCAAATCGAGAGTGATATTTTCTTGGTGATATATATTTTTACAAACAAATCTAGTCAAACAGTACTCAAACTAGTTAAACTTACATGCACTGAACCTATTTTTCGCTGAGGATCCTAAACCCCAACTTTCGTAAGTGAAATGCAAATTTCGAATTAGTTCACTAATTTTCGAATTAGTTTTTATAGAATCACAAGTTTTATACATAACTTTTGTGTTACATATTTCATGTTTTCAAATCTTTTTAAATCATATTACAAATATAGATTATAAATCAATAATAATCTAGTAATAAACCTATTTATAATATAAATCCCCGTTACACATAAAAATAGTCTTTGGCGCGCTATATGTATCTATCTATCTAATCACTATCCTCTCTCCGTCGCGTAGTTCAAGGAGCTCTCCTTTGATTATCCTTAAATATCTCTCTCTCAATTTCTTCTACCTCCTCCTCCCATTTCTTTTTCATTGCCCTTGTTACGGAACCGGAACATGAACACTTCATCGTCCTTCAAGGCCCTTTCTTCTCCTCCTTTGATTTCTACCTCTAGACCAACAAGAAAATCTTTCCCTAACCCAAGATTTTCAAGATTCTCTCCTAAACCCATTACATGCATGCGCGATTCTCTTAATCTTGGTTCGAATCCAAACGTTCCAAGCCCTCTTTCTTTCGCAACGGTATCCGTTGAAGCTCCTTTAGGAACAAAAACCTCCGACAAGCTTCGCATCCTCGTATCCGAGTTCCGGTCCTTAACCGAACCGATCGACCGTGTCAAACGTCTCTTAAACTACGCGGCGGCTCTAGCCCCGCTTGATGACTCGGCTCGCATCTCCGCGAACCGAGTCACGGGGTGTACGACTCAGGTATGGTTGGAGATAAAGATGGATGAGTTTGGGAGGATGAGGTTTAAAGCAGACAGTGATTCGGAGATCTCAAAAGGGTTCTGTTCTTGTCTTATCTGGATCCTCGACGGTGCTAAGCCAGAAGATGTGATGGGCGTGAGAAGCGAGGACTTGTCGGAGATGAACGTTGGGGTTCACGGCAAGGAACAGTCAAGGGTTAACACGTGGCACAACGTGTTGATGAGTATGCAGAAACGGACCATGAGTCTAGTTGCTGCTGACGTGGCGCACCAAAGAGGACAAAGACCACCGCGTGATCAGCATGATCTCTTATTTAAATACGTTAATGGAAGTTACATGGAATCTGCTAAGGTTCATGATTATTCTATTTCGTTGCTTCCCTTGTACTATGATTTTACTATATGAATGTGTTTTTGGTGTTCTTTAGAATATTGTAAAGCCCGATTTGGAACATAAATTCAAAGTTTGTGTTCTTTGTATTTTGCAAAATCAAGTTTGAGGATAAACACTTCTAAATTAGGCGTAGAAAAAAAAACACTTCTAAATTAGCAAGAATTATTAGGACTGGTCCAATGTTTCAGATATTCTACGCAAATCTAGAAAACTGTGTTCTTTTTTAATATATTTTCCACATTGTATTTTTATCAAGAATTTTCACTATTAAAGTTTTAACTAATTTTGTTATAAAAAAAAAATCCACCAATAGTAATACTAAAATGTCTCCGGATATTGTCATTACAAAAACAATCGGTTTTTAAATATAGATATCTTAAGTAGATTTAGAATCGGATAGTTTTAATTAGACTAGCAAGTGTAAGAAGATTTTTTAGTCATTGGCGGCTAATCAGAATCGTCCATATTGCTAAAGTCAACAACAACAGCCCCGCATCGTATTTCTTTAATCTTCAATGATATTTGGTAATCAGTTTTCTTACATATAAGTAGAGATGTTAATATGGGCTAACCCACCCCATTTAGACCCACCCCATTTAGATCCACCCTATTTAAAACCCACCTCATTTAGACCCACCCCATTTAACCCCATTTAAGTTTACATCCCATTTAACCTCCCCATTTAAACCCATTTAAATTTATTTTACCCATTTAAACCCATTTAGATCCATATAACATTATTTTGTTCTAAACAATATAATATAATAAATAATTATTTTAATTGATTATTTAAAATTTACAGATTATTTCATTAAATATAATTGATAAATAATGATATAACTGTTTTTATTATTTTGATGAAGAATAATATAGTTTTAAAAAACGCAATTTTACGATTATGGCGGGAAAATTCGGGTTTACGGTTTTGCGGAAAACGTTATTTTATAGTATGATATTTTTGGTGATAAAACGCAATTTTACGATTATGGCGGGAAAATGCGGGTTTACGGTTTTGGCGGGAAAACGTCATTTTCTGCCAAAATCGCAAAATTGCGTTTTATCACCAAAAATAATTTTTCATAAAATAGCGATTTTCCGCCAAAACCGTAAATCCGCGTTTTCCCGCCAAAACCGTAAATCCGCGTTTTCCCGCCAAAACCGTAAACCTGCGTTTTTCCGCCAAAACCATAAATCCGCCTTTTCCCGCCAAAACCGTAAACCTGCGTTTTCCCACCAAAACCGTAAACCTGCGTTTTTCCGCCAAAACCATAAACCTGCGTTTTCCCGCCAAAACCGTAAACCTGCGTTTTTCCGCCAAAACCATAAATCCGCGTTTTCCCGCCAAAACCGTAAACCTGCGTTTTCCCGCCAAAACCGTAAATCCGCGTTTTCCCGCCAAAACCATAAATCCGCGTTTTCATGCCAAAACCGTAAACCTGCGTTTTCCCGCCAAAACCGTAAACTCGCGTATTCCCGCCAAAACCGTAAATCCGCGTTTTCCCGCCAAAACCTTAAACCCGCGTTTTCCCCCCCAAAACCGTAAACTCGCGTTTTCCCGCCAAAACCGTAAATCCGCGTTTTCCCGCCAAAACCGTAAACCCGCGTTTTCCCCCCAAAACCGTAAACCCGCATTTTCCCGCCAAAACCGTAAATGTGCGTTTTCCCGCCAAAACCGTAAATCCGTGTTTTCCCGCCAAAACCGTAAACCCGCATTTTCCCGCCAAAACCGTAAATGTGTGTTTTCCCGCCAAAACCGTAAATCCGCGTTTTCCCGCCAAAATCGCATAACCATGTTATAGAAGACGTGGTTTTACATTTTGTTTTAAATATTTAAATCAAAAATTGAATTTAAGTAGAATATTAGTTTTAAATATATTTAATATTTTGCTCTTTTATTTTAGTTATTAAGATATTAACATTTTTAATTAAAATAACTAATATAAAATGAAGGATAAATGGGTTTAAATGGGTACCCATTTATTTGTGTGAAACCCCATTTAATAAATGGGTTTAATTGGGGTAACCCATTTAACCCCATTTAACATTTTTTCCTAAATGGGTTTAAATGGATTAATTTTTTTTGTACATACCCATTTAATAAATGGGGGTTCCATGCCCAAGTTAACATCACTACATATAAGTATCACTTCCTGATGCCATCTTGAGCTGAATTTATAATATACGACGGAAATGAACGAGGGACCAGAGATGGGCCTGACAACTACAGTTAGAGACACAATCACGAGTCAAATTTTCTCTTTAGCATCATTACTCTGGGTTTCTCCTAATTAAAACATTTAATTTATAAGAGCATCTCCAATGGTAGACACCCATAGAGTGTCTCACTAATATAATATTAATATTTTTATGTTTAATTTATTTAGAGAAACTCACACTAAAATTCTACTTCCATTGGTGGGATATCTCTATAGATGTCTCATCAATATAATATTTATATATTTATATTAAATTTATTTTTTCAATAATATTTTTAAACATATCAAATTATATCTTAAATATAGTCATTCAAACAGAATAATTATATTTTCTATAGAAGTAAATAATATAATGAATATTAATAATTTTAAAAACATTAATTAATAATACTAGACTATTCATTATAAATAATATATTAAAGAGACTATTATTTTTAAAACCACAATTAAACATAAATTGAATTTTAAACAACATATAAAACCATAATAAAGATATATAAATTAAACACAAAATTACATATAAAACCATGATAACATAAATTAAAATGCAAATAAAAACATACAAAACCAAAATAGATAATATATGTTTTACTCTTCACTTGATGATGCGCCAAACTTTTTACTCTTCACTTGATGATTAAAATTACACATCATTTTATCAAATAGATTTTAATTATATTGGACATTTTGTAAATAATGACTAAAGATAACATATTATTTATCAAAATATCAAAATATTGACAAAATATCAGATTATTCATCTCAGATTTATTTTCTAATATTATAGTATTTTATTAACTAAAAATATTAATTTATATTTATATTAACCTTAACTAATATCAATTAAAATTAATAATAATAAAAATTTAAACTTTTGTATAATGGAGCTTGATATATAGATAATTTTATTTTATGAATTGTAGAAAAATAAAAAATAAAAAATAAAAACTTATAAACTATTTAATTGATATTTATAAATCTTAGAGTAATTGAATTTCAAAAGAAATTGCTAAACCAATCTAGGACTGACATGTGTATGACAGAGAGAGTTTCTCAAAATGTCTCAAATGAGAAATGTGTCTCCCCTTTTTTTTATTTTAATTTTTTTTTTTTTTTTTTGATTTATTTTTATCATGAATGTCTCATGGAGACACTACCATTGGAAGTGCTCTAAGGCTCTTGAGTCTTTTACTTTTTTTTTTTTTTTGCTGATTAAAACAATTGTGTTGATTAAACATAACAACTTTTATTAAATTATAAATTATCGTACACATAAGTACATAACCCAACGTACGGACTACATATCTAAATCCAGAGTCTCTTAGTTATTGTTAAACACATCATATATCCATACTCATTTATATAATAAAAATTAAGGTAATATATTGTGTTGATTAAACATAACAACTTTTATTAAATTACAAATTACCGTACATATAAGTACATAACCCAACGTACGGACTACAAATCTAAATCAAGAATTTTTTAATTATTGTTAAACACATCTTATATCCGTACTCATTTATATATTAATTTTTTTAAGGTAATACATTGTGTTGATTACACATATCAACTTAGATTAAATTACAAATTACCGTACACATAAGTACATAATCCAATGTACGGATTTTATGGATATGAATCTAGAATCTCTTAGTTATTTTAAACTTACATCCGTACTTATTTATATAGTAAATTAAGATAATATATTATTTTGAGCACACATATCAATTTTTATTAAATTACAAATTACCGTACACATAAGTACATAACCCAATGTACGGGATTACGAATATGAATCCAGAATCTCTTAGTTATTGTTAAACATATCTTACATCCATACTCATTTATATAGTAAAAATTTTAAGATAATATATTTTGTTGATCATTATTATATTACAAATTACCGTACACATAAGTACATAACTCAATATACGGATTACGAATCTGAATCTAAAATCTCTTAGTTATTGTTAAACACATCTTATATTCGTACTTATTTACATAGTAAAGAATTTAAGATAATACATTGTGTTGACTAAATATATCAATATTTGTTAAATTACAAATACACCGTACACATACGTACATAATCTAATGTACGGGTCTACGTTTAGAATCTTTTAATTACAATAAAACAAAAAAAAATATTTTCGAATTTAAGTTTAGAATCTCTTAATTATAAAAAGACAAAAAAAATATTTCTTTGGATTTAGGTTCAGAATCTCTTAATTATAAAAAGACAAAAAAGAGAATACATTGACTAATAATAAATACATGGACCTATTTTCCTATTTAACGCATTTCACTCATTGACTAAAATAAATACATCGACATATTCTTTTTTTCTTTCTCTCCTATTTGAATGTTTGAAAATGAACTTTCTTCAGATTTGACTGAGCCAAAACCCTAAAGCGCCTATCTATACTTTTACCGATTGACTTTTTCACCTCCCAATTTCTTAGCCGTTGCTCTGTGACAACAACAATATGACTACACTTCGCTCAGAGGAAAAAATCACGAAACTTTCTTCTTTCATGGCTAATACACTGAGCATAGCGTCACCCTCGTGTTCTTCCCCATTGTTGATCCCAATGGTCTCGCCTTTGAAGACAAATGTCTCGCCTTTGAAGAGAAAGGTCTCGCCTTTGAAGAGAAAGAGACCTCCCCATTTAGATATCCCTGACCTGGAACCGATTTCAACAGATTACTTCAGTGGCAGAGACTTTGCTCAGCAAAACGACGCCGTAGTATGCTTCGGTGGCAATGGTTTCGGTGTTGTCTCCAGAAACGGAAAGAAGAAGTTTATGGAAGACACTCACAGAATTGTCCCTTGTTTGGTTGGTAGCTCCAAAAAGGTATTTTTTTTTCTTCCTTTTGATTGAATTGATAGGTTTGAGATCTTGAGTGTGTTTTGTGGTTAATGGGTTTTGGCTGAGGATTGATTTGTGTAGAGTTTCTTTGGAGTTTATGATGGTCATGGAGGTGGGAAAGCTGCGGAATTTGTGGCTGAGAATTTGCATAAACATGTTGTTGAGATGATGGAGAATTGTAAGGAGAAGGAGGAGAAAGTTGAAGCCTTTAAAGCTGCTTATTTGAGGACTGATCGTGATTTCTTAGAAAAGGTAACAAAGAACAATCTTTGAATTTAGCTATGAGGTTACTTGTAACTTACTAGTTGCATAAAAAATGCAGGGTGTTGTGAGTGGTGCTTGCTGTGTTACTGCTTTGATACAAGATCAAGAGATGATTGTATCGAATTTGGGAGATTGTAGAGCTGTCCTGTGTCGAAGAGGCGTTGCTGAAGCTCTTACTAATGATCACAAGGCAGGAAGGGATGATGAAAAGGAAAGAATTGAGAGTCAGGTAAGGTTGTCAAGTTTTTGCTGATTGTGTGTTGAGAGAGTAGATTTTGATACTTGTCATGGCGTTTGGTTTATAGGGAGGTTATGTTGATATTCATCGAGGGGCTTGGCGAGTTCATGGAATACTCGCTGTTTCCAGAAGTATTGGAGATGCACACTTAAAGAAGTGGGTGGTTGCTGAACCTGATACAAGGATACTTGAATTGGAACAAGATATGGAGTTTCTTGTCTTAGCTTCTGATGGACTTTGGGATGTGGTTAGTAATCAAGAAGCTGTTGATACCGTGCTGCATGTTCTAGCTCAGAGAAAGACACCTAGAGAAGGTGAGGAGGAGAACTTGGTCCAGGGAGTTGTCAATGTGAGCCCATCTTCGAAACTTCGTCGGGTTTCGCTGGTCAAGTCATCAGTTCAATCTCCCAGATGTGCGAAATCCCCAAGTTACTACTACAACTCAGAGAATGAATCACCCTCACCCCACTGTGAAATCGGGAGTTCACCTTCAAATTCAATGAAGATCACACAGTTGAAGCGAATGAAGATGAAGTCCGAGTCTTCTTGGGCCAAGGAGGCTTGCAAAGAACTCGCGAACCTGGCCGTTAAAAGAGGTAGCATGGATGATATAACAGTGGTGGTTATAGATCTCAACCACTACAAATGCTGAATGACATATATGCATGTATTCTATAGTGTCATATCCTTTGGAGACTTTAATGGCTATGTAGATTCTTGTTGATATTGATGAACCTATCTCACCAAAACTCTTATTGCATTCTTAATAAAGTTCATATAAGTGACAACCAAAACACAGGATTTTAACAAATCGCTTTATTAGATGTGTTTCTCTTTCTAAGAGATTAAAAGAAACAAACTCATAAAAAGAAGAAAAGTTTGTTTCTTCTTATTGTCACTGCCTTTGACAGGCCATGCTCAATCTTGGCGCGATCTTATCGAAGATAAATTTGTTAGCAGCCTGCGTGAAGTGCACACCGTCCCACACAACGGCCTTATCAGGCTCATCGCACGGCTTCCCAATGTAAACCTCTTTGCCTTTCACAATCTTCTTCATCCCACACCCAATTCCCTTGTTGTAGTTATACTTCCCTCCATGCCCACAACATGAAACCAACGATCTCTTGAACCCGTGACCCTGTGCGTGAACAAACAACTCATGCTTGACAGAGTAGACATCTATGTAACTTATGGCAGCTTCAGGTAGTGAATTTCTAAGCTCGATCACGGCTTTTTTCAAAGCGTAATTGAATTGTTGAGCTAAGTGATTCAAAGAAGAGACACATCCATGTGAATCAAAGTCCGATTCTTTAATCGGAAACCGTTCAATCACATACGCTAAACAACCAATAGGTCCAGTGTTGTGAATCCAGAAGTATCTCCCTCCTTGTCCATAAACATTCTATCACCAAAAAACAAACACATTTTTATGATTACCCTTTAAACAAAAACAGAGTCAGAAACAGAGAGACCAACCTTGATAGCATTCTTGAACTGACTGATGATCTCAGGAGCTTCGGTTTCAACTTGTTCCACGGTTTTATTAGCGAAGTAACCCGCGGTGAGATCGTTCTGACCAATGTCAAAAGTGTACAAAGCTTGTGAGAAGATGTCGGATTCAGGCAACATCGTCTTGTAGATTCCTCCGCGACTACGAACAGTTTGGGATCTGTTGTGGAAGTTGTAGAACTGGACAAACTGAACATCGAGTGAAAATGGGCTGAATCCACTTTGACGAAGAGTAGAGTTGAGAGCTCTTATCGGAGATCCCGCGGTAGCAAAGTTAGCACCGTGGCTGAAGTTTGAACCAACCGAGTCTAGAAACGCGCTTAGATATGGCAATCCAAGACTCTCCGCTGTGTTCAAAACAGAGCCAAATCAACAAAAACGCAAAACACAAAACAAAGAAAAGAGTTATTAGTTTACCTATGAAGTCAATCACGAGACGACCGTCGCAGTATCTGCCGGCGGGTGAACCGAAGAAGGAAGAGCCGTGAGGAGGACCAGCTTGGCCAAAAGCTGCGGAGAGACCACCGGTATCGGAGTTTGAGTCACCAAAGTTAAAGATTGCTGGAAAATGACATTGATGGGCATGTGTTGATGATGATAGTGAAGAAAACAAAGAGAGAGCAAACAAAGAAGATAGGATTGGATTCATTGGTAAAGCTAAAGAGGTAAAAGATCCAACTCAATCACGGGACTTTTATCCTTAGGAAAATAATAAGATAGAGTTAGAGACACAAACAATAAAAAGTACCAACTTTGAAGAAGAGATAATGATATCAAAAGAAGAGAAACGTGACCCCAACCAAAAAAAGAAGGAAGGTTGGCAAAACACAAAAACCAGAGATTTGATATGTTTTTATTGAGAGGGTTAGTTTACTTAGTTATATATAAATAGGGAATGCTCTCTTTCTTTGGAGGATTATCTTCAATTTGATTTCTTTCCTATAATAGTAGCTTTCCATTTTCATATCTAAGTTACTTTTTTTTTCGTTGTATATCTAGTCTTTTTAATATGTTTTGTCTCTATTTTCTATCACCTTTTTTTGTTCTCAAATCTTTTTATGCAAGAGTTGTCGTGTGATTGTTGTGTGTGGTTTCGTAGAGATGATTGTTTGGATTCTAAAATGGTTGTATCGGGCTTGTTTGGCTTTGTTCAACTCGTTGAAAATGGCTATTTTTGATTCACTACTTGATTTGGCTCAAACTTTGGGTGTTGTGGACGTGTTTTGTGTTTTTTTTTTTTTGGACGTGTTTTTACCCCGTAAATAAGTAATTTTGTAGAAATTTATAACTCAGAAAATTTTAGGAAAACACCCCTTGTTGGTCCAATCATTATCATAAAAGGGTTTTCACCAAAATAGATTTATATATAATTTCATGTTGTGAGAAGAAGAAAAACAAATTTGTAATTGCCGATTGTACAACTATCTTTTTTTTCCATCTTATATGAAATTAATCTAAGAATCCATTTATGTTTTTGGTGACAACTTAAAATCTCTTTTCCTCATTTACATTTTCTTGCACAATAAAACTCTTCATGAGCTTTTTAATTTCTAGTCACTTGTATCTCTTTTAGTAAGCTCTATACAAGAGTTAGAATAAGTTTGCTTTAGATTCTCCTACAGTCAATAGAAAATGTATTGTTCATGTCCTACTAAAATTTTTCTTTGTAAATACTGTTAATCACAATTTTCATAGTGATGCAAAATATAAATTTGTGAAATTGTTTAGAAATGTCTAAACATTGTAAGAAAACTTTTACAATAATTTTAAAACAAATTAATGTTCTGTTTAGAAGTTATATATATTTTAAAACAAAGTGTAGAAAGTTGTTAACATACATACAGCAAAACGACGCCGTGTGTTCATGTCATCTGAAACTGTTACGAGTCTGTTAATACGATACCGTTTCAGTGTAGTTGTTTTGTGTGTAAAATTGTAATCGTATCATCGTCTTCTTCGTCGCGAGAGTTTCAGTTTCAGTCTCAGCCACAAAGTAAACTCCACTGTCGTCTTCCGTAGTGATGCTTCTTTCTGCAATCGCTTCTCAGACCCTTCTCTCATCAAACCCTAATCTACACTTTTCCAATTCTATTCCAAACCCTAGACCTTCTAATTCCTCCCTTAAGCTCCTCAATGCCTCTTCCTCTTCTTCGTCCTCGTCCTCGTCTTCTATATTTACACGCGGTCTCCGTTACGTGAACCACACTGTATCCAATGAAGAATCAGAACCCGGAGGAGGAGAGACCATGGTGGCTTCTGCTTCTGCAATTGCTTCCGCGATTCGTGGAGCTTCAACGACTCCTGTAGAGTTCACACAGATGATTGAGAAAGACCATCTCAAGACGAAGATTATCTTGCCAAGTCCTGATTTTCAACGTCTTTGTCTCGAGCAATTAGATCTCTTTCGTCAAATCGTTGATCCAAACGCAGTCCTCTCGGTGCGTCTCTGCTTTTCTTAAAACTCCATTGTTGCCTGAAAACAGAGTGTAGAATTAAAGTTTGGATTTTTATGTTGGTTTTGGTTTAGATATATGTAAGACCAGCTGGTAGCTATGTGATGGATCGATTAGAGCTGCGTCGTGTCACTTGTTATCCAAGTGTTAATGCTGGAGACGTTGTGATCTTAGTTGGAAACTTTGGTATCCCCGCGGGTCTACGAGCAGCTGAAGCATCACTTTCTAGTCAACAAGTATGTGTTCTTCTTCCTCTGGCTTTAAACTCAAGTTTAGTTATCGTTTTTTGTTGACATAGTATGGTGATGATAGGTAGAACTTGTGAATAAACATAGAGCTGCTGTGTTTCCAATGGTGAAACATCCGTTTGTTGTCGGTTTCTTGGTTGCTGAGTTACCGGTTGAAGCTGAGGAGGAGGAGGAGGAGGAGGAGGAGAAGGAGAAGAGGAAAAACCGCGTGGTTTAAAGCATTTTCCTTCCCCTGAGGAAGCTTATGCTTTGCCTGCTTCAGCTAATACAAAATCACCTAAAGTTAAACGTCCTTCTGTTAAAGTTTTCACTGCAGAGCAGAGATCTTATGCTATTAATATTTCGCGGACTCTTGCTATGGCGTATGTCATGGATCAGGTTGTTCCTATATCCTGTCTCTTCCTTTGTTGGCGTTGCGTGTTTGTCTTTGTTGGGTTGAATCCTTTATTGATCTTTTCTTTTTATGGGTATGTTTAGAAAACGATGTTACTTCAACAGTCGTCTTGGCAAAACAATGTGAGGATGAGTAAGCTAGTGGAGCAGGTACTATAGCCACACACTTGTTAACATAGTAGTATAGCACACATATCTTATGTTACCGTCTCCTTCAGTCTTGATATTATTCTTATTCTTTCTTGCGTTTTGGCAGATCCGTGGTCCGCTCTCTACCATGAGGACTTTAAGTAAAATGCTTTCAACTCACACTAAGAGAAATCAGGTCCTTGAAATTAGCATTGATGGCCGGAAGTGTTATCCCCCCTGAGTCATGCAGTTATCGGACTGACTTGGGTTTTGGTACCTTGTAGATTTCACATGATATTGTCGAAGACTTAATAGTTCAAGGCGATCAAATAAAAGATACCCTTGAAGAACTTCAGGATGCAGTTCACTTGACAAAGGTTCCAACTTCTCTTACTTTGTCCTTTTTGGTACTGGAGAGAGTCATCACTCTATTTTCAGTTGTCTTTATAAATCTGTCTTAGATGTGTTGAGCATAGGAATTCTTACCAACCATAGTCGAAGTTGATTTTTCGGTTTGTATTCTTACAAAGCATTTCATTTTCAGGCTAATATAGTCCGCCATAATGAAGAAGCCCTAAAGAAGATAAACAAAACACATAATGAAACAAGGAGATCAAACTATGAACATAAGGACCCCATTGATGGGTCAAAAATCCCAAGTACACCCCTTTCCTTGGGTTCTGGATCAGATGATTCAGAAATGCCTATGCCACCTCTGGCCCTGGCACCCTTACAAACACACAACATAAGGTATAAGCTTCCGAGCCATTAACTTAACGTCTTGCTACAGAATTCTAACTTGAAACAAAGTGTTGGGAGGGCTTATCTCTTTCATTTATGTCAGCAAGACCATGCGACATTTCTAGTGTGCTATTAGATATGGTCGAGACTGTGAGACCACTTGCCCTTACTCAGCAAAGAGTGGTGGAGCTAGGTGAGAACTCAGCTTCCCTGCAAGTTGCTGTTGAAGAACCGGCTTTGAGGCAGGCTCTGAGCAACCTCATTGAAGGTGCACTGTTGCGCACTCATGTTGGGGGAAAAGTTGAAATTTTATCGACCAGAGCTCCTGCTGGCGGTAGTCTGGTAGTAATTGATGACGATGGTCCTGATATGCGCTATATGGTAAACAAGATCAAACTTATCTTCTGCTGCTTTCAACTCCCTATTTTTAATAAGTCTGAGGTCTTACCAGTTTGATATGAGAATCATGTTGTTTAACATAAATTTGTTACATCAATGCAGACGCAAATGCATTCGCTAACACCATTTGGAGCAGAACTCCTGTCGGAAAACATGGTTGAAGACAATATGACATGGAACTTTGTGGCTGGTTTAACCGTAGCCCGAGAGATCCTGGAGAGTTACGGATGTGTGATCAGGGTTATATCACCTCGCACCTCCGATGCAGCCTTAGGAGCTGGCGGTACTCGTGTAGAGATCTGGCTCCCTCCCTTCCCTGCAGCAGTATCAGAAGCCAATGAAGCATAGGTTTCATTTTTCTCTCTTTGTGAATCTTTTAGTCTTGAGTCCGATTTGTGGTGAAGCCAATGTATAGTCTATTTTGTGATTTGTTGATCAATGTGTAATAACAACATAATATGTACATAACCCAAAGAGTTCATGTCTACATAGGTGGACTATGTAACGTAAATATATAGTTGTATTCTTATGTAAGCGATATAGGAAGACGTGAACAAAATTGCTTGTAACTTATAAGAAACAACATGTTAACCTGTTTTGCGAAACGCAATTTATAAATGTTAAATGCGAAAATGGCAAAGGAATATGATTTAAACTTATCACTAAGAGTAAGATGTGATAAATTGTTGTGATGGTTATCATAAGAGAAATTCCTATCCAGAGACAAAGAAAAGTTTGATTTGGAAAGTAGCGACGATGAAATCCCTAATCTGAAAAGCGATAAGGAAATTTTTTTGATGTGGATAGCAACAAGGATGTTTCAAAGGATCCAACAAGATTATAAATGACAGTTCCCAAAAAGTCTTGGATGTTAAATAAAATTTATCACAGTATTTTTAATTTTTCTATAAAAACTGGTCAATATTACATATCCAAAAGAGAAGCAAAGTATATCATGGGTGAAGAAAGATTTAATCTGACAGTGAAATATCTTAAAAATTGTCCAGAGATCTCAGAAGATAACGCATATGCACTTTATGATTTTTGTGGAAAGATGTTCATCGTTTTGAATACTAGAAGCTTACCGGAATCAGACTTGGTGCCATAAGAAATTAGTACAAAGTTAAGAGATGTGCAGATTTGATAAGAGACCAATTCGGTCATGTACTTTGTTAGGCTTTCGGGACATGTGACACGATAACTTGTTCAGGAGTGGTTCATGCTTAGGACACAGAATTTATCATGTTATGCCCCCTCTATTTGTGCCAAAATGTTTGTCAAAAGTTGTACAACATAGATCTCGCACTTAAAAAAACATATGTACATGCACCATCGAAGCGGGCTTCATGTATGTAAAAAATTTCGAGTTACAATTTTAGAGTTGTGTTCAATATTTGTTAGTTTACATGCCAATTTATTCTTGTATATATTTTAGATATTTTACATTCACATGGCCGCACATTTTTGGTTCAAATGCTAACAAATGTTGTGTCTTGTGTACACGTCTTTATTTACAGATGTTTTTTTTTTGTTTACATTTCAATTTATTTACGGATTTTATGTTAGGTTTGAGAAAGCACTAGCAATATTAATTGTTCTTATGGTTAGTTCAACCTTACCGGACTAGCCATAATCATTAGTTTTCCATATTGTCGTGCCCCCATCGATTTTTGATGACTTGTTTTCAAAGTCATGATGCATGTTGAACACAATAAAACACCACAGTAAGAGGAAATAAATACATCACATATTTTCTTTTTGAATTTAAGAAGTCATAAGATAAATCATAATGAAAGCAACTTTTTTTTTTAAAAAGTATATAGGTAGTATAATGATTTTTTTTTTCTTTTGAAAAAAAACAATCCCCTATATATTAATAGAGAAACACTCTAAAAATTCAACCTTACCATGATGTGTTATTAACAAGATTGCCACGCTGATGTGTCGCTCTCACAATGATTTGACTCCTATTTAAATAATTACCCATCTTTTATTAGACTATTTACAGAATTTGTCATTAATCTCATACATACATATATCCCACTAATCAAAAACGAATTTCTAATTAAAAGTTTAAAAAACACACAATCTATACGAGACAACCTTTATTATCTCTATATTAGAAAGACAATTAAATGTAACCTAGGATACCTTCTAATTTTAGTATATAAACATAACAAATCTTACATTTTTTCTAAACTTATTATACCACAACCTTAAGTTATATATTTTTTTTTTTCGTAAAGAGTATTATTTTATTTTCAATGTGACTTTTCAAACCAATTTCTTAAAAGAAAATACCCTTAACCTAAAAATGTCTCTTAAAATTCAAGTTATTATCATATCTAATTAATCACTTAAGCTTACATGTATAACTAATTTTTTTTTTGATGTGTGCGAGATGTGTCAAAAAAAATATTTTTTGTGAAACGGAGAGAATATAATTTAAACTTACTATTCAAATGCAAAAAATTTACTTGTCTTTCAACCTTCTTTTATAAATATCAAATTTTTTTAACCCCATCTTGTAAAACTTCTTACGATTCAGATTGATAATAAATATAAGAAAAACAAGTAACGAAAATGGGGACCTCTTATTAAAGAAAGTGGACTCCTCAGTTTGGTACGAAATCTACATTTTCCTTATTAGAGTTTGGCAACTCTATTTATCAATGCACATAGTCAAACTATATTGGCTTTAAATCCCGCAAAATATAGCAATGCCATACAATTCCAACCTCTCTATTTAACACACAAATTTCCACAAAATAAAGTTTTTGGTTAACCAAAACGTTTTCATTCATACAATATTAAGGTAAGAAATAAAATTCCATTTACTATAAACAAATATCTTGATTATGTTGCTTTCCTTTAGCACCATCTTATCTTCTTCCATTATTTTCGGAAAAATCTTGCAAATTCTTTGGTTTTTGTTTGTTTATAGCAAAGAATATGACAAATTAAATAGTAACACTCTATTCCAATTTTGAAAAAAGTGAAAATTGATAGATTTGTTTTGATTCTTTACATATAAAAAAATATCAAATGAGTAGTATTTTATGAAAAGGATACAAGAATTTTAATTGGCACCATTATATGTCGACCAAGTACGGTCCACGGATTCAAAGTTGTGTCGGGTCCTATGAAATTTTGTTGTTGTGCTTACTTTTGCTCGCATATGAATTTTTAAGCTAATTAAATCAAACACAATTCCAAAAACGGTGTCGTTTTTGTGGTTAAAAATTGAATCTTTTAATTAAATTGTATGAAGAAGCAGCTTAAAGCTTTTTGGTTTTTCTTCTTCTGCACCTAAATATACGCCCAGAAAATTCCTCTGGTCACCAAACCAAACCAAAACCTACGCTTTCTTTGAAAATTCTGATAGGAAACGATAAGGGTTTCGATAAAAATCATTCCTTTTTGACTCAAAAGACGCGTTTCTCACATTTTTGGCGTTTCTTCTCTGGGTTTGTTTTGTCTCTGGACGAAGACGATCACGGGTTTGTACCTCTTCGTGTGTACGCGTGTGTCTTGTTTTTTGCGAAGAGGGTTTGGAGTATCGTTTTGTTTGTGTGGATACGAAGGGATTTTCTCGTGTTCTTCACTTGTTTGAAGGATCTCGTTGTGCTTTTTGATTGATCCCAGGTTCGTTATTGATTACAAATTTGATTCCTTTTTCTTGTTTCATCGAGAAAATTTGGACTATTTGAGGAATTTTAGCCTATGCGTTTGGAGAATTGTCATTTGGGTACCATTTTGCTTCTCTTTGATGTTGAAACATTGGCTCTTTGAGTTTAGTCTCATGACTGCTTTGATTGATTTCTTTATTGTTCTTAAATCATAGGTGATAATTGTTTATAAAGTTTAATTGTTTTTTGTCTCTGTCTTGCAATCTAAGTAAAGTGTTCTGTTTTTTAGTAGACGACTTGTAGTTTCATGTTCTGTTATTGATTGATTGTTTGCTGCTAGTTTTGGGGGAGTTTGTTTTGCTTTTTTCGAAGGGGAAGCACATGGTTTCTTGCTTGTTGATAGCATTGCTTGCAATTGTGATCCATCTTCTAAGGGAATGATCTAATTGTTTGTTTTGACTTATAGATATATATTACTAGGTCAATAGTTTAGTATTGAATGGTTGGTTTAGAAGCACTATATTGTATTCGTCTGTGTAGGTTCTACGACAATGACTTACTTTTTTGACAAAGAATTTTTTAAGTGTGGATGATGACCAGATTTTCCATTTAAAATGGTGGTCCTAGTCTGTTTGTTCATGTGTGTCTTCTTCTTCTTGGCATTGGATCTTATTTAAAGCCTCATTTTTTTCTCTAGATTACGACTCGCGGTGTTACGCATAGCAGGTTCCTGGCTTCTCTACTGTCAGGAGGGGCCTTGAGTCTTTGGAGTTACCACAGTAGAGAGAAACCCAGTGGGTGACTTTTGAAACCTCTTCTTTATCGAGTGCTGCACATTTTCGCTGTGAAGCTACAATCAGAAGACATGGGAATATTTTCACGCAGGTCAAGATCTTGTCTCTCTCTTTTTGACGAATGTGGTTGGTCTTTCAAGAGGTTCAGAGAACCTTAGTCAAATTTTGTTCTTGTTATTTCAGTTCATTTAGTAGGAAATCAAAAGATGGAATGAAGATCATCGCAACTGCATTTTTTGGAGTATCTTTCGGCTTTCTGATTGGAATATCTTTTCCATCATTATCAATCACTAAGGTTGTAGAATCAATCCTCAATGTCCTATTTCTGTGTTTGATTAGATTTGTTCCCTTGTCATCATTGGAAGATTTTGTTTTCATATTTCAGGTGAGTCTCCCAACAAACTTTCTTCCTTCAAACGATCTCTCATCTATCGAGGAAAAGGGTTCGAAAATTGCAACTCCAGAAAGTCATAAAGCTTGGTCATCATCAAAGGGTAACGATAGCAGCTCATCCGTTCCAATCGACAAATCAAAGGCATGCTTCTACTCCTTAATTTGTTTATGACTTGGAATGTTTTGGAACTTTTACATTATTTAGACAAGTTTGGTCTACCCCTACCGATTCCTACTTTAATTTGCAACTGGGATTTATCTTCAAGGACGGAAGACATGTTTGAGGAACGTTACGTCTGATTACTTTTGTACTCCAAAACATGAGATACGTGTTAATTAAATAAGGGAGATATCAAATTAACAGAGAATTGCTTTGTGGTTTTATATAGTTTAGTCATTTAGATTTCACCTTGTTAACCTTTTCTTTCTGTGTTTCATGATTAATGGTCTTGAATCTGTCCATGTTTTCATGTTTCATTTCTGAATTTGCTGCAGATCTGGGTTCCTTCAAATCCTCGTGGTGCTGAAATGTTGCCACCGGGTATGGTTGCTGCTGAATCAGACTTCTATTTGCGCAGATTATGGGGGTTACCGCAGGAGGTGTGTGCTCAAACCATTCATTTCTAATATCATCAAAACCATTCTTTTAGCTGCATTACTTGATATACAAAAGTAATGTAATTTCTTATACCTTATTTTCTTCCTCAGGATTTGACGAGTGAACCAAGATACCTCGCAACATTTACAGTGGGTATTAATCAGAAAGCAAATATCGATGCTTGTGTCAAGAAGGTTAGTTCATTCCCTTTGTTTGATGTTTTGACTTCACATCATAAATTATTTATCATCTTCTCAACAGTTTTCAGAAAACTTCACTATTGTCCTGTTTCACTATGACGGCCAAGTAACCGAGTGGGATGAGTTTGAATGGTCGAAGACTGCTATACACATTAGCGTGCGAAAGCAGACAAAATGGTATCTACAGCTTATCAACCGTTCTTGATTCTTTATGGCAGAAAATATTCTGGTGATGTTTATGACTACTGACTCTCTTGGCACCTGGAAATATGTTAGGTGGTATGCAAAGAGGTTTTTGCACCCTGATATTGTAGCACGATATGATTATATCTTCATCTGGGATGAAGACCTTGGAGTCGAGCATTTTAATGCAGAAGAGTAAGTTGCTTTAAACTTTACATGAGTTCTTTCCCATTTTCTTCTTGTTTCATTTGAAAAGACAGTTTCCTTCCATTTCATTTGATCTGTTGTGATCATCTTGATTATCTGTTTCCAGGTACATAAAAATGGTAAAGAAACATGGCCTGGAGATTTCCCAACCTGGCTTGGAACCAAACCAGGGATTAACGTGGCAGATGACAAAGAGAAGGGGAGATATGGAAGTCCATAAGTATGTTGGACAAAAATCCCTTAGATTATGGCCATGTTTGGTTTTATGTATAATGATCTTTACAAAATTATGGGCTTTGTATCTTATCAGGATAACAGAAGAAAGACCTGGATGGTGCTCAGATCCTCATCTCCCTCCATGTGCTGCGTATGTTGAAACCTTACCCGTTATGAGTTGGGTTTTCCCTGTAACAGGAACTAACCAGTCTCGAACTTTTGTCTCATTGACTAATGCAGATTCGTTGAGATCATGGCTCCTGTATTTTCAAGAAACGCCTGGCGATGCGTGTGGCACGTGATCCAGGTTCCATACTTCATCATCTGTTTTGTTCATTCTTCATTCGTCTTTCCCTTCCTTGAACCTCTCTTCTTGCCAGTCTTACTTATATGCCTTACCTAAACTGTGAACAGAATGATTTGGTTCACGGTTGGGGCCTTGACTTTGCACTCAGAAGATGTGTTGAGGTAAGAAAAGAGACACTTGCAGTTAGTTGTTTGTCACGTTTTAGCTATAGTGTCTGTTATTTGACGAAACTGAATGTATTTTACACCGAAATGCAGCCTGCACATGAGAAGATAGGAGTAGTAGATTCTCAGTGGGTCGTTCATCAATCTTTTCCTTCCCTTGGCAACCAAGTAAACCTCATAGAACTCTCTCTCTGTCTCTTCTCCATCTGACATTGACTTCTTCGCTCAGAAATCTGATTCTCTTTCGCTTGATGTAGGGTGAGGCAACGGACGGGAAAGCGCCATGGCAAGGGGTAACGAAGTTTTTTATCTCTCTCTCGTGCTAAGAATTATGTGTTGCGAGGAAGACACTTAACTTGTGAAACAAGCGACTTCAATTTGTTTGTTATGTGGTTTTGCAGGTGAGGGATAGATGCAAAAAGGAATGGACAATGTTCCAGAGTAGAATGGCTAACGCAGAGAAGGATTATTTCAAATCTTACAAGTAGAAGGCTCCTCAAATTCAACAGCAACAACCATTTAAAATAGGAGAGTACTTTAAGTAGCCACAAGCTGACAGATTCAGTTTTACTAGCGCGATCTTGCATTTACATATAGAGTTCTGTATATGTTAATGTAGTAGATATTACCCATCACTACAAAATCAATCACCACCTTCCATCAAATAAAACAAAAAAAAGATGAATGTTTTGATCCAGTATAAAGCACTTGTGTATATATTAAGATCCATTAAAAACACTTGTGCCTCTAGTGGCATGTGAAGTATACAATGAAGATTGTGAGTTTTACTTAATCTACAAGTAAATCTGAACTGGTGTGCCGTGTTATGTTTTCATGGATCAGTGGAGTCACACGTGTCAGTTTCTTGGCGACAGGAACTTGAGAAGCTTTCCACAAAGCACTTGCTCTTAGAACCACGTGTCGGAGACTTTCGTGATACAGTCACAATCATGTGTTGGTCGAGTACTTTCCGCGTGATGCCACGCGTTTAGACTGATAGTTAAAAGACAGAGGATTAGACATAAGTGGCTAGATTAACATTAAGAAACATTGTCATTTTACTCTCTTTAAGCTCTTGAATGATCTCAAATTCTCGAGGAGGGCCAAAGACTCTAGAAACAGAAAGACAGTAACAGTAGCAAGAAGAATGGGTCTTTCTCATTACCCAACAGCGTCTGAAGGAGTAGTGCCAATGCTGGTGATGAACACAGTTGTTTCAGTGTCTGTCTTTAAGAACATGGTAAGATCTGTTCTCAACATGGCGAGCTCTGAGACCAATGAGGCAAGAAACATAGAGGACGACCAAGATCATGAGGATTCAAAAAGAAGAAGAAGAATCTCTGTAACACACTTTGAATCTGCTGAGAACAGAGGAAGCAAGCACGGGAGAGTCAGAGTAGCTATGGAGTGTTGTGTGTGTCTGTGTGGGTTTAAAGAGGAGGAAGAGGTGAGTGAGTTAGTGTCCTGCAAGCATTACTTTCACACTGCTTGCCTAGATACATGGTTTAGTAATGACCACACCACTTGTCCTCTCTGCAGATCCGTTCTATAGTTATGGATCATACTCTACTTTCCTTACATGGCTTTTCACCATTTTTTTTAATGTTGTCTAGTTTCTATTTTGGGAAACTCGTATTCTGTTGTGTCCACTTTGTGGGTTTTGGAAGTCTTTTTTAAAACACTTATTAGTTTTCAAGAAGAAACTTTTTTTTTTTTTCAAGAAGAAACTTAGATCATACAATTATTAAATTTCCTATGCTTTAGATTGATGAAATTCTCTGCTTCTTTGTCAACATCCTCTTCTTTTGCCTTCCTCTCACTCTTCACCTTCCTCATATGATATGATGACGTCTTCATCACGTCATGACTCAAGTCTTCGTACTCCATAACTTGATGACTCGGTTTCTTAGCCATCAAGTTCCTGTGATGATGATTGTGAGTTTTATGCTGAAGGAAGGTCTCGAGTACCATTGTTTCTATTGAAAGCCTTGTTTGCTCTCTTCTTAATACCATTGTTTCTATTGAAAGTCTTTAAGGATTAAGCTGAATCCGATACCTTTTCTTCCTTTAGATTATTCAACTTTTGGCCCATGTTCCTTGGACCATTAAATATATAGACGCACATGTCTATTGTTGTATATATACCATTATGGACCATTGAACAAGAAGGAATATGGAAAATTTGAAGATGCGTGGGCCAATGGATTTTAGAGGATAGTACTTGGCTAAGGTATATATGCCCATATGAACAAACAGAAAACGGTATTAATGGACAGTTACTGTTGGTTATTCGATAGAACTAGATACCTTTAACAATAATGGATCAAATATGGCTTGTTTTGACCACAACTTTAGTAGGAAAATATGTGTGGATAAGTTCATGTAGGGCTTATCTCCGTTGTGGAATGGTCTCTTCAATCGTTATGATAGAAATTTCATCTAATGCTTGCAAAGTTTGAAGAGCCTTTTAATCAATTGGTAGTACGTCGATTTGTGGTTTTGCGTTGTTGAGGATTCGTCCTGCTGCGTTGTTTGTCCCTATAGGGCCATTAGAGAATTTAGAAGATATATAGTCTCCTTTTATGAATTAGGATTCAAGAGAAAAGGATACAGGAAAAATTCTATACACTAATTAAATTAATAACTGTTATATTTAAATTCATAAATTTCTATAGTTTCGAGTTGGAGTAAATTCCAATAGAAATCCACAAATTCATGTGTTTCTAGCACATGTAATTAGATTTTTTTTTCTTAACTCATTTATGTTCTTATGGTATTTAAAAAATATTGTTATGAACATCAAAGTATGTAACTTGAGGGTTGTTGCTTGTGTAATTTTTTTCTTCATTTCTTCTTTTATCAAACAACATCTCAATCCAATTATTTTTGTAAATAGTTTTTTTTTCCCGCTTTTCTCTGTTCTACATACATAGTACAATAAGGTATAACATATTTCCTAAAGATTCTTTTCAAAATTTGACAGTTAATATGCTTTATATATCGAAATCAATTTATATCCATTCTAACATATATTTCTTATGTATATGATAAAAAATTAATAATTTATTTTGCTTCAAGAGAATGTAATATTTTGTGGATCGATAAACTGATTTTGCTCCTATAAAGCTTCTTACCATTGGAGATGCTCTAATTAGCCGGCAAAAACCTGTCAATCTGATTTGTTTTTTCAATAACCAAATTACTTATTTTGTAATATTTTGTGGATAAACAATTCATAGCTACCTTCTTTCCAATTAAAAGGCAAAAACTTGTGGAGGTTGACATGTTGATAACATACAAATTTTATTTTTATAATTAATGTATGAAAGACTTAACTATTTTGATGAACTAAGAATTCACACCTCCTAAGGAGAAAAAGAAAAGATAATAACAAGAATAATTACTCATATTTTATTGTGTTCAGGTTTTAGGAAAACCCCGGTTATATATATACCGACAGTGTAAAGTTCGTTTAAAAAAAAAAACAATTGAGATAAAAGAAGATAATGTAATTGCGTTCTTTGATTATCTAAAAGATGAGCCACGAAATCAACATGGTGGAGAAATAATGCATCTCTGTATACAAATCTGACATTAAATCTCGATAACTAATTTGATGACAAATCTTTTTTTACTCTACTTATAAATTCACTTGTGATCAGATGTTATCTAATGCGTTAGCTGATACCACTTTGAATGATGAATTAAATGCGCTCAAGATCTGCACTTTTGAAGATGTTAAAGACGTTCGTTTATTCGCTGTTCCGGTAAACTACTTTTAGCATTGGCTCTGTTTTCCAAATTGTTTCTTAATGTTTCAGGTCTATTTATTAATTGTTAAATTTTCATTTTGTAGAGACGTGTGGTGGGTGTTTGTTCTGGAAAGTTTTCAAAGGAGGAATCAGAAGAGCTTCTTGGGATATTTGACGCGACGGGTAGTTTTGATGTACCCAAGGAACAAATGAAGAAAATGCCAGAAGTTGGTGTCCCTTTGGAGTTAAAAGCAACACCTTTCACAGAGTGAACAAACTCTTATGCAATGGTAAGTACAAATTTTAATTGCTGTGTGGTGACTTAAATATTAAGATTTATCTGTTCTGATCGTGATTGCAGGTATGTTTTTGCAACGGAGATGATTCTGATAAATATTCAGCAATCAATGTCATCTTAAAAGCAGCTCTCCAAGAGCACTTATACCATGAACTAAGGTTATTCCTTGAACACTTAGTCTAAATGGTATTAGTCTGAGTGGTTTTCTTTTATCTAAATTCAATTTGTTTTCTTCCTTCATGTAGACTAAAGGCTCAATTAGGTTATGATTTTGATTTGACACTTCATCTCTCCTCTGTCATGAGAGGACTCCATATCTATGTCGTCTCTCCAAGTAAGGAACCTAATGAGTTGCTTGATCAGATTTACAAATTTGCTGGTGGCATTGGTGATTTCATGGTAAGATTTATCTTAATTTTTGTCTAATCTTGTAATTTAGTTGAAGTTTTATCTCGAGATTGGAGGAAAGCTCTTTTGAAAGATACAAAAAGTTTTTGGCTGATGATCATCAAGAAGATGCTGGTATAAGTGATGAACTGCTGAATGATAATGTCACAAAAGATCGACTTAAGGGCGTGAAGGCGTGGTTGGTAAAAGTGGAGAAAGAAGAAGTGGTTGACTTTTGCAAAAATTTCTTCGCCAAGAATTCATGTAGGAGCATCGAAATATCAATCGCCAGAGGAGTGATGAGTGATGAGTGATAACTTTTTCTCATGTTGTTTCATGTTACTTTTTTCTAGACATTTTGGAGTCTGTAAGTCTTCCAAATACCGAACCTCTATGTTTCTTACTTCCCCTAGCTCTTGAAGCTTGAACCTGAAATGTTAACATAAGAGCATTGTGTAATTGATGATCAAGAAGTGAGATGGAGAAAGCAGCAGGGAAAACAGAGGAAGAGAATTGTGACCTCGTGCAGTTATTATATCTATACATAGGCGATTATCATTAGTTCATTACTTACCCACGTTGGCCATGTATTGCTTCATATGTTGGTAACTGGATCTCAACATGGCTTACTTCTTTTTAGCAAAAACAAATGGCTTACTCCTGCCAAAGAAGGCAAAAAGCCATTGTTCCAACACACTAGCTATGATCTAAGTTTAAAACTTTAGCTGCGGTTTGGTGAATGTCCAGCTTCATTGGAGATACTGAGCTGTACAACCAACCCTATGAATTCTTCTACCTGACAGGAAGTGATTGAAGTGTGCATTAGGACGAATAGATCTTAAAACTTCAATTGGGGTATAAAACTGCAAATCATTTGAAAACCAAAACAGAGTTTAACAGAACAAAGATGAAACGTCAAAAATATTTCATATACAAAAGCAATGGCGTTTGACTTAAAACAAAAGATTGATTTAACATTATTGCCCAGCACTGCATCAGCTACTTTAGTAGTTGTGAACTTAAGCATATTTGTTGATACTTCCCCTACAGAGAGGAGGACAAATATTGCCTTGCTTCTTAATTTATCAACACCTTGTGAGCTTCTGCTTTGGTCGATAGGTTCTCCCTCCTATCAACTCTCTTTTCCTTTTCTGAAACCATATATCAACCAGAGACATATAAGTAAAAGAAAAATCAAATTATTTCAAAAAAAAAAAAAGACACTAATTTGACAACAACAAAAACTTGTTTATAGTTAGCAAACACATCAATGTTATAATGGTTTCATGTGTTTGCCAATATATGAAAATTTTGTCACCTAGTGACCTAGTATGTTTTCTTCCTTCTTCTAAGTTCTTAATGATAATAACTATGTGTATGACCATCTTTATGTTGGCAAAAATTATTAGTACTGGTCAAACGTTTTCGATATCTTCAAGAAAATCGTGTTCTTTTCTTATCAAGAATTTTAAGAATCCGATTTAATAAATTTAGAGATTGGTTTCACTTGTTTTGTTTGTGTTGTGGCTAAAAACCATTTAGATCCTTAAATGATATCCAATCTAGCGGAAAGAAAGTTATGCATACCCAAAATATGCTTAGCCTTAAGATTGGTGGAACGTTTTATTAAAACTCGGTGTTAAATCTAAAAAGAGTTAAAGTCTTGTCTTTGAGGTGTGTTTCCGTGTGCGGTAATGTGAATTAATCTGAGGATGAAGTTAAGATCGAATTTTTCTGCTTCATTGTTTCTAAACTCTTTTTCGATTTTGCTTTGATTGTTCTTTACTTGCTAGATCTACTGCTTTAGTTGAGATTGTCTTCGACTTGGAATTCTTTGGATAAAATTTTGTTTGCTTTGATTGATTTTTCAAGTGTTCTTTAATATGTGATTTCTTGAAATAAGATCAAAAGGATTTTATTTTTTATTTTGCTCTGTAGCTGAGGTTGAGAGATTGAATTTTACATGAATCCTCAATTTCGAAGACTTGTTGTTTCCTCTTGATGCTAAATTTTCCTCGAGTTGCCCAAATTTAAGACCAAGGCTTGTTTGCCACTGAACCGGAAATGAGAATCACCACTGAACCCTTGGAGAGAACCAACCTAAGCGTACCAAATACATATGTTCCTTTCAAGAAGCATATCAACCTAACCAAGAGGAATTAAGCTACAAATCCACTTATACCAGAAACTTAACTCATCAAGGAATCACGCAGAAGTAGAATTGGTTCAAAAGCTTTCCACATGATGAAGATATTCAAGCTACAAGTCAGCAGACTTCCCATGAACCCGATGGAGACCAACATCTACTTATTGGAGGATTACGACCAGACTAGAAGGAGTTAAGCTACAAAGACAATTTTTCTACAATCTTGACTCGACAGAGACTCATGGCGAATTGGAATCAAGTCAATACCAATTTTGGTTTGGGAGATACTAATTTTCTAAACCAAAGTATTCTACGCTTGCTTTATTTGGAAGCTCACGGGCTTAATCACTTGCAAACCAGAATTTGGCGACCAGGAGGGTATCTATTACAACTAGAGAATCCTAAGGGAAACTCAAGCTTTATCCTAGCTATTGGATCAGGTGGATTAAATCTCCGTTTATCCTGCCACCAAACAATATTCACGATCACGAAAAGTACCGAGGCAATCTTAAATTTGCAGTAAGAATGTGTAGACAAACCTCTTATCCATGTATTGATTAAGCTGGTCCTGAAAATCGAGAGGGAATGCTTCCAGTGCTACATATATTTGACGCTGGCTCTCAACGCATCTCTTCCTCAAGTTTCTAACGATTTCGAGTTCAAGCTCTTTGTCGTCTTTGGTAGGCACTTGCTCCGCCTCACCGAGGTACACAGCTCTCGCATTCATCAGCTTTTGCAGTTTCTTCAACAAAGCTTGAAACTTTCTTGGTTTTCTTTTACAAACTTCAAAGCTTTCCTCAAAACATGAGGCTCTGATACCACTTATTACGAATCTATGCTCGATTTCACATTAAACCAAACATGGACTCACGAATCTGCATCAAACAATAAGCATAAAGAAAGAACACACAAGCTGCATTAAACAATAAGGATAAGATTTAGAAGAGAGAGTGAGGCATACCTGATTGAGAGATGAAGAATAGAGAAGTCGAGAAGAGACGAGAGAGAGAAGCGGAGACAGCGAAAGAGAGAGAAGAGGAAGCGGAGGGAGAAGAGGAAGCGGAGAGAGCGAGTGTGGATCTGGAAGAGGAGGAGGAGCGGAGGAGACGAGAAGCAGCGGTGGTTGTGCGGAGAGAAGTAGACATGGTTGTGGTGGAGAAGTTTTTGGGGGAATAATTGGAGACGATTGGAAAGGTTTGGTAGTTGAGATAGTGAATTCTAGGTTGGATTTTGTAATTGTTGATTTCTCAAAAGGCTTTTGGACATTTCCTTAGCTTTTGATTTTAAAAAAAATGTTAAATGAAGTTACAAATTCGAAGGTGGCATACTAGAATATTTTTTCTCAGAAAGTGGCTTTCTAGCCATTGATTCCAAATTTAAAGCCTTTAGTTTGGTGAGTTGTGTTTGTTTGGAGATGCACAGTGATCTATTTTGCTTGCTAAAGTCTTTTTTTTCTTTTTCTCTGGTTAATGAAGCTCTGGCAAATTATAAACCATGGTTGGAGGAGGGAGTGCACAAAAGCTAACTACTAACGATGCACTTGCGTATCTCAAGGCTGTCAAGGATAAATTTCAAGATAAACGTGAAAAATACGATGAGTTTCTTGAGGTTATGAAAGATTTTATAGCTCAGAGGTATAGTTTTTGCTCCTTGTTAATAATGTTTTGTTCTTACTCTTTAGTTCAATTTTAAATCTGATCCTATTTTCAGCAAAGTCGCACTTGATGTAAACACGGTTTTTTTTTGTGAATAAATTTTACATTCATTCAAAAAAAAAAAAAAAAAAAAAAAAATCTGATCCTATTTTGCATTGTAGAGTTGATACTGGTGGTGTCATCTCGAGGGCGAAAGAACTCTTCAAAGGGAACCGGGAATTGATTTTGGGTTTCAAGACTTTCTTGCCAAAGGGTTTCGAGATAACCCTCTTACCCGAGGATGACCAACCTGCGCCAAAGAAGCCTGTTGAGTTTGAAGAAGCTATTAGTTTTGTCAACAAGATTAAGGTAGATACTTTGATGTGGTGCACTTCCCTTTCTTTGTCTTTGCTACTTGCCTCTTTAATTTTTATCGTTTATCTGCAGACAAGGTTTCAAGGCGATGATAGGGTTTTTTTTAAGTCATGATAAAGCATCGCGTTACAAAAACAGGGGGATAAAAAAAAAAAAGATAAAGTTTTAAGTTACATAGTCGCGATCATCGCGCGCTTCTTCTTCTTCTTCTTCTTTTCAGAAGCTTTGCGCTTGTGTTCGGAGCTGTAAAAACCATTCAAGCATAATGTGAGCAACAACAACCATCACAATCCATATACATTTAAAATAATGTGAGTAATAGAGAGAGAAAAAGAGTAATCAAAATCAATGGTCACCTTGCGGTAGTAACGATATCAGACGACGACTTTTCCTGTGAAGTATAATATAAGTTGTTGTAATTAAGAATCAAATCAACAACAAAAAAAACGTAAAAATTCTCAACAACCTGAATATCAAATTCAGAGTCACGAGTGGTCTGATCAGATCCCTTCAAATGATGATCAAGTCTCTCATCTGATGGGATACGGGTAGAACAAGCTTGCAACGAAGCGTTGGAGTCACACTGCAAGGCCAATCTGCATAAGACCAACCATCACCATCCATATAGATCTATGTCTAAGAGTACTTGACTTATATATATATACACACACACTAGAGAGAACTTGACTTATATATGTTAAGGTTTTGTAAACCCTCAAAGGCTCAAGCTTTATCTCATTTGTCATCAACACCAGAACACGGAATAAAACAAGTAAATATGGAGAAGAAGAGGAAGATAAAACAGAGTAATATGAAGGAAGAAGAGGAGCACACAAGCATTTGTTCACCCGGTTCACGGTGTTAACGAACCGCTACGTCCGGTTAGGATCTTTCGATCCACATCCTTTACTATGAAGAAGAAGGTGATTACAACAAGAAGCTACAAGTGACCCGTCTAATACCCTTCACTAGTACTTAGACTCACTCTGTACCACTTCATGTATCACTCAGAGAACAACAATGACAAGCTTATACGAATACATGTTTTCTCTCATCTCTACACCTTACTAACTCTTCTTCTTAGATCTACATTGAGCTATTGCTCTCTCTCTCTCACTTCCTTGGCCTCTCTCAATGAACATAAGCACCTATATATAGACAAAGCTAACTAGGGCTTCCTTGAGTTAGAGCAAACCACAACTCTCTTTGAACACAAACAGACAAAATGTCCTTATGGCTGAAATGAGGCTACTTCCAAGCAATTTCCTTCATAGCCGTTTTCCCATGACTTTGTTCCAAAAGTAACTCAACCAAGGTTTGATTTATATCACCTTTGGTTAGTCTTCAACGGTTGTGAGTTTTACACTTAATATTGGCTTGTGCTTCAA